AAAAAAAAAAAAAAAAGGCTTTGGATCTTCTATATTGAGAGGCAATCTATCCGTCAAGCTACGTACAGTACAGTACCTAGTTATGTAGATGTTCTACTCCTCGCCACCCTCCCTCCTCCCCTTCCTTCCCCGTGTACGGGGCATTTTTCTCCATATTTCTGGCCGGAAATAGAAGGGCGGAAATAGAACAACGGAGTGGACGGAAATAGAAACACCAGGTACTTGGCTGATGCTACCTACTTAAGTGCTCTAGGTGGGTGAGTGGGTGGGTAGCGGCTGTTATATCCCGTTCTTGTCGGTTTGGCATGATATCACGTCGCATCATATCGCATTCGTTCGTTCGTCATACGTGGAGGTAGGTCTTGGCCAGCTGTGTAGGTGGATTGTAGACACCGATGACTAAGTATCGCCCTCTTCCTCGTCCTCATCGTCCTCTTTCCCAGACGTCCTCGGTCCTGAAACACACACAGACACACACACCCACGGTCCGGACATGCACGTCTCTATCGTCCGGTGCGGTGCGAGCGATAACGGTGGTAACGGTGGTAACGAAGGAAAGGAGGGGCAGCGAGGGGTGGTGTGGTGGGGTCGAGGGGCAGCACACAGACGCACGCTCGACGCAGACGCTCGACCACGGCGCTCGACCACCGACCACTGTCGATGAACTTACCTTAGGCAGACCCACATAGGGGGGAGGGTGCCGTAAGACTAGGTACTAGCTGTGCTAATCAATCAGTCGGTTGGCCGGTGGCCGGTCAATCGGCTCGGCTCGGTTCGGGTCGTTTGGTTGCGGTTTGTGGGTGTGGGTGCGGGTGCTGGAGCTGGTGGGTGGTGTTTGTCTGATGGTGTTTGGAGTGGTAGGGGTAGGGGTAAGGGTGAGTAGGTGAGTAAGAGTGATGATAGCGATAGTGATAGCAAGGGAGGGAGGGCATCGCATCGCATCGCAGCCGCCATCACCATCGCCATCACCAACCATCGCCGTCGGCGAGCCCGCCGATCCGTCACGCCCTGGCTAGATTGTGGGTAAGGCAAGCCCAGTACTGTAGCGAGATCAGAAGGCCATCTCCACGGGAATAGCGAAAAGCGCATGGCGCGTCGCCGAAAAGGGCGCACGGGGGACCTTTTTTAGGAAATGCGGTTTTGGGCGTCTGGCGTCTGCGACCGGTCGGGGGGGCAGGGGGCAACGGGGGTGCGGGAGCGCTGGTATGGCGTGCGTTTCGGCGCGTCTGCGTGGAGCGTGGGTTCGTGGGTTCGTGGTGCGTGTGTGGGCTCTCTCGGGAGCGGTGGGTAGTGGGGTTGTGGTACGATTTGTAGCGGGCGTGCGTTGGCTGTGGGTGGTGGATGTGGTTCGATAGCTTAGGGCGCTCGCTCGCTCGCTCGCTCTTGGCTCTGCTGCTCTGCATCTCGCGGCGCGCGCAACGGCCTTTGAGGCGTGTGTGGGTGCGTTCGGTGGGTTGTGGTGATGGTGGTGGTGCGTGCGTGCGTGGTGCGTGGAGGGGCCCCGTGCTGGTGGTGCTTGTGGGGTCGCGCGTGGACCGTGGGTGTGGGTGCGGGTTCTTGGCTTGGCTTGGGCGAACTGGTGGGGTGCGAGATAGGGGGGCAGAGGGGAGGGGCAGTTGGGAAAGGGGAGGGGGAGGGGATGCGCGCCGCAGGGGATGGATGGGCCTACGCACCTAAGTGGGTGCTTTTGGGGTAGCTGGGACGTGTGTGTTTGAGGTCGAGGAGCTTGGTCTGCTTGGCTACCTTTGTATATCCGTTTACCTTTTGCCCCTGTCTTTCACGCTTTTGCTGTCGAGTTCCTCTTGCTTGTGGCTTGGTGTCTCTGGTACGTATGTACGCTTGCCTCTCGCTCCTGTTTGCTTCTAACCGCTGTTTTCTGGGTGTAGGTATCTGGGATAATTGTCTTGTAGTAGGTATACGTACCGGCATCATCACCCCGGATAGCTCGGCATCTTGTTTCTATTCTGGATGGCTCGCCTATCTCAGCCCAGACCAGCTAGCTGGGTGGTTCGGTGTTAACCTTAAGTCGACCGCGGGGTGGATGGCTGGCGAGGCAGGTGTTGGTGCTGCTGGTGGCGTAAAGAGGGTCGAGGTTTGTGGTGCTGCCTAGGTAAGAGAGCATTGATGCTTACTGTGCTTTGTTACCAGACGGCAGTACCCAATGAGAACGCACACATAGCAACAACATTATTATTGCCCATGCACGTCATTTATTACAACTCCCTCATTCACCAGGAAACCGGCGAGTACCGTCTACCTTTCCTTAGCTCCCCCACTCGTCTTCCCGTTAATACTATCCTTAATTTATTCTCGTCGCCACAATCAACACCATACAAACCTCCCAATCTTTAATAAGCCCACTTCTCTCTTATAACGTTCATCCACTCACTCAGATTTCCATTTATTTCTCCTCCGCCTTACTACTTTTCCATAGAAAATACTACTTTCATCCGTTGTACACTACTTCGAACGTGCAAGGAGATTTTTTGAAGCTTGCGAGCTTCCGTTGGATGAAATAAAAGCAAACAAAAGGGATACATACGCAGATAAAGAGGAACAAGCAAACTAATACCGGTAAGAAAACATTTATTCTTATCTTATTCAAGTCATCAGACTAGCTTGGAGTTTCAGTGCTTTATAAGTTTCCCTGGTATAATCCACTACCATACACACAATCCGCTCACCAACGAGGAAAGTTTGTTCTCTTTAAGACAACGCCCACAAGCTTGAGCACCGGTTGGGCCAGCTCACATCTACACTAATCCGCATCCAAAGAGGAACCAGAAGCGATCTCATTATCGTGTCTGTAAAGTGAATGCCTATGCCATCAACTCCGCTTCTCAATGTTCTTCATCACTGAATCTTAGTGGCGGCGTGTAGCAGTGCGTGATATATATTTCCTACCGGCCTTAAGCAAACCAATTCGGAGGAAACGTAGATGCTGCTTGATCGCCGCCATGTTGGTATCTGTCGTAACCTACCGGACAGTAAAATAGAGGAAGCGCGAGGTAGTGAGGTAGGTATAGAAGTACGCATTGCGCATGTTATGGCGTTCGTATCGACCTTTACTGTTTATAAGGTCGCGAAATACTGATCGTAATGTTGTTTGACAAATGAGAAAATTATCAAGGGAGTGAAAAATAAGTAATTTCCTTCTAAATGCCAATGGACCAGTCACGCTTTTAGTACCTAAACAAAGATTAGAGGTCACTGAAGCTCGAAGCCTTTGCTCTTTCTGTCGCGCTATGAGATTGCTTGCTGTGATGTTTTTTCATAAAAGAGGCTACAATTCTAGCATGCGACATAAGGGATAGTGACGAGATTTCTTGAGAAAACGCAAGCGCTAACGATAGCAAATAGGGCGATGTATCTTCTTATAAATAGCCTCACCACCGCCCTCCTCATCCAACACACCATCACAGCACTCTACAAAGTAAAAAGATTAGGGTCAAACAGTATAGCAGAGACAATGCTACCGAAATAGGGGGTAACTCAAACCTTACAAATCCATCGCACAAGCACTAAACTGCCGTCCAGCTGACAGCTCCTTGCCAGAAGTGGCCGCACACACCATCACCATCACAGCTCCCCGCTGACGCCGCCTATCTCCAACACCCAACAGTACTCACTATCGCCACCACACTTCCCACGTACGGCCACATTGGAAAGTGTAAAGCAGCGTCGATGCCTGGTTGTAAATGCCTTAAGGAACTTCGGAGGCCTGCATCACGGTAAAACCTTGCTAGTTCTGCGAACATCTGGCGAGTCTGATGTTCTCTTTCGAGCTTTGCGATCAATGACTTATTTGCTTTAGTCGGAATAGTAATCGAAAGGGTTTGGACAAGTAGTTGGTTGGTTCATAGTAGCATACGACACGAAACTCATTCCTATCGAATATCTTTATTAAGACGAAGCAACTTAAGTACTAGCTTTAAAATTTTTAGCAGCATACCCCAATAGCGAAATGACGATCAGTGATTCAGTAACAGTGAGAAACCCCACGAGATGAAAAGCAAGTATACACAACACAACATCAGAAGCAGAAGTTTCGTTATCCGCTTCAGTGTTCACTGCACTGCCTTCTCTTCGCCTATAAAACCCGAATTAAAAACCCCCGAACTGATAGAACTAACCAGCATATCTCCTGTTCAATGCGCAATTGCAGGATCAATATCACTTTATAATCAGGAGGGCCAGGGCCTTTGTTTTATTTTGTTGGTAGAAGGAAGTGTTTGTTTTTTGAATAAGGACTTAATTCGATTTCCCTAGAATAAATGCATGTACCATCACCACCGCCACAACCTAATGATACACTGCATAACTACGCCCCCATAATGCCATTTACTGCCATATTATTCAGAATAATCACGTTTCCCTGTCTACACCGCATCCGCTTACGAGTTACCGGAACACACATTCACACGCGCACGGACGCCCGACACACCCCTAGGGGTGCATGGCAGAATCCGACGGCCGAGGAATATCAGTTGTCCAGTGACAGTAACGGCAAAGAAATCAGAGCCGAAGCTATCAGACTACGCACTCTAACCCGCATCGCATGCACATGCACATGCACAAGCACAACGCAGCCCCTTAAACCCCAAACCCCAAACCCCAAACCATACCAAAAAGCATCCTCCATCAACGTCTCCCCAAACTAAAGAAAGGAAAATGCACATCTCTCACTATTCTCATCACAAAAACCAGTGCCCCTAAACAAAACCGCAACCAACGCCCAGCGTCCAACAACTCAACCCAACCCTCCCCGAACCCAAACCCTCACCCACTCCCCCTGCCTACGACCGGAGCCAGATCACAGAAGTCGCGACCAACAATCCAGACCAGAAACTGGTGGCCAAACTACTGTGTGGATATGCTTTAGTGTCACCCCCGCACAGGATATACCAACGATGTTGCGGCAAGTAAACCGTGGTGATGTTGATTTTCGGCAGCGCGCACCACCAGTGTCATGTATTAGCACGCCTTACTGCCGCTCATCACTAGTCGCCGCCTTATGAGCCCTACCCCGCACCCACTTGACTCTTCTGCACCATTCGCAGAACCCGAGTGGAACTGGACGCAACCGAACCCCAACTAAGTGGATTGTTCATTTCGACTGCGGCATGAGCCATCCGTAGATACTAGGTCCCCGTTCCTTCTCAAAGCGCTCGCCTTGTAGATCAAGGAAAAAGAAAAAGCCAAACACAAAAGACCACCCTTTTTATAAAAAGCAGCGCAGCACCAGACGGGCTACGCAGAGATACGAGATACTGTATGTAGCATGAGAAAACAAACACAAAACAGGCACGAACACCAACAACCCGCAAAGCACAAAGCACCAAGCACAAAAGTAGCCCACGAAATTTTCTTTTACTAAAAACGTCGCGGACGGACACCAGGTCCAAGCAATATCTACAAGCCAAAAAAACACCCCCCAAGATATCAAAAGCTGCTGTGCGCGCTAACAGCCCACACATCACTCAACCGCTACACCCTCACCCATCACCCAACACTCACTTCGCTCATTTACCAAAAACCCCTCTCACACAATCCATAGTTGCAGCAGCGACTAATTTAGCAGCTGCCGACATCAGCCTGCGTGTACTTGCAGGCGCTGCTGGGGCCGGAGCCCTTCTCGGTAGGCTCCTCATCGTTGTTGTCGGTGCCGTTGAACTCGACGCAGATGTCGTCGACATCGGTAGCGCACGAGTCGGTGATGGTGGCAGTGTCGCCGTAGTTGGAGTTGATGCCGGCGAGCTCCTTGCCGCCCTTGGCGACGATGCCGCTCATCGTGACGTGGCGCTCGGACATCTCGTCGCAGTTGCCGCAAGAGCGGTAGAGCTGGGGGGCGGAGTGTTAGCTTGTTGCTGCCTGCCTGTTTGTGTGTGTGGTTGAGGATGAGTGTTTACCTTGCCAAAGTCCTCGACGTAGAAGTTCGAGATGGAGACGCTGCCACCGCCGTTGTGCTGGATGACCTTGTCCTCGGCGCCCTTGGCACCACCGCCCTTGACCTGCGAGTTACCCGCGTTGCCCTTGAAGGAGAGCGCGTCCTCGCAGACGGCGACCCACCAGACGTTCTCGATGGTGCATTCACCAGCGCAGTGAACACCCTCGGTCTGGTCGGCAGCGATAATGACGTTGGAGAGGGAGCCACCGTCGGCAACCTCGAAGACGGCGTCGGAGTCGCCACCCTCGTCCTGGCCAGTGCAGTCGACGCCACGGCCGAAGGCCTTCATGCCACCGTCAAAGGCAGTGACGGTCATGGGCTCGCTAAGCTGGCTGGAGCCAGAGGACTGGGGGAAGGTGGTCACGGCGCTGCCGCTGCTGCCACCGGCGGCCGGGGTGGTGGGAGGAGTGGCGACGGGGGTGGCGGCGCGGACGGCGTGGGCGGCGTAGACAGCGCGCTCAGCACCAGGGAAGCCCTGAAGAGCGTACTTGTCGTTGCGGGGGATCATGAAGGCGTCCGTGGTGAGGGACAGCGCGCTCAGGGCGGCGACGGAGAGGGAGCGAGTGTTGTACTGCATTGTGTCGTTGGTGGGGTGGGAAAAAGAAGGTGGTGTTTGTCGTCGAGGGTATTGGTAGAGAAGATGCTAAAAGTGATTGTGGGAAAGCGTGGCTAGCACAGCTAGAGAATGAATATGCACAAGAAAGACTGTTGAGGAAGGACTGGATCACGAAATCGAGTGGCAGCGAGCCGGGTTTATAAGAACAAAGAGGCAGGCATCGGCTTGGAGGCCTGTTTCCAAGTATATCACCTACATGGTGGAGCAGTCGTTGAAACACGCCTCTGGTAGACGGGCGCAGTGAACAACGCAGGCATTGACATTGCGTATGCCGGTATCAAAGGTCAAGGATGTCTTCGCCCAAAGAGACAGGATCTTCACGTTTCGGTAGGGGAGACGGGCGAGTTGGGCCAGGGGATGGGGTGTGTTTACGGACGAGCTGCAGCTTCGGTCAGAGCGTGCTACGAGGCCATTGGCGGGATGCCGCATTTGGTGTTGAAGAGGCGCGCGTCAGGAGAAGAGCTTGCCGCCGTTCGGAGAGATGCTTGGCTTCCTTGGCGGCCATTAGAGTGAAACATGAGTGCGCGGGATTTGTTGCACGGAGGAGAGGCTGCCTTTCCGCCCAGTGAGCGGAGCAGATCATTGCCACTAACTGCACCGTTCCTGAGATCTCCGCCGCCGATCTTGTCTCTGAGCACGTTGCTACCGTGGGAGTGGAGTGATGCGGGTGCGGGGATTAGCTGTTTCCGCTGGCATGTTGCTGGTCCAGAGCGGAAGAGATTGCGTTTCAAGGCCAGTGAAGGGCTGACGCAGCGGAGAGGGTACGCTGTTGAGAAGACGGAGGTGGCGTGGTGAATTGGCAACGCATTGAATGAACGAGGGTGTCAGGACCAAGTGCTGGGATGGGAGAGAGCATGAAAAAGAAAAAAGAGAGGAGAGAATGAGGGATGCGACAACAGGGGCGACAGAGACCAGATACGCGGCGGCGGAAGAGAGCAAGTTCGTAGCGGAAGGAGGAAGTTGCGATGTCCCCGACGAAAAGCCGGCGCACATCGCTTCCCGTCTTGTCGGCATCCCGACTCGCCCTCCGCCTCCCGTTCATCTCCCTACCGACCGACGATGACGACGAACACGAGCACACGCGGCATCGATCGACAGCGTAGCATTTGCGGTGGAGCTGCGTTACTGCCTTCCACCACTTCTCTCAACTGCCGTTTGTTTCATTGACGTAGTGTTTCCTATACCTTCAAACACCACAATCACTATCGCCATGCGCGACCATGCGAATTTTGCTTCACCGCCGTCCGAGCTTTCGCCCTGCGTTGCGGCGTCGTCGCAAGGCTCTGCGAAAGGACGGAGTTACTCGCACCGCTCCCCGCTTCATGCCTGCAGAGGACGCCGTAACTGCAGCGATTCTCCTCACTGTCATGCACCTCTGAACCTGCTGGACTGGACGCAGTGTTTTTCCTAGATAACGACAATGCCACGCTCTTCCCCGCCCATTGCTCTGTTGTGCTGTTCGTCCGCGTCGTTATGCTTCACCTCCGATTTTCTGCGTTTTTGGTTCTCGTGAGTGCGCTTAATTGCGCAGGCGACCCGTGGGCGCGGAAGAGGGATGCAGCAAACAGCGGTGTGAGTGCAACGTCGAAAGGAGTTTGCCAGCAGACTGACCTTGCGCAGCTCGTGAACATCAATCTCGCTGAGCATCTTAACAACAGAGCCTTTGGGGCTTTTCCTGGTGATGCCGACTTTGACGGGTCCAGGCAGTCTTACCCCGCACAGTCGCTGTCGTCCAATGGTTCCTTCAAATCGAGGAGTTCCGGTGTAGACTATCTCTTGCCGGCGACAGGGAGACCTGATGCGAGCGACAACGTCGTGTGCCTAGGACAGACAATTGCAGTGTCTCCGGACAAGTACTTCAGCGCTCAACTGCTAATCGCAAGCGACCGGAGAGACAAGGCCGTGACCAAAAATGTTACCTTTACTTACTCCGACAACAGCAGCACCGTAGCAGAGGTCCGCGCAGAGCCGTGGTGGGCGTTTCTTACCCTACACAAGGGCGAGATCATCTTGCCGTACCGGTACACTTCCAATGACACGGACTGGAACACTACGCACATCCACGAGTACACTGCTCCGTTGGAGTATGGAAAGACGTTGACGTCCATCAGTCTTCCGACAACCAGCAATGCCACTACCGGCAGGCTGCATGTCTTTGCCGTGTCTTTGAGACAGGCAGACGGCGTGCAGGTGCAGCATGTACGACCGACACAGAAGGAAGGAGAAAGCAATGTACAGCTCGTGGAGGTAACAGTGGGCAACGGTGGCCCTGAATGGATACATGGTGACGGCATTCAGATTTCGATAGATGCCCCTGGAATTGAGACGGTACAGGCAGCCCATATCAAGCGTCTACGACCAGGAGACCAAAAGAAGGTCAACGTGGGTGTTGTAGGCAGCACCGATTCCACTGTCTCCGCAACGGTCCATCTCCGAGACGACAACGAGCAAGACAGCTTCCAGTTTCCCGGTCTTGCGTTCGGATTCAAGAACTTTACGAAATCGCCGGATAGCCTGGCCTTGCATGAGTCTCCGGAGTGGTTCAACGACGCCAAATTCGGCATCTTCATCCACTGGGGCGTCTATTCAGTGCCGGCATGGGGCAACTCGACGCCCTACGAGGTATACGCAGAATGGCACTGGTGGTACTCGCACAACCGCGCCGCCGACAAGGCCGACGTCTACGACTACGGCAAGCACTCTGTCTTCCCTTTGTGAAAAGCTCACCACTTAGGCAGGCACTGACGGCGTACAGATCTCCGCACCTACGGCCCCGACACCGTCTACGACGACTTCTTCCAAAATTTCACCGCCGAGCACTACAACGCAAGCGAATGGGTGGACCTGATCGCGGCAGCCGGCGCGCAATACTTCGTCATAACCAGCAAGCACCACGACGGGTTCGCGCTCTTCGACACGCAAAACACGTCACAGCGCAACGCGGTGCACCACGGGCCGGGGCGGGACGTGCTGCGCGAGCTGTTCGACGCCGCCGCGGCGCGCCACCCCCACCTGCGCCGCGGCACGTACTTCTCGCTGCCCGAGTGGTTCAACCCCGACTTTGGACCCTACGGCTTCACGCAGACCACCAGCAACGCCTCGACGTCGTGGCTGGGCATGCAGGCCCGCAACCCGTACACCGGCGCGCTGGAGCCGTACACAGGGCGCGTGCCCGTGGGCGATTTCGTCGCCGACGTGCTGCTGCCGCAGCAGGAGCAGCTGGCCTACATCTACAACACCAGCATCATGTGGTGCGACTGCGGGGCCGCAAACAGTACGGCCGAGTTCGCCTCGCGCTGGTTCAACTCGCGCCGCGACGTGGCCATGAACGCGCGCTGCGGGCTTCCGCACACGGCGGACTTCGACACGCCCGAGTACGCGACGCTGGGGGCGGCGACGGCGCGCAAGTGGGAGGCCAACCGCGGCCTGGATCCGTATAGCTACGGGTACAATCGCGCGACGCCGGACGCGGCATATATGAATGCGTCGACGGTTGTGGCGATGCTGGTGGATGTGGTTGCGAAGAACGGGAACTTGCTGCTTGATATTGGGCCTAGGGCTGATGGGACGGTGCCAGAGGTGCAGGCGAGGGCGTTGAGGGGCGCGGGGGGCTGGATTGAGAGACATAGCTCTGCGGTTGTGGGGGCGCGGTACTGGTTTGTTGCTGCTGAGGCTGGGGTGGGTGGAGAGGGTGCTGAGAGCGGTGTAACGGGAGTGAGATTCACGCAGACTGACGACGCGTTCTACGTCTTTTTTATGGGGGGCATGCCGGTGCCGGGACGGGAGATCGTGGTACAGGCTGCTGTGCCGGTGTTGCCGGGGGACAGAGGTGTGATGTTAGGGGAGGCTCAAGTAGGTGAAGAGGAAGAGGAAGAGGAAGAGGAGATCGAAGTCGAGATAAAAGTCCTAGAAGGGACAGGGTGGCTGAGCGTGCGCTGGCCGGAAGAGATGGAGGGGCGGGGCGAGTGGTGCTGGGTTCTGAAAGTGGAGTATCGCGCTTAAGTGCGTAGTGTTAAAGTTAGATGAGAAGGAGGAAGTGCGCTTGCGCTCTTTTGCACTCTTTAATCGTCTTGTGGAGATGCATTCGTTCGTTTAGTGGGTTGGTGGTTGAGATTTAAGAAGCCACGTACAGTGTACATACCTTTTGCAGGAGGGCCGGGCACGTTCGTTCGCTGTTGAGTGTAGTTCTTTCTCTTCGCGTACTGCTTGGACTAGTTACTTGAGTGGGGATGGCACCGGATAATTTGCCCACCCTACGTGATAGCATCTACAGAATTATACGAGGTATTTTCTACTCTTTAAGAACTTACGTCTCTATACCCTTATAAGTACCTTTATATCCTTTGAATAATTTATTTTCGTACCCTTAGAGTATACTCTAGTACTCGTATATATCTTTACTATTATATCTTTTAAAGTACTATTATACCTTATATATCTTTACTTTTACGTAGTTGTATAGTACCTACTAGCTGTAGTATACTATACTTTCCTAAGGAGTACTCTATAGGTATCGTAGATTTCACTTAATGTGTAGTCGAGGGGTGGGCAAAATATCTAGAAAGGGATGGGCAAATTATCCGGTGCCGTGGGGATATGTGCGTTGGAAATGCCGACGATGTTTCTGTTGACGATGCCGCGCTGTGAGCGGGGTCAGTGTGATGGCAAGAACGTCTGGAAGGTAATTATACACATCCCTACGATGACGACGATGATATGAAAGAAGAAGAGTAAAAGAAACCTAAGAAATCGGTGAAGAAAACACGGCATCCGAAGCCAAAGCCGAAGCACTCACTAATATAAGGAAGAAACCCGATCTGAAATTCCTAAACTACTTCGGAGAATGTGTTTAGTGGAACACCCAGACTTTCGAAGATGCTGGAACCGGCAGGAAATGATGGTCATGTAGTATGTGGGTGGGGAGAGACTTACCTGGACCGAGTGATACAGATTTGATTTTTGTTCTTTATTCCTGACGAAACGATCAGTGGCGATTACCACATTCGTGTGAAAGCATTGCGCGTCATCGCTGGCATGTGGTGTTGAGCGCCGTTACGCATTACTGCTGACGATGATTACGGCGGCGAGAAGTGTGGGCGTGTGGTCTAGTTTGTTTTATTTGTGATACGTGTGCTGCCGGATAGAAAATGGCATCTCCCGAATCAGTGTGATGTCTTGATTTAGGTAAGGGAGTCGATAATCGCAGTGAGTGAGTGTGCCGGGAAGTGTTCTGTAAGGAATGAATGAGTAGATGTGGTGTTCTATTTATAGAGTACTCCTTCAGCCATTCGATGACCTCACTGAGTACTTCCAGTCACTTTCATAGTAGTTCTCGATACGAATTTACAAACTTAGATTTAAATCCGAGGAGGTCGTTTTTGATAGCATATATAAATGACTGAACTCCCTATTACTATTATTTTTCATGTCTATATCCTTGAAGAAGAATCCAGTGAATAGTTCAACACTACGCGCCACTCCCTTACCCTCTCCGACAAATTTCTCGATCCTACTGGATAAGGAAGACTTTTATTTTTATTTTATTTTATTTATTTATTTTTTTTTTTTTAAAAAAAAAACGCACAGCTCATGCGCAGCGCCGCGTGCACCAGTCCGATCTAGATAAACGTATAAGACATAAGTACAGCACTCACTTATTCAGCACTAATACCCCAAAACAACACGACCACGCATCCAACACAACCCAAACCAAACGCAAACAAACATGCACTCCGGATAACCATCAAGGATATTACTTAAGTTCACGGCACAGCGACCCGGCACCTACGCTTCTCGTTACATGCACAACCACGCATCCCATGCACTACACAACCCAAACCGCAAAGCTCTTCTCCCTTCCCTGTCTCACAAACCGCCTTGTTCCCGAGCCTCACACCCCCTCACGCGGCATATAATAGCAGCACTAGCTCCCACGCACCCACACCAGACACAGACACAGACACAGCCCGCGCAGAGCGGCTATCCCTTTCCCCGCCAACGCGAGGAGCGAGAGTCGCTGTTTGCGGCCAGCCTACATAGCCAGGAAGCTAGCCATGGTTTGCTGATGCTGACAGGGGCGGGGCGGCCCACAGAGCGCACGTGCGTGCAGTGCGGTATATAGCTTTAAACTCTAGTTATTAGAGAAGAAGAAGAAGAGGGTAGTAGTGGTGGTGTATATATAAGCACATACACACGCCACCAGCAAGTTAAAACACGGCTTATAACCCTAACCAAGCCTCCAGGCTCCAGCAAGCAAGCACGCAAGCAAGCGAACAAGCTGCTGTAGCCCTGCTAAAACACACATGACTATACAGCAGTGTGCCTTAAGGCTAATAAGGAAGTCAGGCAATCTCATCCGACCTACGAGTCCGTCCCTACATGGCATATATGCCACGGGAGAGAAACCCAAACCCCGCGCCCAGCGATAGAAAGGTAGACAGATAGATGGATAGATAGCATACATGCATATAAGCATACGCAATCCAAGCACGAACCGGAGCAAGTCTAGCCACGTGCGTAGGTTTCCATTCACGTTCACCTCCGCCAAAAGCGTACCCACACCCTCACTTTCTCAAACACTCTCTCCACGTGCCATATGCGCCTTATAGGTAGGTACCTAGGTATAATGCACGTCTATATTTTTTTTTTACTGCGTACTGCGTACTGCGTTCTGCGTATCTCCCCTCCCTGCCCCCATTTCCCATCAACGGTCACCAAACGCTCAAGACCCACTTTCTGCGCTGAACTCCTAAGCCCAGGTCAAGCTAATCAAGTACGCAACCAAGCCGACGCTATCGCAACCGACGCTATCGCTATTGCTGTCCAGGGCAGTGTGCGTCGTGCCGCGCCTTGTTCTGTCCTTGCCGTGCCAGTGCCGCGTAGTGCCAGTGCGGCTTTCCTCTGCTGCTTCTGCTTCTGCTTCTGCTTCCATGCAAGCAAGCAAACAATCAAACAATCAATCAAGCCGTTTGATCTGATCTGATGTGGTATGATCGGATTCCGACCTGTCCTGCCCGATACTGTCCTATCCAGGCCAGACCAGGCAATGTAATGCAGTGTAATGCAAAAGCATGGGCGTTCTTGCTTCCTTTCGTCGGCGTGCGTGCACTTCATCCTCTCCGCTAATGGCTCGTTGCCCTTGCAATATTGATTGCATCCGCTTCCGCTTTCAGCAGCCTCTTTTCCCATTTCTTCGTCCCTCCCTCTGTTCATCCCTCCCACCCTTCCTTCACCGCCCACCCCACCAAACCCCACCAAAACACATCCAAACACCCCCAAAATCACTCGCCATCGACGCCCTCCTCATCGCCCACCCCGCCATCATCATCGCTCTCATCAACCACGGGCTCCGAAACCTTTGGCTTCCTTTTCCAGTTCCCCCTGCCAATACCCTTATTCGCCGGATTCTTGCCCTTCTTCTTCTTCTTCGACGTCTTCAGCTCGCCGACGGCCTCGCCCCGCCGCTCCGCCGCAATCTCCTCGTTCAGCTCGCGCAGCCGCAGCAGCCGCGCCCGCACCTCCGGGTTCCCCAGCATCCGCTCCACCACCCCGCGTTCTCCCTCCTGCCACGCCGCCTCCGCCGCCACTGCCGCCCGGTACTGCTCGACGCTCTCGTACGCCGCGGGCCCCGCCCGCAGCCCCGTCAGCATAATATCTTCGAGCTGCTCCGACAGCTGCTGGTCCGTCGGGTAGCGCATCCGCGACGACGACGATGACGACGACGATGACGCCGCCGTCACGTGCTGCTGCAGTGGTGAGTGGTGGTGGTGGTTGTGGTGGTGTTGCTGCGCCTTTTTGGCCCACGTCTTTTTCTTCTTGGGCATTGCGCTGGTCGACGGCGACGACGGGGATGTTGATCTCTTGCGCTTATGCGCCGCGTCGACTGACGTCAGGCTGGCAGCCTTGGTGCTCGTGTCGAAGTGCTGCGCTGGCTTCTGCGCCGAATTGCCGCCGCTTCCGGGGCTGCCGTGGGGGGAGATTAGCCCGGGCGACTTGGGCTGTGCGGCGTTTTCCTTGTTGGACAGCGGCGGCAGGCCGTTGGGGAAGAGTCCGGGGAAGCGCGTCTGCGGCTTTTCCTCTGCCGGCTTTGGCGGAGGCGGCGGTGGTGACACAACCGCTGGGGCTGGCACTGATTCTGCTGGGGCTGGTGCTGCTGCTGATGACGATGACGATGAGGTCTTGATCTTCTTGGGCACGTGAGCCGAGGGGTCTCCTGACGCGGCGACCGAGTCCTTGCGCTTGCGACTGGCGGCTGCGGCGGGCGGAGCGGGAGAGCTAGCGGGCGAGACGGCTGTGTTGCTGGATTTGGACGAGTAGACGCTTTCTTCGGTGTGACTGCTGGGCGCAGTCGAGGTGACGTCGCTGGCCGTGTTGTAGGAGTACTTGTTGTCTGCGGCCGGCCTTGTGCGACGTCGGGGCCCGGAGAGAAAGTTGGAGGTGAAAGAGCTGTGCAGCTCCTTCTCCAGGCGCGTGGCCGTGGACGGTGGGGCCTGCTCTTCGGCGGGATCAACGGGCACGTAGGCCCAGCTGTGCTTGGGACGCGACGACTTGGCACGCCTGCCTTGATGCGAGGCGTCGGTGGAGATGGAGTTGATGGAATTGGAGCGCAGCTTAGATTGAGATTGGGGCTGGGGAGACATGCTGACGTGATGCAGGTGCGAAGAATGTGGAGCAACGGAAGAGGTGGTCTGGGCAAGAGAAGGAGCGGGAGGAAAGTAACGGAAAATGGAATCTTGATGAAAAGTTGTCATGGCGGGCAAAGCAAGCGAAGTGAAAGTCTCGGAGAGAAAGGGTGTGTGATGGTGGCGGAGCGTGTTGGTTGAATGGCCGCGGGTGCCAAGACCAAACACGCGACGCGTCTTACAATGCAACCCACGGCGGCGAGAGAGAGCGGGCGCGCGCGGCTGCGGAAAGAGGTGGAAGCAGACTTTTGGCAGTTTGGCCAAAGCGCGCACGCACGTTTGTTGTTGGGTGGGAGGAGGTAGGTATTGTAGTAGGGGAAGTTGGTTGGAAGAGGAACTTTGGGCGGCAGTCAAAGGTTGGTGTGTCTGGGATCAGGATTCAGGGTTGCTTACGTCAAAAGGGTCCGCTAGGGGTTCCGCAATGGTCTACAGGAGGCCTCCGCGCCCGTTTCCCAATCCCATCTCGACATTTCTCTTATATGCAACAAGGGCTATAGCTATTATTACCCTTCCGGCCCCCGTGTCACTTGTAGTGCGCTCGTGCAAATCTTCTTTGATGCCGATCCATCGTCAAGTCATCTCCCACCAAACCAACCAAGACATGACCTATCGCCCACATGCAAGGGGGGAGGAGGGTGTCGCTTTGGAATTTTTTTCCCTTGACCAAAGAGAGAGGCAAAAACATCCCTGTTCCACACGCTTGTCTATGTAGAACACGTAATCATCCCAAAAACGACCGACTGCAGCGCCCCTCACCTGATGAGGAAGCCCGCCGCGAAGAGGCAGGAGCATCGCAATATGAGATCGACATGCTGTCAGCCCACGAACTGCCGCCCTGTCAGGAACAGTCAACAATCTTCCCCCATCTTCATCACAAGCCCGTTTTGCCACCCTCCGCCTCAGCCGGCCCGTAAAAGCCCTTGGGAGCCTGAGTCCGGCGGCTACACCACGTGAGTCACTACTGCTCTTCGTGTGCATTCTCCTCTCTGCGCCTCGTTGCCCTAGTCGCATGGGAACCTTCTCGACGACAGGAAGCGCAGAAGGAATGTCGTCGGTAGGTAAGTGAAGAGACTCGAGCTTGTCGGGCCGCGCGAAGCCGCAAGAACCGGCTCGAAAGAACGAGTCGGCGCGGTAGTTTGTAGAAACGGCCAGAAACGAAAAATCAGGTGCTGGAGACGATGCTGCTACAAGCCAGGTGCGCAAGTCTTGGGCTCCGAGGGCTGTATCTCGTATTACCTATCAGTAGAGGCTGTAGATCTTACACATCCGTCTTAAGCAACTTGCGAGAAACGCAGCCTTATGACTATCTGGCACAAGAACAATCTTTTTTTTTTTTTTTTTAAAAAAAAAAAAAAAAAAAACTAAAAAAAAACTGCAGAAGAGGTTGTATGACAGCCACCAGGCATGAAAACGGCAATCCCTCACTAACCGAAGCAGCAACCACTTCATCGTCACATGCGACCATCCAGCTGTCTTCTTAGGTATTTTCTTACTCTCCCCAACCTCACACCCAGCACTGCATGGCCTTGAGCAAGACACTTCGTCAGCGACTCCACCATCCTCGCACTGTGATGCACTGCAAAACCAAACAGCAAAACAACCCTCAGAACCAACAAACCCGCAGTGACACTAAAACGCTCAAGCTCTACATTCGCACTATACAACACACACGACATGACCCACAAGCACAAGCACACACACCACCGCCACCAATCCACCCCCAACAAGTCTCTATCACACACCAGCATCCAAAGCCGAACCCAACCCCCACCTCCAGCCGCGCCAACCCATCGCAGCGGCGCACCCGACGCGTGCCTGGCTGGGCAGCTAGCCTAGCGGCCCGGCACGCAGCACGTGGACCGGCAAGCAAGGGAGAGGTACCTATGTACTCGGCAGGAGCGTAAGCGCCACGCTACGTGCTACGGTGCGGTTACGTAGGCAGGGGTAGGATCTAAGTGGAATCGAGTTAGGTAGAAGTATGTTAGTGGGGTCCGCTGCTGCTGCTGCTGCTGCTGTTATAAAGTGCTGTTATGAAGGCGAGGGTTCGTAAGGTGCTAAGTTGGTACTCCTAAGTACCTATGTAGGCAAGAGGCGAGCATGGCCGTTCACACAGCACGGCGCAGCGCGCGAAGACGGACAAACACACACACCCATCCAGCCAACAAGCAAGTGCATAACAGACGGCGCAGCAGCCTCGCCAACACCAAAAAGCGCTGCGTGCAGGTACACCTAGGTAGGCAAGAAACGCCTCTCGCGCATTCATAAAGCCTTAGCCGGTATATACACGGCATACGTGGAAGTGCAAGCGTAAATATAGCTAAAAAAAAAAAAATAAATAAATAAATAAATAAATAAATAAAAAAATTAAAATTAAAATTGAAATTAAAAATAAAAATAAAAATAATAATAAATAAATAAATAAATAAATAAATAAATAAATAAATAAATAAATAAATAAAGCTAGCCAGAGCAAAGAATCGCTGCCACGGAGCGCAACGAGAACGGACGAGTGAATCAAACAGACGAAGCAAAACCAACAACCAAGACGCCCGAAAACGCCGCGCAGCACCTCCTCGAGCAGGCATACAGGCAGGCATGCAAGGCTGTCGCAAGCCCTGCAACAAGCAGCAGGCAGCTGCAGCACTAGGTAGCGTCAAGAAAGCGCAAACCCCGACACCCGAAGCAGAGCGCAAAGCGCAAAACCAGAAAAGAAAAACGAAAATGAAAGATGAAGAGAAAGCAAAAATAAAAAGAAGACGGGTACGTAGAGTAGGTAGAGCAGGTAGGTGGGTGCCTAGAGCAGTACCTAGGATAATAGGTAGGTACTCTACCTAGGTAGAGGGAGGACCATAACGAAGGTAGGTAGGTAGGAGGTAGGCGCCGACCTCCGGCATACGTCATACCCAACCAACCAACCAACCAACCAAGTCCGCCCCCGCCCGCAACAGCGCAACGCAACTCAGCTCAGCTGAATCCAACAGCGCGCCCAACACAACCCAAGCCGGCCCCACCCGAGCTGAGCCGCGCCGCCCCCAATGCCGATGCCGGTGCCGAGGCTGATAGCAATGGAGATGGGGATGGAGATGGGGATGGGGATGGAGATGGGGAGAAGTAGAAGAGTCGGGGCCAGGACAGGATAGGATAGGTGGGTATGTATGTAAGTAGGCAAGGTAGCACGCCAACGGCCGCCTCCAACGGGACTCAGCAAGCCGACTCGACGCGTTCCCCGTGTGCAGCCTCCCTCTGAGAGAACTAGCTGGCTGGCTGGATAGCTAGACGCGAGGTATGGTTGTTCTCTGTAGTTTGTGCGTATGTTTGTATGTATGTATGTTCGTTGATGTTGTAGTAGCAGCATCCTTCGCATCCTTGCGTTCCCCGCCCACCGACAACGCCCGAAGAAGGTAGGTAGGTAGAGGTAGGTAGGTAGGTAGGTAGGTCGGTCGGTGTCTTGATGCGCACCTCAACTCAACTCAAACTCAACTCAACTCAACTCGGCTCAACTCATCAACTCATCAACTCAACAAGCCTGGCTGGCTGGCTGGCCGGCTCACCACGCCAGCGCACTTAGACTCCCGTAGTGCTGTCCGCCACACTCCACGCTCCACGCTGCACGCTCCGCGTTCCGGCTGAGAATGGGGTTTCCCGTGCGTGCGTGCGTGCATGCGTGTCGCGTATTCTTCCATTCATTGGCTCGTTGCGCGCGCAACGCCATAATCGCTCTTGCTCTCGCTCTTGCTCGTTCAATGTTCTTTGCCGCTTACTCATTCTCGTCCTTGCTTACTTCCGGTCGCTCACGTTCGTCCGCTCGCTTACTCGTCTTGCTCAATTCTGGTTGCTCACTTCCGGTTGCTCACTTCCGGTTGCTCACTTCCGGTTGCTCACGTTTCTTCGCTCGTCTGCTCACTCCGTCTGCTCACTTTCGTTGCTCACTTCATTCGCTCGATTCGTTTGCTCGCTTCGTTCGCACCACCACCACCCCACCCGATCCGACGCCCGTCTTGTCTCGGACTTGGAGGGGGAGGGGGATTATTTGGTGATGAAGCCGAGGTAGTCGGCCACGATGAGCGTTACCATGCTGATGTGCGAGTGGCGTTAGCGGTGTGGCGATGTTTCGGGTGTGCGCGCGTGTGTGTGCGTGTGTGCGTGTGTGTGATTTGCTGGGATAGGGGAGAGAAGAAGAAGAGGGGGAGCAAGACAGAGAGGGAGGGAGAGGGGTAAGTAGGTAGGGGAGTAACAAGCAGGGGCAAACTCACGCATGCGGCGCAATGCGGACATAGTACGTGCCAAAGCCGCGATAGAAGCGCAAGAGGCCCTCCTCCCTCGCGACCTTGCTAAAGCAGTTCGCCATGCCCGTATACGGCAACTTGCCATCCGGGCCTCTCGTCTGCTTCTGCAAGCGGGTCTTGACGAAATCAAACGGCAGCGAGAAGAACGAAGCAAAGAAGCCGGCGATGGCGGAAGCGGTGAGCGTCTGCTCGCGGCTCGACAGCGACGACTCCTTCAGCCGGTTCTTGGCCTCGCTGAAGAAGGCCAGCTGCCCAAAATTGAGCGCCATGGCGCGCACGACGGTGGGGGCGCAGCCGGCCCACAGGGCGGCTACGCCCTCGGCGCGCGAGATGCGCGTCAGCGCGTCGATGACGGAGCGGTAGTGGGCGCGCTCGGCGGGGGGTTTGAGGCCGTCGCTCTGCATGCGGATGAGGGCGAGGTCGGCGGGGTTGCCGACCATAGCAGCGAGGCCACCGGCGGCGAGGCCCGCGCCCGCGCGCTCCTTGAACCCGATTTTGGCGTTGCGCTGCTCGGCGCCCGCCGTCATCGTCTTCATGAACGTGTCGAAGAAGCCGAGCCGCGCTGTCGTGTACACGGCTTGCCGCAGCAGGCCCGCCGACAGCCCCGTGTACAGGTCCAGCAGCTTGCCCTGCGCGACAATGCTGCGCGTGACCGACAGCGGCGTCGGCTTCGGGCCCGTCTTGACGCCTTCGCCGGCGAGCTGCAGTCGCACTTTGATCATGTCGATGGGCTGGATGACGGTCGTGGCCGTCATGCCTGCGAGCCCGCCGTTGATGAAGGGCAGGGCGGCGCGCATGGCCGGCGCGTGCAGCAGATCGTTGGTGGCTTTGGAGGGGTTTTCCGCCGCCGTCTTCATGGCGTTGGGCGCTTCGCTGAGGGATTCCTTGGCCGAGTTGAAGGCGTTGGTCGTTTGGCGCTTGGCGGCCTCGAAGGCGGAGGATCCGGCGTTGGACATGGTGCTTGCTTGCTTTGCTGTGTGTTTGTTTTTTTGTTGGGACTGGGTAGGTAGGTGAGGAAGTCGCGGCAGGTGCAGAGGAGAGAGGTCAGAAGGCACGAGGGCTAAAGTAGTCCGCCGTCGGTAATGGCTTCTACTCTTCCTTCAAGGAGGCCTGAGGCTTTGCCGGAGCTCTCTCGGACAAGAGGAATGTGCCTGGATCACCGCGGGGCGATCAGTACTGGAGTGGGTTTATAAAGACAGCAAGCGGGCTCGCGCGGTGAGTGAGGGGGGGAAAGCTAGTGTAAGCCAAGCGTGGTGGGAGCTGCAGGGACAGTGCTGGGTTATAAAAAAGCGGGAGAGAGGAGGCTTTGTTGGGACAGCTAGAGGTAATGAATCATCCCAGGGCGGATGTGATGGCGGCGACCCGAAGACACAGGCGCACGGGGCGCTTCCTCTCCTTCTCTCACGCTTTGGTGGTGGAGGTTGCGGAACAGGCCTACCAGTAGTGATACCGTGCAGCAGCGCTAAGCCCCGCACGCCGGACACACGAGTGGAATACGCAGGAGTAGGAGCTCGGGTAGAGTGAGTGCAGCAACGGATAACAGCAGAAGAGACGAAGAAAAGGTAAGGGGAAAACGCGACGACGGAAAAGCAATAGTTAGCGGTCGTAGTACGTTAAAGTAGTGGGCGAGGAGAAATGGAATTAAAAACTCTGGCCGAGCGGAAGCTGGTTTGGCACGACGACCCCTCCTGGCCTCCGAGCAAGATGCGGGGAAGCGCAGCAGACCAGGCGTAACACGGCGAAGCTTGTTTGTCGTGCCATCGACAGGCCAATAACAGCTGAGGTACGTACCAAGCTAGGGCAGCAAAGCAGACGCCAGCCAGTGATGAGCCCGGCCGTGGTCCGACTTCTTCCTGCGTGCTGCTTGCTGCGCCCGCGGCTTCATGGGTCATGATACTCGTTGGGGATGGCGCCCTCGCCGTCTTCGTCGCTGGTGTTGTGTGTGGATGACTCTGAGCTGCGTCATGCGCGCTGTCATTGGCCCATAGTCACGTGACATGGCTTCATGCTCCCAGTCTCCTCTAGTACCCGAGGTTGCGGCGGCGCGCCTGGGGCATCCATCCATCCATCCTCACGACTCTCCGTCTCCGTCGCTCGCGCACTCGCAAAAACACCAACCAGCGCATGCTCCCTGCGGCTCCTCCGTAGCCGCGACCCGGGCCGTCGGCAACGCACGCTAGAGTAGGTACTCTACCTAGTCGTGCTCGGCTGCACGATATGAGGACGAGAAGAAAAAGCGAGAGAGCGATGCGCGCGCGCGTTTTTGCACGCCGACACGACGGGTGGTGCCACGATATCGCGTCTCCTCATCCTCGCACACCCAACGTGTGTGGTCGGAGGGGCGGATCGAACGCCCGTGTTTCCTCCGCACCTCCTTGTCTCCGAGAACGGTCACTGCGAACTAAGGGTCGGGCGACGGCGCTGCCGCTAACTAACGAGCGTGCGCTTCTTTAGCCAGCTGCGCGGCCCTTGTTTGCCGGCTGCTTGTTCCGAGCATCTGTGTCCTGTCAGTGGGTGGTTTGCGGCGAGCGTTTTTGCTTGTCAGCATCAAGACGTCAGGTGCCCCGTCATGATTTCCTGATGTAGTAACTTGTTATCAAACAAGCCTCTGTTTTTCTTTTCATTCCTCTTCTCGAACTTTCATTTTTCCTATTACTTCCCCCCATGAGGACTGAGCTCTCCCTACAACATCCATAGCCCGCTGTGGATACATACACTGTGCGCCCCCGACCTGATGACACGGGATATGCATGGCGGCTCCGCTACGGAGTCCACTATGGGGACCCATAAACGCGCAGGGTCTCCAAGACCCTTCAAATGTGGATCACCAAAGCCTAGCGACCCAGCCCAACAGATCCGCATTGTATATCAGTTCAGCGGCGAACGTACGACACGGGCGGCAATCGGGCGATCGGGCGATCAGCCCATCATCAGGAGCGCTGAACCGCTTTCTTCAGTGAGTCAAAGATCCATTGACTCAACGGCCCGCGAAACATTTATCTGGAACACCGCCCTCTTGCTGAGAATGTTTGTTATTGACAATAGTCGTTGTCTCTGCCCACAGTCCTCCAATCTAGATCGAAGGGAAAGAGAAACCCGGGTTTTGGACGGAAAAACGAAAATGCCAAAGCATGAGCTGAACCTATGCGCCCGCAACAGGTAACCCAACACTGCGCGTCCACTTCCTCCAGCTTAAGGATACCATCGGCACCGCACCCTCACCGTCTTCCCGCCCCGATTGATAGCAAACGCCACCTCAGGCTGCGCGTCCCCGCCCGTCCGCTCAAAAACCTTCTCCTCCCCCGGCGCCAGTTTGCGCACATCGAAGCATTCGCCCTCGGGTTTCTCCTGCTCCGCTGGCTCCAGACTGGCGCTTCCGCTCGAGAAGCGCTTGCCCTCCTCGAGATGAATCTGGATGTTCAGGCCGGCGAGGCTGGCAAAGAGCGGTGCCGCGGGGAGGATCTTCGAAAATCCGCTTTCGCTCGCTTGAGATGGAGGCTGTTTGGCTTCGTCCAGGCTTTTTGAGGCCTCTGAGAGCGCTCTTGGCTGATCAATCGTAGGTGCTGCGGAAGCTGCTGCCGGGACAACGTCTGCTGGAGACGAGTTGTCGGGCGCGTCCTTCTGCCCAACATCTGGCAAAGGGACAGTAGCCGCATCGGGGGCAGTATTCTGTCCAGTGTTGGATCGAAGCGCGACCTCTTCGGCTGCTGCGTTCTTTTGCCCGGTATCAGGTAACGGTACAACCTCCTCGGGAGCGGGTTTTCTTTCAGCATCGGGCAAAGGCGCACCCTCGTCGGGAGCAGCTTTTTGCTCCATGTCCGGCAAAAGCGTAACCCTTGATGCCATGATTGTAGGTGCTTTCACCGGAGAAGCAGGCGGTTTCATGGGAGTAGTGACGACGTGCACGTGGACTTCAGCCATAGGCTTCTCCGGCAAGGCCAAGAAAGCCGAGGTGACTTCATCGCCCTCCATAACCGAGTCTCTGGGCGGCGCCTTGTCGGGCACAGGGACGGGCGTCGGGACGGTGGAGACGGTGGGCGGGGGCAGGACGTCCTTGAGCAAGTTGATGGTGCTCTGCATGGGGTAAGCGCGGAACAAGTGGATTTTCTGGGCGCGCCGGAGCTGCACGGTTTTCATTTCCTGGACAATGTCGCGGTCGACAGCGTGCAGGGCGGAGCGGAGGCGCTTGCGCGTGTCGCTGCTGTAGTCCTTGACATCGGGCACCGTCCATTGGCAGTAGACCTGCCGGTGCGCTTTGGATACCACGAAGCGCCCGTGCGCCTTGATGAACGCGTCGCAGAGGAAGCAGGCTTCTTTGGACGAGCCGATTGCGCGCGGCCGCGCAAGACCAGCGTGTCGCTCGTAGTGCACGAGCAGCTGGATCTCGGCGTGCACGTATCGGCGCCTCTTGGATGTCACTGAGCGAAGCGGCGAGTAGGGCTCCAGGACCCCCAGGTCGGCATTTTGGAAGAGGCCGCGGAACGGGCTTGATCGACATCTATATGCCAGGCTTTGGCTAATGCGCCAATAGCTGGCGAGCTTGCTGAACTGCCGGATTTCTTTTGCGTCGGACTGCTCGACCGATGCGCCCAGGGCCTGCAGCCTGCGGCTCAGGGACACGCCGTCCTCGGTGATCAAGAAGGCTTTTGCCAGCAGGCGCTTGAGCAGCACCGTCAGGTTGCTGCCTTTGTCTGCGGCTTCGAGCTCCAGGAATGTGTTGTGGAAGGAATCGATCTCGTCCTTGAGCGCCGATACCTCCGGCGTTGGTCGGCCGGGGATCATCACGTCTACGGCCCGTTTGAAGTGGAGACTCAGTGACTTCCCGCTCCAGCCGTGAGCATTCTTTGGCCGTTGGAAGTACTTGGACCCGATTCGGCCGAAGATCTTGTTCTCGTTGAGGCGGACGATGGTGTCGAGGATGCTCTCTTGGCAACGAGCGCGACTAGTCCCTATTGAAGCGCAGGTCAGTCATTATTTGCTGAAGCTCCTTGCGGAACGCTCAAGGCAGGGCCAACGAACCTTTGCGAGCGCACGTATTCAAGTGGCCCAAGATATCCCTTAGGGCTCTCTCTACGCAAGCATTGACACCCTCATTTGCGGCCAGCCGCACGGTAAGCCTCTCAGGATCTGTTGCGATTTCCAGCGCGGCAGTAGTGACATAGGCGGGGCCGGGCTCATAGGCGGCGACAAAGGCGAAGTCGTCAGCCAGCTGTCTCTCGACGGCGAAAGAGAGGGTTTCGTGGGACGCCTTGGGCCATTCAGCATGCGAGTAGCGGCGGGGGCCGGCGACGACGTTGGTGCGGGCCAATTCGTCGACGTGGGCCTCAAAGGTTTGGCGTCCAAGGCCCGTCCAGACGGAGTGGTTGGGGACAGCCGTGTTGGGAGCCAGCATGCTGTGTCTTTCTGCCTTGATGGTAACTTTTTCTTTCCTTTGCAATTGCTCTTGTTCTTCTTCTTTTCCCTCTTGCTCGCGCGCGCGTCAGGCTGCAAAGCCAAGCAAGAGAAGAAAGAAATGCCCGATACAAAAGGACTTAGTGCCACAGGCCGCGAGCATGCGAGCCTGGCAGCTCCCCCGGCGCTGCTGCTGCGCTGGTCGTCGATACATAACTAACGGCAGCGGTGTTGGGCGCGCGCGCGCGTGCAGCCGCAGCCCAGGCCCTGATTCGTACCACGTAACTACGGGAACGCGAGTACATGTACATGTACATGTGCAAGCGGGCGAGGGTGTCGGGCGTTGTAAGGAGCGGGCAAGCGGCGGGCTGCAGCTGGCCGTGCGCCCACGTCACTCGATTGGTTTGGCTGCGTTCCCGCGCCTGCAGCTGCCGCTCTTAGCCCGCGCGCTTTGGGTTCGCCCTGCAGCGCCCGCCCGCTTGTTTGCTGCTTTTATTGCTATTTTTTTTCTTTGCGGCCCTGCGCTGCGTGGTTTGTGCTTTCTTTTTTGGGAGGAGCCTGTCTTTCCACGGCTTTTTGGTTTTCTTTTGTTGTTTTTGCGAGAGCCGCGTCGCGCTACGCGGGTGCGCGCGTTTCGTCTGGCTTGTTTTTAGCACGCGCTTTTTGCTGCTTCTAATTAACTACTTGTTTCAACAGCCTGCTATGCCACAAAGCCCTCAACGCAGGCCCGACTGCTCACTCTTCGGAACAGGAGTATCCTATTGTTATCCCCATGTAATGGCTTCTGGCAATTCCAAATTCAATCCCTTCTTCTGATGACCCAAAACCGGGCAGGTCATTCCAGTCAACCCTCATCGTCGCCTAGGCTTTTTCGCCAAATATCTGACCCGGCAATGCCCACCGATAGTGGTGGCTTCGCCGGAGGTTCTGCAGCCCAGCACTAAAATTTAAAAAGATTACAGCTGTTCCTGCACTTTCCACTTCCTCTGGTTCCGGAGGGAGGTTGTGTTTGCTATACGGCTGCAGCAAACACCATCGCTGAAATAAACTGCGCGTACCCACCCTTCCGGGGCGAGCCGCACGCTGACGGAATTGCTAGAAGTATTTGTACTAAAATAACACTAAGCCACAAAGCCTTTGACAAACAGCCTCGACCGTCATGCTTCAGCCCCAGAGCTGCGCGTCGATGATGTCACTGATGCAGGGTACGAGCATTTGGTTTAGAAGTCATTGCCGCGGTGAGTGCAGTTTCTCGTCAGATAAGGAGGCTGTGTTCGCTCGCGTGGATGAAGTGTGTGCCGTAGTGGGGAGTGGGGAGTGGGGATGAGTGTTGGGTTGAGGAGAAAGGCCGTAGAGGTGAGGACGGAGAAGAGAGCTGTAAGACTGGTTTGGTACCTGCTGCGCACTGCGGGCGCTCTTGTCTGGGTATTTGTGAGCGGGAAGGGAGATGTTGCTCCAGGTGGAGGGACGAGCTATGATATCAGTGCTTCTTGCTCAGTTCCATGCTTCTGGTACCTTAAATATGGTATATCTTCCGAGGTGTCCGAATCTTTCACTTTACACGCTACCTCTACCGTACACATGGAGAGAACATTACAGAACATTACACTGCGCGGCTCAGCGTCAACAATGTCAAGGTGTCATCGTGGCTGTGCCAGGACCAACTTAATCCGCACCCAACACCACAAGCCCAAACCCCAAACCCCACCTCCAAGTGGTCAGTGAAGACCGATCATCATCATCTGCACACATCGCGCACACCCACCACCATGCCTAGATACTAATCTCCAGCTCCATCTTTCAGTGACACCCTTCACCGTCACCACAATCCCCTTCATACCTCAAACCCAAGACCTAACACAGTCACGCACACGCCCCGGCGCAGAGAAACGGGTGCAGCCGCGCAGTAGCACGCGTTGGCACAGCAGCGGAAACGCAGCGGCAGGCGCAGGCGCAGGCATGAGCGCAAGCGCATATCGCGCTTCTACAGTTCACTTAGTGGGCTTTATACCACGGCTCTGGCGCTTTTCACGTGCTTGACGGTCTGGGTGCAAACGGAGCGGGCGGGTCAACTGAAGCGATAGAGTATACTGGTGGGCTGGGAGGGGGTAAGACGGGGCAGGGCTAGATGGAAGAGGGTGGGGCGGATAAAGACGGTTGGTTATAAGCTGCGGGGTACAGTGGTGATGAGTAATTGGATGCGAGCTTCATTTCAATGAATGCGCTTGTTGTGCCTCACTCGGGAGAAGATACTCTAACACACACCACTTTTCCATGTCATTGCCATAACGAACCCATCGCTACCGGCACCTCTCACTAGGACATGGAAGATCTCCTAGCATCCTGTAAACTCAGTTCCAGACAACAACACACCGTGCCCTGCAACTGACGGCTTGTAAAGGGGCGTCTGGCCTTTCTCCTTGCTCAAAGATGTCGGTACTCCCGGATGCATAGGTTCTCGGTGCATGTCGTCATTGACGGATATTTTGAATGAGGGCTACTAGCGTTGATGGTGCTGAATGTTATCGCTGCGTTGCTGATGATGCTTAGGTACGAATTGAGGATGCTTTCCTTGAGGGTTGGTAATGATGGGACTTGTAAAATAGATTCAAGAGGGCGCCTGTAAAAATACCTCTCCACGTTCCGATACATCATGTATCGGGTCAAAGTGTTGTTCTGCCGTCCATGATAGGTTGTGTGAGATAGGAAGGAACGTTTCGAAAATGTGTCTTTATAAGTATTTGGTATTGACATGTCCTCTCCTTCTTGCGTTTACTAAGAATTAACCACAAAGCTATTCAGGGTACTCCTACTGCGGTATTAGCATCCTCTAGTGAGTATATGTCGCCGTCTTGCCACGTTAGTCTACGAATTACGCTAGGCAGCGCCCCGCAAGCGAAATCGCTTCACTGATGCATTTCACCACAACGCGTTATCCCAACAGTACAAAACAGAAACTATATGCAACCTAGTCGCTAATAAGGTCCTAAGTTAGGGTTATCTGGGCGTAACTCGCCTTTGTACTTTTTGCAACAGTAGGTGATGGCGAAGTGTCTTCGAACGCACCACCTTACAGTGCCAATTACCCGTAGGGTTGATGATTTAAGCTTTATCGCTATGAATTTCAAAGAATAAACACCCTTCCTGCAGCTGTTTTTAGTTCATACTGTGTCGCCTGCTTTCACATGTTTTTTTACTCAACTTTCATCTAACTTCTTCACTGAAAAACACTGCCATCTAAAACTTCGATGAGTCTAAACTGGTTGTAGTGAAAGATATATAACTAACCCCTGTCCCTCTATACAAAATGATAATAAAGTTTAATGCGACAAGAGCGCACTTAGCCATGCGCCGACATAACTGCTTATCCTGTCAAAGCCGGGTAGAATGAAAATGTTTCAACATAATTCCGTAAACTTAAAGTGGAAAGACTTATCCCATCAAAGGATCTAATCCCTAGAACAAATAGTATTAGACAAGCTCTATATTCGCTAATCCCCTGCCCGTTTTAATGAAAATATATATCCAGCCAAATCACCAGCAAAAAAGGACAAAACGCCAAAATAAATCCGAACACAACCCCATCACTCCATACCCTCACCCACAAAGACCAACAATCACCGAAAAATCCCGACTTCAAAAACACAACAAAAAACCCCAACTGAACCAACAGCGACCTTTCTCCCCCACGCACCCCAGACCCAATCCAGCACGTGACACGGCAGCAGCACCAGCCAAACCCGAAGAAACCCCGCGCGGCATCCGCAACGCCGCCCGCAACATCACCGACGAACTTCCCAGCGACAGCGACAGCCAGCAGCAGCAGCAGGAGCGCCCTACCGCACCCGATCGCCATGGCGAAGAAGCGTAAGCCGCGCCCACCTCTCTCCCCAACACCAATCCCCACCATCAGCAGTAGCAGCAGCAGCACCAACACCGCGCACTTTTCCTCGCAAACACCTTCTCCGCAACGCACCACGACGCAACAGAGCGCGCCAATGGCACCGCCAAATATGTGTTTGTACAATGTAGGAGCCCTAGCTAATGCCGTCCCCCCCGCGCAGAGAAATCCCGCACCATAGCCGTGCGCCTCATCTCCATGGCCATGACCGGTTTCTTCCGCACCATGATCCGGCCGCGCACACATCGCCCGCTGAGCATGATGAAGTACGACCCCGTCGGTACGTGATCGGCCCCTCTCTCCCTCTTTATATGGACGAACAAGCACAGGACAACGGGACGGATGGTGGTGGTGGAGGATGGATGAGGCGGTTGTATGATGTAGTGGAGGTGGTGGGGAAGGAGAAGAAGCGTGGATATGGATGGCAATAGCAGTGGCAACGCGGACAAGACAGGACGGCACGGAAAAGAAAACAGCTGACACCCCGTTCCAGTGCGGAAGCAAGTCCTCTTCCTCGAGCAGAAGCGCAGTAAGAACAAATAGGCGGGCGCGCGCGACAGTCCTACCGCGCGGTATAAGGCGCGGCTGTATGGATGGGAAGACAGAGCACAAAAGAGTCTCGGCTAGCACAAACAGACGGTCAAAAACAATCGTTCTGCACGGGAACCAAGCACGGCTGGTTGAGTAGACGTAGATACAGCTTGATGCGTGTGGCTGTGCTTGAGACGAGACGATGGGAGGAATGAGCATTTATCACGGCGTTGGGGAAGTGGATAAGGAAGCTCAAGGCTTGTCAATGTGGCCGCTAGCAGCTATTTCTTGTACGATACATGTACAGCAAATGAATCAGGTAACCCTGGGTCTTTGCGACGCTTTCTTGCTTCCTCCGAACATGTTGTAAGAAAAAGAGCTTAGTAGCAACTTGTGGAACCTCCAGCAACATCTGTTTAGCTCTGTTTTGCAATCATAAATCAACCACCGAAAAACTGGACCCTGAAGAAACCGCAGAGCTAACGGTTATGTCGCCGAGGTGAGACACCCACTGATGATATTGCAGTGAACAGACCGGATCCTTAGCACAGAAGTAAGCTGAACATTAACATAGGAAAACGTGAGTAGAAGTATAAGGCAAACAGCGTGTCGTGCAACTTCGAGAGAATTAGATATAAATTTGGTTAAGTTCAATAAAACGAGGCGTATGCGGTTCACTGTCCATCGAGTTCCCGGGAGAAGCGGAGCTCATAACGCTGCTCTAGAACTTTGTTAGCACGGAACATCTTGCTACTCTATCAGGCATGACGTACGACTGCTACGTCGCGCAGGTCTGCTAGCGGTGCGGCCATTCGTAGGGCTTGCCGCTGCTGCTGAACTACGCATGCGCGTGTGCGTGCTACGTTGGATGGTCGAATGGGGTCGACGCGGAGTTTCGGAAGGCTGCGAAAGTCGAACCTGAGATTGAGACTGTGACTCGGAGACGTGTATACCGAGACTGCTGGTGCTGCTAAGCTGCGAAGAACTGTAGTCATCTTTCGCCCGCTTGTTACTAGTGCTAGCAACGCTTCCTTCCGCAGCAGGGCGTTTAAGAACACCCGGACGTTTTGCAGGTTGCTCGGGGCGAGCTGCTTGCGAGCTGGTGCGAGAAGGGGCAGGAGTGGCATTTCTGGGGGCTCGTGCAGTATGGTTGTAAGTAAATATCTTGTTCGAGCCATTCGGACCTCGCCCGATATAGTCAGGTGAACTGCTTCCCTTTGTAGGTGGTCCCTGTTTGCCCTGAGGAGAAGCGAACTGAGAGCCTGCAGAGGAGTTCGCTTGCGTACGCCTATCATGTTGAGCGCTCGGGGTACGACCGACTCGAGCACTTGTATTTGCCTGAGATTGCGGACGATCAAAGTTCGTAAATGGGTTCTCAAACTGTTGTGTCTGTCTTGGGCGTTTCTGCGAAGTTGGAGAGACGTAATTTTCCCTAGAAGCACCGGGATCGGGAGACAGCTCCTCGCGAGAATGTGGTTCGCGGCTGGTGCCCAAAAACTCGTCACGGTCGTACGCAGAGGGCGAGTCTGGCAGATCCCAGTTACCGATGGAAGTAAGATCAGAATCGCTATTCTCTGAGCTACGACGCTTGGGAGTCTGGTGCAGACTGTTGAATTGTGAGAATTTCGCTGGTGAGGTTATCGACTCATACTGCGTTTCAGGAACGACATCGTGAGGATCAGAACGAATGTATACACCGTTCTGCGTGAGAATTTCCTGACTTCCCAACGGTTGAGATTCAAGCACTTGCGTATCGTAGTCCCTGTCATCCACCACCGGAAGATTCTGACTTTCTGGGATCTGAGATTCTTCTTCGGAAGCATGCAATATACCGGCAGAATGCTGACTTTGCGAAGATTGGTGGACATCATTAGCGGGATTACGAGAATGGTTTGCTCCTCTCCGCGGCTTGTCGAGCGAGTTGGAAGCAGTGGTCAGCTGGGTTGTTACAGTGGCGCGGGTTCTAGAAGTGCTGGACAATCCAGCCTGAGAGTCCCTGAAAGCTTGCTCTGTAGCCTTGACATAAGCATCCATCCGGTCTCTAAACTCACGGAGCCTTGACTCAGCGGTCTCAGCGCGTCTTTCCAAATTGCCACGTATCTCTTGATGTTGCTGGGCTTTCCGGTTCATCTCAGCATCATGCATGCGCTGAGAATTCAGTTTTTCTTCTTCGCGGTCTTGGACTTCCTCGTTCAGCCGACGTTGGAGCTCGCCAACATCTGTCCTGTACTTTTCGGCTTGTTTCTTGATTTCACCTTCAGCATTTCTTTTCACCGTCTGCAGTTCGCGTTCTAATTCCTGAGTCGCAGACTGAGCTTCCCGTAGCTGTTCATTCAAGTTGTCTTTCTCTCGAAGGTGTTTTTCCTGTTGTTCTTTTACGAGTGACTCTTGACGTTTTATCGACAGTTTAAAGTCAGCTTCGGCTTTCTTGTGCGACTCTTGGACAGTTGCAAGAGAATCTTTGATTTTCTGAAGCTCTTTGGTTTTGGCCTCCACTTGCTTGGTTAGAGACTCTTTGTAACCTGCTATCGTCCGCTGGTGTTCGGCTGTAGCCTGTTCATACTCAGATTTCAGCTGCTTTGCTGCGCGGTTTTTCTCATTGAGCGCAGCTTCTGCTTGTTCAGTGGCTTGACGGAGTGATACCATTTCGGCAGCATCAGAAGCTCGCTCTGCCTCCAACGTCTGTAGTGAGGCATTCTTCGCTTCGAGTTTCTCTGACAGGGCATCGATTTCCAAGGATTTTGAATTGTCGTTGAGCTCAGACTCAGTTTTTTCCAGACGGGCTTGAAGGTCTTCCAAGGTTTTGTTGGCCGAAGCTTTGGCCGCGTTCAGGTTAAGGATATGAGTCTCTTTCATCAGAACTTGGCGCTTGAGGTCTCGCATCTCCTTTTCCTTCGAGTCCACAATTCCTTGCAATTGAATAACTTTCTGGTCCTTCTGATACATTTCGTTCTCGTGCTTGGCTTCTTGAGCCTGCTCCAACTCCTTCGCATCTTTGGAAAGTTGCGCGTGAGTTTCTTTGATAAGCTTGTTAGCCTATAAGAAGCTGATTAGCGAAAGAAAATTATGCAAGCAAGGAATATCACTACGTTTTCAGTAGCTTGGTCACATTGTGTACGCAATTGAATACATTCTTCCTCGGACAATCTCAGCTTTTCCTGGATATTTGTTAACTTTGAACGGTAAACCAAAAAACTGGAACATACCTGCAACTCCACACGCTCCGTGCGAAGCCTTTCCTCTGATTCGGATAAGGCCTGGAGCTTCCCCGTGTTCTCAGATACATCTGAGCGTGCAGTCTCAAGTTGCATCATCAAATCCTGATTCTTCGCTTCGAGATCCCGGATTTTGGACTCGTCTATCGGGATGACCGCCGCTTTGGCACTAGCCAATTCTTCTAGTAAACTCGCAACACTGTTCTGGAGACCAGTCTCTCTAGCCTTTGATTCATTGAATTGCGCATTGAGGGTTGTGATTGTGTCCTGCAGGCCTGTGGAACGTTCCTCGATAATTGCATTGTTCTCCCGTAGCTCCGTGACTTGATTTTGCATAGCTTTCCAGGATGAAAGTTCTTGTTTGAGCGTCTGAAGATGGCTTGTGAATCGTTCCTCGGTCGTCGAGGCTGCTTTCTGAAACCCGGCAGTGCTCTCTCTCGCATCACTGAATCCAGACTCGATGCTGTTGGAAAATTAGTATCTAGAAGACTTAGCCAAAGAAAGATACTTACTTCTCTTCGAGTAGTTTGGTCATCTCCTTCAGTCTTTCAATGCTATCTGGAAGGGCAGAATTGGATGAATGAAGTGACCTCATCAAATCAAGGCATTCTTTGAGGTGGTTCCGCAAACTTTCGTCATTGCGAAGCTCATTGAGTGGAACAAGGAGTGAATCATAACTCTCAGAAAGCTTCTTGGAAGACTCGGCTTGCGCTTTCAATGTCGTGTTGATGCTGTCATATTTTTCCAATGCGGTATTCAGCTGTTGGGTCAGAAGATTTTCGTTTCTGGCCCGATCTTCGACACGCTCTTCAGCCTTGCTCTTCAACTCTTTCTCGTGCTTGTAGTCCTCGATGATCTTAGAATGGGCACACTCCAAGTCTTTGTGCTTCTTCTGGAGCCCGTTAAAATTGCACTCGAGCTCCTTCTTCGACGATTTCAAGTCTTCGTGTTTTGAGAGACTTTCCTGAATCGTGCTTTCGTGTTGCTTCACCTTTGCGGCTAAGCCCTCTTTCTGGGAAGCCACTTGCTCTAGTTGAGCTCGAAGTCGTTCCATATCCCTATTCCGGGCGTCTTCTCGCCTCGCCTCTATGCGTGCTGCTTCCTCTTGTTCGTCTTGCATGATCTTGGCCAGAAGCATGAACATTTCCACTGAAGCTTTACGGGGCGGCTGTTCATCCTGCGTGGCATTTGCTGCAATCCATCGCTGATCTCGGTCTACTGTAGGGCCCACCTTCGACGGTTTCGTAGTTTTCGGTTTTGAGACTTTGGAAGGGCCGACGCGGGACGATATACCGTGCAGAAGAGCATCATCAATTGTCTTAGATGCTTCAGCGGCGATTGGTCGAGGCTTTGGATTCGATGAACGCACTTGCTCTCCAGCCAAGTGTTCAGGGTGAGTCGAGCGTTTCGTGGGTTTCTTGTGTTGGGCCTGACCAGAAGGCCTTACTGGTGGGTGAACGTCGTGTGTTGATACCCCGGAAGGCAAGCCCTGTCGGTTGGTACCGTCGCATGCTGATTCCTCGGCAGAACCCGAGAGGTTTTGTGTAAGTGACGGCAGAGCGGTTGCTCGGCCTCCAGTGAGGCCAACATCTGATCCTTCTAAAGGAGCTTCTGGCGTCTGAGCCATGGCGCTCTCTGTAGACCGCTGGCTTTTGTCTGGTCTGCCGCCATCTGCGTTTGGAGCAGTGCTTTCCCTGGTACCATTCGGAATCGTAGCATTGGCAGGCGGTACTTCATGCGTCACATCGGTGCTGTTCCCCGCAGAGACGGAAGATTGGAGCACCGGTTGTGACAAACCAACATCTGAAGGGGAGGTGGTATCATCGCTCGTCCTTCCCGACGAACTTTGCGTAGGCTTGAAGAGTTTCTTGCGCTTTTTTGACGGCTTCAAGGGTTTACCAGGCAGAATAGACTGGTGCATCGCATCTACCTCCTCTCTGATGGGCTCAAGAGGCGTGTGTCCCTCCCACATATGTGGTATCTCCATTGGACGAAAGGTCGGGTTAGCGAAAGTACTACTCATCTGCGCGTTCTTGTATTTCGGAGCCAATAAACGTGTTCCTATGGTCTTATCAAGGGCTGGTTTTTCATGGTAACCTGAAGCAGGCTTCTTCCCAGCTCCACGGGTGAGTGTACTGCCATCATCCAAGTTGTTGTGTTCGTGGGTGGTAGACGTTTCGCGATCAACTTGGAAAGGGGGACTTGCACTGGCTCGATCGTGAAGTGCCCTTTGATCTGTGCCTCCGCTCTCATGGCTTGTGATTTGGGAAGGTGAAGTCGGTGATTGAGACTGATGCATCTCAGAAGACGATGTTGAATGCTGACTTGGACCTTGAAGAAGCTTGCGGTGAGGGTGGGACCGCATCTGATCTGTGAAGTGTTAACAGCGAGAATGGCAAGGCGCTTGGATGGGCTTACCAGGCCGTGCCTGTGGAGTTCTTTGACCCGTTGTCGGTGTCGGATGAGAAGTGCCATTCCGCTGGTTACCGGGCGTCTTGCGTGTGCCTACCAAATCAACCTGCCGCTTGGTCGCTGGTCCAAAGAAAAAGCCAGCGTCGTTCCGCTCTCCACTAGATTGAGGTCTTTGCACGAATCCGTTGTTGTTTAGTCCTTGTTTGGGACGGTGATCGGCAGAGGTGTGAGCAGCGCCTGATTGCAATGAAGAAGACACTTGATGCTCGTCTTCGTCATATGGTTCACGCATGATGGACGCCGAAATTTGAGTGCTTGGAATTCGGTTCACTTCATCGCATTCGACCTCATGTTCAAGTATGTGAGGATGACTTTCTGGTGTGCCTTGGACGAGGACACGTCCTGACACCGACGGTGAATCCATCTCGGTCGTCTGTGAGCTGCCGATCGATGTGCAGCTCAGGAAGTGCCTGCGGAGTCTCTGGAAGATGCCTCCAACAGGCATAAAAGACCCGCACGAAGAACTGGGTACTGAGGACTGACAAAATTTTGATGAAGAAAAACTTGAGAGAGACTGAAAGATGGTGTAGCGGATGAAAGTGTGAGTGCGTTGAGACTTAGGCAAGAGGGAAGGCTGTTGAGGCAGTTGCCACGAGCCGCAGCAGCCTTCGACTGACCCTGCCTTCCTCAAAGAGAAGGAAGGATCTATGCCAACATGCCAGCTCTGGCGAACAACCTCATGATGCTCCTCCCTGATGGGAATGAACAATATCTGAGTTTAACTGAGATAAAACCAAATCGAACTCAAATATTCAAATGAGTCGTAGAAACTGAGGTGGTTCTCAACCAAACCTCCGCCATGACTTTTGCAACCTGCCGCGCCCAAGGGATGCAGGTTCGGGGCAATCAGAAGAAGCTTCAAAACTTCTGAAAGCGCCAATTCTTAGAGCCTCCGGGCATGAGCTTTGTCAAGTCGACCTACTGTAGGTACCAGACGCTTCCTGATTGAACGCATTGCGGGAATTTGGGATTCTACAATGTCCCGCTTGTTTTTTTAATACCCCTGTCATGTTTGAAGTCATGCGGTTCTTAGCAGGCAGAGTTCCTATCATCTCTTCATGCTCTCACAGCGTACTGTATAGGTGTTTCCCACGGTATGTGGTCGTCAGTCAGCCACACCGATCACATACCCACATCGCCATCTCGCACCAGGAGTGCGCTCGAGTCAAAGCTCATCGCGCCATAAAATCTTTCAAGGGCAGGCGACTCAACTTCTTCGTACTCGGCAAACGCAGCGTGACCCAAAGAGTTTCCCACGAGGAGGAGGCGACCCATGAGCGAGCCGCAAGAACCCCGCCGCGACCGACCATCACTCCCGCACAACTCGCCATGAGTGGCCATCACTAGCAGAAGTCACAGTGATTCTCGGGCGTGCGGTCGGCGTCGCGAGGGCTGTCGGCCGCCGTCTCGGTCCCTCGCCAAACAAGCCCTGCGGCAGGCACGCCGCGACCGACCAATCAGCATGTTCAGACGCGTCTCGCGCACCAACACCCTCGTCGCGCATCTCTCTAACCGCCGTGCCTGCCTACGCTTGCCACCAATCGCCCGCCGCCACAGCTGTTCCTGCGTTGTGGTTGGATCCAGGGCTCACACTTTGGATGTGCCCAAATGAGGGCATCCTTGTGTGACAGCGTGTGATGCTGTAGCCGCCGGGGTGAGGAGGCCGCGGCAAGGGCCTCCTGCCGTTGTGTGCTGGTGCTGGGCACCGATGGTGGTGTGGTGTTAATATAGGAGCTTTGGGACTCAAGAGTTTTTTCTCCATTGGCAGCTTTATTGCTTGCTTCCGCAATTTCCTCCGTCGTCTGCAGTCTTTTTTCGTCCCGCCGCCGCCAGTCTTTTATTATCCGGATCTTTGGGTGCTGCTGTGCAGAGCCGCATCGTCTTCGTCGCGATGAAGTCGCATTCTCTCATCCTGGCGCTTACAGCGCTTTTGCTCGCCCTGCCCGTTATCTCCGAAGAGACGACGGCTACGGCCACGAAGACCCTCGCCGTCGCATCTGTCGACGCCCCCGCCGCCCAAACCGAACACCCCGTCTCGAAAATCGTCACTTCAGAGACCGAGGCCACAACCGCGAGCTCCATAAAAGAAAAGGACAACAGCGGACGCGACAGGGTCGACGATACCGCAGGCGCAGAGGGTGCTGACGATGGCGCGTTCAAGCTCTCGAAAGGCGGGATGGCGGCCATCATTGTCGTGGTAGTAGTTGTAGCCGGTGGTGGAAGTGCGTTCCCTCCCCTCATACCTCACCAAGCCCATCTTCTCTCAAGATACGCGATACTAACCTCTACCTCCGCAGTCGTCTCAACCGTCCTCTTCTTCCTAGCCAAGAAGCGCCAATGGGAGCTCCGCGACAAGCTCAAGCGCGCCTCGCGCCGTGTGGCTACGCGCCTGGCCACGCCGCGCAGTGCGCGCTTCCCGCACCACGAGCGCGAATGCCAGCAACGGAAGCCGGGCGTGAGGGTTGCGTCGCCGTCGCCGCGTCCGGGGGCGAAGGGGAGAGCGAAGGAGAGGGATCTTGAGAAGGGCGAGAAGAGGGGGGTTAGTGAGAAGGGAAATCCGACGATGAGCGCGTTTGACGTGGAGACGCCGGTGAAGGTTACGTGGAAGGATAGGCTGTTTGGGTATAAATAAGTGAGGGGGAGTAAGAGTATGAGGTTGGAGGGGCGGATGAGGGATACGGGCATGCTGCTGGCTGGTTCAGGTTCAGGCTCTGTGGGGTGAGGGTGAGAGTTGGGATTGGGTTACTGTTTTTGTTTTTTATTATACCCGGTAACATTTGGTTTCGTGGGCGGGCTTCCTGGATATCACTATACGACGGATTTTTTGCTTTTGTTAAACCATTGGGATTGGAGTTATGGTAGGTATGATTTGGTTTAGTAGGGCTGGATGGGACAATCCTTCGCCAGTGCCAGTGCAAGGACGGCACACATCTATTCCGGTAATCGAACAGTCTCTCTTCTATCGTCTTTCCAATCTCCAGACAAAACGCTTCATACGCAGCAAGGAAACAAGACCATCTCTTGAATTACAACTCTCCCTTCTCGCCCTTCTCCTTGCCCGCCCGCTGCAGCTCCTGCATGTGCTGCTTGTGATCGCTGACCTTGTGCGCGTCTTGGTCGGCCTTGACGCTGGACTCGCCCGCGCTGGCCAGCTCTTCGTGCCAATGGCCCTGTCCGCGCTTCTGCTTCTCGAGCTGCGACTGCTTGGCTGCTTCGGCTTGCTCGGGGGTGCGGTCGGCGTCTTCTTTTAGGAGACGGCGGGGGGTTGTGCTAAGGGTCCTGTGGGTGGTGTGGCTGGTGAGGGGCGCGCGAAGGACGGTGCGCTGGAGGAGCGTCGGGGCGCGCGTGCTGAAGATGGCCATTGTGGTGGTTGTGGTCGTGGTCGGGTTGTAGGTGGTGGTGGTTTAGGCCGTTGGTGGTGGTAGATTGGTGAGGAGGCTTGAGGAAGAGTTAAAGAGGGGTTTGTGTGTGTGAGGAATGGTGGAGAAGTGGGATGAGAGAGGGGTATGCTTCTTAACTGCGCGAATGACGACGCCTTGGAAGTCGAGGAAAAGCCAACTGAGGTGTTATGAATGACGTCACGGCTTATCGATAGGGACGTCGCCCGAGGCCTTTTTGGCGGGCGCGCGGAAGAACGGCGTGCGCTTGTGGCTGCCAATGCAAGTGTGTTACCTAGTATTTGTATGTATCCTCCGTCGCACAAATACCTTCACAACTGCTACACTCTCGAGGTTTCCGGGTCTTTTGCTCTGCTGCGCACATCTCAAACCTCTTGTGCCCTAACTAATCTGCCGCAGCCTATCACAATTATCTTATTCACCGCCTGATGATGTGACTCGACGATGAAGCAGCATCGCGAGTACCGTCCTCAAGCCCTCGAAATCGCACCAGAGTCGCGATAATGGCATTCATTGAAGCTGTCGCAACGGAGTTTTTCTCTTCGCTCAGGGCCTGATGTTTATGGTTGACATTCCTCGAGGCATGCGGCACGGTCACGGCTCAGTAAGCGTCGCTGCAGCCTTCACTCAGCCTCAGCGGCCCCCGCATGCACCCCAAACAAATCGGCGCAGCCCGTTACGGTCACGCATGAGAATTTTTGCTACGGCCACACGAGGAGGACCAATTGACCAATGTAACTTAAGACGGTTGGTGCCTCGCGCGCCAGGCAGCCGCGCAAATTCTCTTCCATCGACTCTGTTTCGCTGGAACCACCCTTTTGCGCTGCAGCATCCCCAGCCGCCCCCATCGCAAGACGCAGTCTCCTGAATCCAATTCAGATTCCCGTCTAACGCGCCTACGTGATTGAACCGCGACGACGCCTCGTATGCGCCTCAAAGCCTCCAGCGACCACCCGAATTCACGTGGCCGCGGTTCGGATCTGAATCTATCTCCTGATCAAGATGTCGCAGGGTGAGCTGCCGACGTCTCACTCGACTTTCAATTTGAATCTTACAGACCGCGCACGAGGCTCTTGGCCGCGGCCTGGCGAGCTGCCTAGAACGCCCAGCTCCGCCTCCCAGAGGTCGCTGACCCCGTCGCGAAAGTCTCCTCGATCGCCTAGATCTCCGAGGTCTCCAGGCACGCCGCGTTCACAGAGGCGCGATGTCTGCGACACATGCGACTCCCTCTGGCTTGAGCGGAGGGATGAGCTGCCGTTTGGGCAGATCATACCTCTTGGTGTTTTTAAAGACCTGGAGCAGCGCAAGGAACAGTGCCAGCTCTGCAGATTGGTTCATCGCTTGTTGAAACAGAGTGGTGCGGACAAGTCCAAGTACGACCACAAAGTCACGCTGAGTTTGAAGCCCTCGAGAGAAGACATTGCCGTCCTCTGTACCGAGGTTGCGCCCGCGACCATTCAGGATGTCCCTCATACGGAAATCCGTGGCTGGATACGAATGATTACGCCTACGCTCTCGACGTCATCGTCTTTTGTCAGCATCGCGAGCGAGATTTCGCTTCTGTCCTTGTCAGACACCAGCTCCCGTCGTGGTGGTGGCTACGGCCACTCTCTTCGGGGACGCATCTTACGAAGCAAACAGATCGACTTTGGTCAGATACGCGACTGGCTTCACGAATGCGAAACCCAGCATGACGACACCTGCAACATGCCGCACTCCGAGACGACCAGAGCAGGTGGTCGGAGCCTCGCGGGCATGTTGCTCATTGACGTGGGAGAGAGGAAGGTCGTTACTGCGCCGTCGGGTGCCAAGTTCGCGGCGCTGAGTTATGTGTGGGGGAAGTGGGGAGGCCAGAAAGTGATATACGCGTCGAGCTCCAACATAGCTTTTCTCCGCACTCCGGGAGCGCTCAATGGCATCCACTTACCGGTAGTTGTTCGTGACGCCATGGATTTGGTTAGTCGAATAGGCCTCAGATATCTGTGGTGCGATCTGCTTTGCATCGTCCAAGACAACACAGCCCTCAGAGATCAGCAAATATCCCAAATGGATGTCATCTACAGCAAATCGCACTTGACTTTGGTGGCGCTCACCGGCGAACATGGCAATGACGAGCTCCCTGGTGTAAGAGAAGGGACCAAGAGGAAGGAAATCTGCTCGCTCGCCGAGCTCAGCAGCGGCACCAAGTTTATCGCGCGACCTCCGTGCCTGGATTTCATTCGCACCAACACCATCTACGAGCACAGGGGATGGACGTTCCAAGAACGGCTCATGTCGCGGCGGTGCCTGTACCTGACCGACCGCCAAATCTACTTCCAGTGCCCCTCCGGATGTCATCGCGAAGACGAAAACATATGTGCCTGGGGCCCTTCGGCTTACAGGGAAAGCAAGCGGCTGCAGTCCTCGCCGCAAGATATCGCCACGCGCATGGCGTCTCTGAACGGGTTCTCTCTCTACGACGACCTGCTCCACGAATACACCGGCCGCGTGCTGAGCAAAGACTCGGACGTCCTGAACGCCTTCAGCGCCATCATCAAAACGCTGGAAAGAGCATTCGAAACCAGCTTCGTGTGCGGCCTCCCGGCCCTCTACCTCGACCACGCCCTCCTCTGGGCGCCGACCTCGCTCTCGCACTACCGTTTCTGGGACCCCGTCCTCAAATGCCCGCGCCACCGCGTGCTGCAGCTGACGTCGACGTCGACGTCGCCCGAGGACCCCGACGCCGACCCCGTGCCCCCGCCTACGTGGAGTTGGGCCGCTTGGAAAGGCCAAATGCACCATCTCCAACCGGTCCCCCACCCGCACGACATGCAGCACACGTCGGCGTCCCCCCTCGAGTTCCACTACCTCCAGCCCTGCGTCGCCGAGTTCGGCATCATGGGCGCCCCCGACGGCAACGTGCGCGCCCTCCCCCGCCACCACCACCACCGCCGCCGCAACCACCGCGTCGCGGGCGCCTTCAACTGGCGCAGCCTGGCGGTGCCGCGCCGCGCGCTCCCGGGCTACGACGCCTACGCCATCGACTACCTCCGTACCGTCACGCACCTGATCCGGCAGCTATTCCACCTGCTCGCAGACCACCCGTCCGGGCGATGGGCGCGCGCCTCAACGGCCCCCAACGCTGACTGGCCATGGGAAGACAGCAATGCGGCCGTGCGGGCGGGGCTGCACGCGCTGGGGCTGCGGGAGTGGACGCACCTGCGGGCGCCGAGCGGGGCAGAGCTCTTCGACGCCTACGTCTCCACGGGCGACAGCGCGCACATCGAGCACAAGGCGCCGCTGCCGGCGTGGCCGTTCCACGCGGCGCAAGAGCCGGAAAAAGGGCCGGACGGCGCGCCTGCGCTGCCCAAGCCTTGGGTCGTCCTGCCCCGCGTGCTGGAGCTGGAAGCCCTGCTGCGCGGCCTCCCGCCCGACGCCGCCTTCGCCGCCCGCCCCGACGCGCTGTGCTTCTGGGCGTGGCGGCGCGCGTTCAGCGCCAAGCAGGTGGGGCGGGGGCAGCTGTACTGGTGCGGGGGCGGGGGGGAAGGCAGCTATGCCGATGCCACGGCCACGGCCACGGCGGCGGCGCCGACGCAGCAGCAGCAGCGCTTGACTACGGCCGATGGGCGGTACTCCGCCACTCTGGCGCCGGGGCAGCTCGCGTTTGCGGGGACGGCGGGCGCGGGCGCCCGCGTCGTCGAGGTCGAGCATGAGGTTCCTGCGCCGGCGACGTTGCTGTTTGAGCGCGGGCGGCGCAGGCCGTGCGGCGTGCTGTTTGAGCGGGAGCGGGACGTCGCGTGGCGGGTTCGAGGAGGTGGGGGTGGGGGAGGAGGCGGGGGCGGGCGGGCAGGAGCTTTTCGGGAGGGCGGCTGTAGGGGAGGAGGAGCTTCCACCGGGGGAGCCTCTAAAGAGGGAGCCGCAGCTCCAGAGTGCTACCTCGTGCTGCTCTCGCGGGTGAAAGGAGGGGGCTATGGGGGTGGTGGCGCGGGCGATGGCGTCGCGAACGTGCTGCTGGTGCGTGATGCTGGGAGAGGGTTCTATGAGCGCGTGGCGGTGGGAAGGATGCTGGGGCGGGAGTGGGATGCTGGTGGGGGTGGTGGTGGTGCTGGACGGGGGGACGAGTTTGCTTATGTAAGGGTGGCATGAGGGGTGGTGGGCGTGGTGGTGGGTGTGTGTACCTTTGAGGGGAGGGTGGTGGTGGTGGTGGTGGTGGTGGTGGTTGATGATGGAGGGAAGACGCTCCAAGCAGTCTCGCACGCACGCAGGCATGCAGGACAGGTGGGTGCAGCGCGCTGCCTCACCTCACCCAGCCCGTTCTCGACACCACCGCGCGCTGGGGCGCCGCTAATATACAAAAACAAAAAAGGAAGGAGCTGCAAACGCCGGGCACGTCGGGTGCGGCGTCGGCTTGGTCGCGTATATATCTTGATCATTTCATTTCATTCTGCTTAGGAAGTATAGATAGATAGATAGTAGGGTACACGACCCCCCAAGCCAAAAACCCATACCCATGTCCTAGTCCTTTGTTCTGGCTCTAGGTCTAGTATATACTGTATACTATATACTGTTTACAATTTGCTTACGTATTATATGCCCGCCTAGATCTAAATAGTAGGTATAGGAGGACGGATAAGATGATATGGATGAAAGAGGGTTTTTTATGCGGTTAGGTAGTTGGTTAAGTTTATACATGTGTGTGTGTGTGTGTGTGTGTGTGTGTGTGTGTGCTGTACAGTGTAGTGCAGTGCAGTACAGCTGTAGCGGGAGGTAGAGCGCAGTGAAGTGCAGCTCTAAAATCAAATCAAAACCCTGCCTGCTGTTCTTCTATACTCCATCTCTATACCTAGCTCCACACACACATCACACACACTACACACCACGTCCACACTCTAGACGAGCAAGCAAGCAAGCAAATGCCCAATACCAATACACAGACTCACAGTCACAGTTATAGAGAGCTATAGTTTTGTTTTGTTTTGTTTTGTTCGTACTTTCCGCTCTAACAACATCTCCTAGCACGCGCTATGCCGGCACCCAACACCCAGCGAAGTCAAGGCAACAAGGAAAGGCAACAAGGAAAGGAAAGGAGGAAAGGAGGAAAGGAAAGGCAAGAAAGCAACACCAGCGCGCCAGGCGCCAAGCACACACGTCCGGCGCCAAGCGCCAAGCAACCATGCCAAAGGTAATTCGCGGCGCTGATGACGGCGGCGGCGGCGTGGAGGGTAATACAACTAGGTAATACACATGGATGCATGGGCATGATCAGACGTCAAATCTCCGCGCCGCCGGAGGTCGGGGTTTCGGCGCGTGCCTACTACCTACGTACAAATGCGCTACGCAGTGCCTAGTTACCACCTAGCTACTGTACAATACGCAGTGAGTGGGCGTGGAGGAAAACGACAGTATCACAGCACGACAAGCACAGCACAACAAACACAGCACAACAAACACAGCACAATAAACACAACACAGCAGAGTAAGGCAAAGGTGGAAGCTGAAAAATGGGGGGGTATATAGAAGCGTGAACATCGTGAGAGATATATATGAGTATCCGACGAAATGAAGCGGCAGATGCTAAGACCTCGTCGCTTGCGGCTGGTGCTGGTCCTTCTTTTTCTCTTCTTTCCTTTTCTCTTTCTTTTTCTTTTCTGTTTCTTTCCGATCTTTCCTCCTCTCTGGGTTTTCTCCTCCTCTTTTGAGTCCTCTTCTGAGTTTCGGCTGCAGCGTTGCGTGGCGTTCGTTCGCCGACGCTGGCGCCGACGCTGACGCTGGGGCTTGCTGGTTTGGCGTGCGCGTTGCACTCGCCTTCTTTCCTTTCCTTTCCTTTCTGTTTGGGTTGACGTCCAGTCTGACTCTTCCTCTACATGCTATGCCGGCTCGCGCGAACGCGGAGCCGCGCGAAGAGGGGATGAATGCGTTTGTCGACTGGTGGATGAATGGATGGATGGAAGTGTGGGTAGTAGGGAGGGCATAAGCGCCGCAGAACAGCAGGCAGCAGAGCGACAGCGGGATTAGAAATTAAAGAGAGGACAAGAGGCAGATGCGAAAGGCAAAAGAAAAGAAAAGAAAAATGAAAAACGAAAAGAAGAAAAAAAGGACAGACAGCGCGCAATGCAAGTGTTCAGAAAAGGAGTGTCGCGGCCGACCGGTGCGGCACTAGAAGTGGTAGGAGTAGGTGGTGGAGCTAGTGTAAATTGGACAGGAAAAGGAAAATGAAGGAAAAAAAATAATAAAGCCACGGATGTGATTAAGGCCGGCGTGAGCGCGCGCGTGCGTGCGTCGCGGCTCGGCGTGCGCGTTGTGTAGGTATGTGGTTGGTAAGGTAGTAGGTAGGTAGGTATCAGCAGCGACAGCAGCAACGCCACTCGCTTCGCGCTCCTCGAACAGATAACAGACAGAGACAAGCAACAGGACATGACAGGGCCATCACACGCCTCAAACAACAACGAGGTACGCGATACCGGCCACCAGCGCGGCGACGCTAGCATCGAGCCTCAAGCCGGCTGCCGCACCCGTGGACGGGGTGATAGGCGCGCTCGAAGCGGCAGGCTTGCCATCAGCGCCGGCATTGCCATTGCCGCTGGCAGGGTTAGTCTTGAAGCCGGTAGCGGCAGCGTGGCCGGAAGTGCCGTTGCCAGCAGCGGGATAGATGCCAGCGGGGGTGACGAGCGGAGCGGGAGCGGAGACGGGGGTGGAAGCGGCGGCAGCGGAGGGGGTGACGGCGGCAGCGTCGACGGCCGCGGGGGTGGAGGACACGGCGGCGGCCTCGACGGCGCCGGCCGCGTCGGGCGTCGGCGCCGACGACACGTCCGTGATGACCGAGTCGATCGTCTCCGTCTCGGTGCTCGCGTACACGCTGCCCGACGCGGTGCTGTAGTAGTGCGTCTCGGTGGTGAGGAGGTGGACGGTGCGCGTGCTGGTGACGGTCGAGGCCGTCGTCGTGATGGTCTTCTTGCCCGAGTCGGCCGAGTCGTCGGCGAGTTGGAATTGGGCGGAGGCGAGGGCAAAGGCCGTGGCGGCGGTGAAGAGGGTTGAGGCGCGCATTTTGATTGGTTGGTTGGTTGGCTGACTACTCTTGAGGGAATAGATGGTCGATTGGCTGATATGGATCGGCTAGGATTGACGAACGACGACGACGACGACGACGAAGATAGTCGAGTAGGTAGTGGTTGGTTGCTGGTTGAGTTGAAAAAAGAGTGACTGGGCTACAAAGAGCGACTGGGGGCTGACGGTGAGATTCAGGGCAACAACGCGCAGAAGAAAAAGAAGAAGAAGCGGCGCGGGCAAGGATGGGATTTAATTGCGCGAGCTCGCTCGAAATGAGCGGCCACGGCGGCAATAGTGTTTGCGCCCCGGATCAGGATCACACCAATAGTTGGACTATGGGGGTGCGGGAAATTACGTGTCCGGGCGAATTTGCCAAAGTGTTACCGTGAGCTGGACCCCTGGCTATATCGCATCTCGCGAATCAATGCAGCAGAACAATTCCAATGCTTTGCTTGTGCCTGTCTACAATACGGTATCTAGCTATCGTACCTACAAACAACAAAACACCTCCACGTTTCTCTCCCTTCCCCCTCTCTCTTCCCCTCTCCTGTCTCTGTCTCTGCGCCCCCACGATGCCACGGCAGTGGTGGTGGTGCAGCAGGCAGTGGTTCCGTCCGCCCAACAAAGCACGACGCCGATGCACGCACGTTCTCCCACACACACGTCCATCTCACCACCCACCCACTCACGCCGTGCCACCCAAACCCTCGATTAATTAGGCCGACTCCGAGCCGCATCCTGCTCCTACCTGCCCGGCGCCAGTGCGTGCGAGCGTGCGGGCGTGCGTGCTCGGTGCCTGCCTATCTCTGCTCTTTCAGTTTCGCTCTGTCTTCGCCGCCGCCTTTCGCCGCTCGAGACTCGGTGGGCGGCGGTGGCGGCTGCGGTGGTGATGGTGGTGCTGGTGCTGGTGCTGGTCACACACGCACACACACCACCTCCTTTTCCATCCATCTCCAAGACCCATCTCCGCGCCGCCAGCTAACCTACCTAGGTACCTACATGTGTTTCTTCACCGCCCGCCAAATCGAACCAAAGTCTTCCCTTTATCTCATTTTTCCTCTAATTTCTAATTCTTCACCCTCTACTGTACAGTACTATCCCGTTTCCACCATAGTCTCAAAATGCCACGCCCCCCCCTCTTTTATTTTTCAGATTTTTCCCTGTCTCTGCTCGTGCGTCGTCCCGTCGTCGTGTGTCGTGTTTCTGCCTCGCAAGTCGCAAACCCGCCCGTCTCGCTTCTCCGCCTTCCGATAGCGATACGACATACCCGCCCGGCCCGCCTCTGTGCCCTCCCTGCATACGAGAACTCTCGAACCTAGTTCCTACCTACGTGCCTACAACCCACGGCGCCGTAGAACATAGCAGGAACTGGGCGGCAGCTTGGCCAGCCAGGCACCCAGGCAAACCTGCCGGAGTCTCGGTTGGCGGTTGGCGGTTGGCGGCTGTCGGTTGTCGGTTGCCGGGCCTGAGACTGCGCCTGAGACACGGGGACGGGTAGGGTTCGGTCTGTCTCTCGCTTGCCTTTTGCGGTCGCTCGTCCTGGCACAGGCGTCAGGCACAGGCACGCAGCTCGGCCCCACGCACGCCTGTGCCTGTGCCTGTGCCCACCCTGCGCCTCCACCTTCTTCGTCGCCGCCGGGTGTCGGCAGGTGGGTACTGGGTATTGCAGCAGCAGCAGCAGCAGTGCCAGTGGTGGAACGGCTATTGTACGCTCTCTCTCAAGTCACGAGCGATAAGACCGCCGCTGCGGTCCCCACAAGCGGCAAGGCAAGGCAAGGCAAGGCGCGCAGCGTAGCGCAGAAGCCAGAAAGTGTGTGTGTGTGCGTGCGTGCGTGCCTCAGGCACCCACCCACACAACGACGCAGCACAATCGCTTCGACTCCCAACGCTCAAACAAAACGGACAGCACGCAGCAGGTTCGTTGCTCGTCCCGCCCCAACCTCAAACGCCCCCCGTGCCCCCTCCCCCACGCCCCCATGCTACCTACAATAGTTACACAATATTGTACAATACAATACAGATTGCGAGCACGCACGCCCGCCGATCGCACGCCTCAACGGCGCTGACGGCGCTCTGTGCGCGCGCATCGCCATCACCTGTGTTAATGCGTGCTGCGTGCGCTGCGATGAGCTGCGATGGGATGGTTCTAGATGGCGAGATAGGCAGGCAGACAGACAGGCGCCTTGCTGTGCTGTGCAACTTCGCTATACAGCTGCCGGCGCGCCTGAAACGCTTGGCGGACTTGGCGGGGCGGCGTCGAGGTGGTTGCGTCCGTGGAGGGGTGGACGGATGAGGTCGGCTGGGTGGTGAGATGGTAGAGTAGGTCTGTAAGAGGGTTAGAGGGTTGGAGGGCTGGGTGAGTTGTGTGTGGTAGATTCCATGGTAGATTGGTGGATAGGTGGACAGGTAGGTGAGAGGACGGTGTTTTGCATCCGCCGCCAACGGTGTTTCGTCTTGCTCCACCACCTTGACGACGACCTTGCAAACGCTGTTTCACGTCCCTCCGGCATGGCGCCATCTCATCTACATTGCGGTCATGCACTCCACTCCACCACTCCACGCCACACACACGCATACAAAACCACACCTCCCCCATCCGCCCTCGTCCTCGTCCTCCTCGTCTCTCCCCATCCCCACCGCGCAGACCACACGCACGCCGATCCCCATCTCACGGCACCGTGCCTACATTGCACAAGGCGTAGACAAGGTGCCTGGCATTCTCCGCGCACTCCCGCGCCTGTGCCTGCTGGAGCATATAGCTCATGGCCTGGGCCTGGCCTGCTCGCAGCACGCCTTGAGTTGTTGTTGGACTGCTCACGCATCACGCCACAGCGCACTGCGCGATGCGGCTTCCTTGCTCTTGCCTATTGTGCTATGTATATACACACGGAGAAGGCAGATCACAGGTAGGCATGCGGCACAGTGCTTGCTTGCTTGGTCCTTCTCACATGCTCCTGCTCCTTGCTCCTATCTCTCCTACCGTCCTTGCTCCTACCCTCACTGCTGACGCAGCCCCGCCTATCTTATACCCTCAGCCCCCCCGCACGCAGCGCCCGCAGCGCACGCACGGCTCGCGAGCTATTTGCGGCTGGATCTGCGGGCGGGCGTGCGGGGGGGCTGAGTGAGTGAGTGAGTGTGTAGGTATGTGCGTGGGCGTGGGGATCAGCGCTCTTATTTTGCATTTGGGTTTGTGGGCGAAGAAGGAGGAGGAAGAGGAGGAAGAGGAGGAAGAGGAGGAAGAGGAGGTGTAGGAACGGTTGGCTAAAAGATCGGGCGACGGCAGCGGGGCGGGGAGACGTGGGAGCAGAGAGAGAGAGAGAGAGAGAGAGAGCCGACAACCCAAGCAGGGGGCGCGACAGTCCGTGAGCGGGGAGTGAGGAGTAAGAGTAGGTAAGAGAGAGAGTGAGGCTGCTAGCGAGGCTGGCCCGGGCAGGGTGGCAGTGACGGCGGGCGAACACCTAGGCAACGAAACAAGGTGGATACGCAGGAGGTGCAGAAGCGCGCGGTACAGATACTCGCCATCAAGAGAGAGAGAGAGAGGTGTGTTTCTCGCCCACGCACCCATCCACGCACCCACGTGCGCAGCGCCTCCTCCCACCCCTGCAATACCTAGGTACCTACCTAGTTATAGCAGAGAGGAGGAGTGCCCGTGTCAGTTCACCCGCCAGAGCGATCACAGATCACACGCGCCCTGTTTGGCGTATATACCATTACGGCGTAGACTGCGCGAACGAGCGCAGGCGGCGCATACCCGTGACGCTTGCAGGTAGGTAGGTAGGTATATGACAGGCAAACGCGCACGTGGCTGGCTGGCGTTGCTTCCGTGCTTCTATGCTTGCATGTGTCGTGGTGGTGGTGGTAGTAGCAGTCGTGGTGGAGCGAGGTGGTTCTACTCTCTCTTCTCTTTTATCTTTTTCTTTTCTTTTCAGATTTCTCCTTATACCATCTCCGGCTCTGCGCCGTGGGTAGGTAGGGTTTTAGGCTCCGAGATGCCTACTAGGTTGCTTTCCCGTTGTCTAGCTATGCCCTAGGGGTACGGCAACGGGGTTTTCTGTCTTTGGACTTTGTGCTGTTGTACTGTTCTGTTGAGCGCTGAGGGGTTGCGCGAAGGGGTGAGTGCTGTTGCGTGATGTGGTGTCAGAGATAGTAATCGCGATGGCGTTGGGCGTGCGTTGTGGCGTATGGGCTCTACAGGAGTTAGGAAGACGTTATACGTGCATGTATAGACGGGAGAAAGAATAGGTAGAGAGCGTAGTCTAGTAGTCCTAGTCTCTTATACGGGACTTAGACTTTCTTGCGTAAGAAGTTACGCTTAAACATCCTACTTAAAATACTACACAAGCCGAGCCGCAAGTTATAACGGTAGTAAACTCCCTAAGAGTAAGTATCTAAACTACCGTCACCTATTCTTAGTTCCCTAAAATTTAAAACTAAACGATTTAGAAAGCGCTAGTCTCCGAACCAGCAGTAAATCCTAAACATAGCTAACTACCCTAAGAATACGTTTCTACCTATAAAGCTAATATATAGGGCATTGGAATCTACTTCTTCTCTTTCTAGCTTTTAAGTATACTAAACTAATAAATAGCACAGTATAATATAGTACCACACGAACAAACCAACCAGCTAGCTAGCAAGCAAGTATGCAAGTACGCATATAAGGACAGCACACCAAGTCCTTACCCCCTCTCCCCCCCAGCCCAAATCCCCAGCAACATACAGAGCCGAGAACCGCACAAGATAGCGTACCAAGATGGAGACGAATAGGTAGTAGTAGTAATAGAGCAGTTACAGTATACAGAGTAAACACGATATGATATAATATAGTAGTATAAGTAAGTAAGTACCGTACCTAAGCAAGCAAGCAGCACCATTCCCAGCCGTCCAGACTAAGCCCCAGCCCCAGCCAAAGCTAAAGCCCCAGCCAAAGCCAAACTAAGGCTCCAAGCGCAGGCTGCAGGCAGGCAGACGATCTAGCAGATCTAGCAAGTTCAGTAGGTAAAAAAACGCAGAAAACGGCCTCTCCCATCTCACTCTCGACCCCCCACGCCCACCCCAACCCCAACCGCAAAGAAAGCGCAAAAGCGCGCGTATAAAAAACAAGCGCAGCGCCCTCAAAAGGCCATAGAACCCCCACCTAAAACGCCCAAAAAAGCCCCGCAAACGCAAACGCAAGCGCAAGATATAGCGACCAGAACAGACACAGAACCAACGCAAACAGATGCTCCGTCCGAAAAAACACAGAGTTCGCCCACCACTCCGCTTTCTTTTGATTTGGGAAAAAAACGAAAGAAGAAGAACAAGATTTCTAAAACCAGTATTCCCTATGAGGAAAGAAAGTGAAGTGAAGGAAGGAAGAACGAAGGAGGAAGGATATGAGGAAGAAGAAGATAATGAAGAAGAAGAGAAGATGAAGGGTATGAGTATGAGAGAACAGAAAAGAAGGAGAGAGGTATACGAGATACAAAGCCCGCTCCCACTCCCGCTCCCGCTCCTACTCCCCAAACCCAGGCCACCACGGCGCGCCAGCGATGCGTGCGTGGTAGAGATGCTGCATACCGCCGCCGCGCGATTGGGGTTCCCAACCGCCGCCGCTCGTCTTTACCGTCTGGCCGTCTTTACAAGTATAGTACCTCGAAAGCTGTAGAAAGGGGGTGTTTGTGTGTGTGTGTGTGTGTGTGCGTATGATTTGATGCGTGTTGTCATGTGTACAAGGTTGATAGATAGCGCTGATGCCCGATGATGCCGAAAATGCAAAGTAGTAGTACTAGTAGTAGTAGAAGACGAAGAAGAAGGAAGTCGTTGATACAAAGAATCGATCGGGTATGTGGTGACGACGGCACTGCCGCCGCCCCCGCTCCCGCCGATACTGCTGCTGCCGTTGCGTTCGTTTTTTTGTTGGTTTGTTGTCGTCTTGCCAGGTTCCGAGGCCTCCCACTTCCGTTTATACGAACTCGGGCCAGTAGTTATACGGCATCAGGTCCGGGCCGTGCCACAACTCGCCGTACGGGTTCGTGCGCTTGCCCGCGAAGAAGCCGTCGTGCGCGATCTCGACAATGTTGATCCAGCTCGAGGGCTCGGGGTGCTTGAGCCACTGTGCGCGTTTTCCCGTTAGCTCATGTCCACCGTCGTTTGACCATCTTTGCCGCCTTGTTTCAGGCCTCGGCAACACTCAAGACTCACCTGGTTGTGGATGTGGTACGTCCATGCGCCCCTGAAGAAGTTTTCCACCGTGCGGTTGTTCGGAGGGTACTTGTCCTCCTCTAGCCTGTAGTCGGCTACCGCGCCCTTCGCCCTCAATTCGGCCTCCTCGGCGCTGGTCGTCGTGAAGCTGTCGCTTTGCGTGCCGGCCTTTGGCGACTGCGCCGTTGCGCTGTGCGGCACGTTTTCCTCTGGCCTTTCACTCGCGCTTTCCGAAGTCCTGACAACATCCTGGCCGGCCGGATCGACGCGCGCGCGCAGCTCCTGCTTGGAGTGGTTAACGGGTTCCAGCTGCGGTCCGTCGTAGCTCTGCCACTCGTCCTTGATCGCACCCGGTCTGCCCTTGAACGCTGCGCTGTAGTCCTTAAGACACGGCACGGTGCAGCGGCCCTCACGGTCCCAGTTGAACTCGGTCCAGATGGGATCGAAAGCGGCCGTCTCGAGCATGAGGAATTCCTGGTCGCGGCCGTCCTTCCACGCCATGCGGCCGATGACGCGAGGGTGGAAGTTCAGTCCCATGCGGACGCCGCCGCGGAGGAGATATGATGACAGAGAGCTGTTGGCGGACAGAGACATGATGGCGGTGTTGTAGTCGCCCGGGTGCGCGTGAGCGGCCCAGCGCTCGGCAAACGCGTGATCCTTGGGGATGGCGAGAGGGCGCATGTCCCGCAGCATGAGGACGTCCATGTCGAAGTAGAGACCGCCGTACAAATGGAGAACGACGAAACGCATGGCGTCGGAGACGGCGACGGGGAGGAAGGTCATCTGCTTCGGGGTCAGGGAAAGCCACTGCTGGCCATCTGCGTCCTCAACGACTCCCTCGGCGATGACGGTTTCGCCCTTGGCATTGGGCTTGGCCGAAGGCTTGTAGGCACCATCGGCGTGGTCCACGTGGTTCGGGAGAGGGATGCGTTGGGGGAACCTCCACGGCATGACGGTGATGTCACCGCGCTCGACCAGAGGCAAGAAACGAGCGAAAAGAGGATCGCGGACAAGCATGTTTTCGACGGCGTTCGGGCTCTTGTCGGCATCGACCCAGAGATAGAGACGAGAGCAGGCCAGGTTTTGCGTGTAAAGATAGCTCTTGATGAAAACCTCAACTCTCCAAGTCGCAGGGCCAGTCCAGTAGGTGTGGTAGGGAACAATGGGACCAGAACAGGTTCCAATGGATTCCTTGCTCGCAGGAACGGCCTCAGCAGGCGAGACGTACTTGTCCAAGCTGTTTCCGTGACCGTCGGAGTCAAGGTACTCAGACTTGCGGGGGTCCTGCTGGCTGGCCTTCTTTCCGTCCTCGGGCACCTGGTAGTAGCGGTGTTCGTCGTTGGCGAGGAACTGCAGGCATTCGAAGACGTTTCTCATCTTTTCAATTCCGTTGTATGTTCCCCTGCACTCCTCGACCAGCATGGGCAGGTTCGCCTCGGTGTCCACGTCCGGCCTCGGCCCCAAGAAGTCATCCTTGGGTGTGACGGCGCTGTCGGGGCGGTTGAAGACGTTCGCGTGCGGGTTGATGTGGATGCTGTTCGGCGAGCCGGCGAACTTGACCTTGACGCCAGACCTCGTCGACTCGATCAGGTCCACGGGCCCAGACTTTCCTAAGAATGCGGGTATGCCAAGCTTGCCCTTGGGGCGCACCGAGGGGTTCTTGGCGACGCTAATGATACCCAAGATACAGGTGTAGAGGAGAGCGGCAAGGACGAGGTTGCGCACCAGGGTACAGAAGCCCCGTAACCTGCTGCCCTCGGCCATTGCGGTGGGTTGGCGGGGCGTGCGGTAGGATTCGAGAGATTGCTAGGGCAATTGACGAGAGGGAAGAGGCGTGCGGAGGGTTGGAAGTTGAGGTGGGCTGGAGAATGCTCTTGCGCCTGGGGTAGCGAGGCTGTGTGTCGCGGTCGTGTCGGTTTCGCCCTGCGGCCGAAAAAGATTAGGATCCGCCCCACAGACTGCTGGAGGGGGAAAGCTCAGCAGCGTACAAGGAGGGACGCGCGCGCGAGGTACGCAATTATGGGGGTTTTGGCAGGGAGGCTGAAGCTCAAAGGAGTGGCTTAAGATTACTTGGTAAAGTCGCAACAAGGAGAGGCCCAAGAGAGAGGGGGAAGAAAGAGACGGGGGGAAGGGAAGGGGAGAGAGAAAGGACAGAGGAAGGCTATTTTCAAGCCAACGCCATCGCGCCCCCCGTTCTTTGAGGCGGTAGGGTCCCTGGCACTTGGCTGGTTGGGGCGCCGCACGTCGATGGCGGGGGGGCCATCCGAGTGGCCCTGCTAGCGTGCCCCGGCGCAATTTCATGAGATTGACGGCGCCGAGCGAGAAGTACTACGTACAATCTAGACAAAGCCCACAAAGCCCAGATTCACTCTGAAAAGTACTGTAGTAGGTACATACAACTTCGGCTGCACGCCCGTCTCGGCCTGCCATCAGCTGCAGAAGCAGCAGCAGGGGACGTCGTCGTCATCGTCATCACCAGCACACACAGCACACCTTAATTTTTTTTTAACCGCATGCCACCACTGCCACCCCAGTTGCTCCACCGCCTGGGGGCCAAGCGCGTCCTGCGTCATGGCCCGAGGTTCTCAACCATCTCGACGCCGCGGCTCGACACTGTGACCGTGCCTGCCCGATCCAATGGCCTGGTGCAACTGAGGTTCGCCCGCACTGCCTTCGTCCTGCCACCCACGCACCACCTCCCGCCCTGCTGACCCGCCACGCCAGCATCCTTCAGGCTCCAGCACCACGCTCGCCTTCTCCTCTGCTGCTCTACCTGCCCGCCGGTCCTCTCTTCCCTCCTGTTGGCCTGCCACCACCGCATCACGAGAACGATGTTGCCGCCGCCCTGTCCGCCTCTGCCAATGCCACCGTAGTGTGCGTCCACTATCGCCTGGACAACGACCAACACCAGTACCCCACGCCGATCCACGATGTCTTGACCGCGTACGACTGGGTTCTGGAAAACTTTGCGCCCACCTTGGCTGCGCGGCCACGGCTGCGATCGCTGCAGCTCGGCGTGTGCGGCGAGCTGGTGGGCGGCGGTCTAGCAACGATGCTGGCCCTGACCGAATGCCGCATGGGAAAGAACCGCGTCGCCGCCGCGGCCGTGAACAACCCCATTGTGAACTGGATCTTCCCCACGGACCTGCTGGACGCGGCCGAGTACACCAGCCGGCTCGGCGACGTGGAGCTCTTCGCCAACGACGAACATGTCGACGCCGACGTGCAGGCCGGAGATGTCGCGCTCGCCAAGACGTCCTGGGGCAAGTACCGCGACAACCCCGCGCTACCGGTAGCGGCGCTCACCCGCGCGCGCAAGGCCTTCTTCAGCACCCCAGACGGGTACTTTGACCGGTTCGCGTCGCCGATCCACTTCTTCCGCACGCCAGAGATCGGCGAGGTGATTCGGCAGGGGTACGACGAGGACGACGACCTCGCCGGCTTCGAGATGCCCCGCCTAGGCGCCGAGTCACCCACCAGCTTCCGCGAGCCTGGCGCCCCGGTCTTCGAGAAGCGCAGGCGCGCACGCCGCCTCTTCCCCCCCACGGGCGGAGGTCTGCGCTTGCCTCCTATGCGCGTCAGCGTGGGCGCGCACGCCATCCTGCACGACCAGGGCCAGGAGCTGGTGAAGCTGATGCGGCGCAGCATCTCGCGCGACGAGAAGAGCGACATCGAAGCCGAGCTCCGCGTGCGCTTCGCACCGAAGGCCGGGGCGGGGCTGTGGACGGGGCCGGCGCGCGCGTCTAATTGGCGCATGGAGGTCGAGGCGCTGGGGCGCTGGTTCCGCAGCACGCTCGCTTGATGGGATGATGTGCGCCGTTGACGCGAGCGCGCCGTAACGCCAACTAACTACCCTAACCGCACCCGTCTTTTTCTCGGTCGTGGTGATGTTGGTTGCGCGGCCTGGCGGGCGTGCTTGCCGAGCGTATCGAGGTGCCCGCCGGCCCACCACTCCACACCTACCTGCTGTGTCGCGGCCGACGAACGTCACATTTCACTGCCGCTGCCTTGCCATGTGGGATGCGCGCTCCGACCAAGGTCCGCAGCCACTACCACGTACATAGTAGGAGTACGAGTACGAAATATGCCTCTCCTCTCCTCTCATCTCGTCCCAAAACAGGCAGCTGCTCCACGCGTCAAGGAAATGCGGTAAGGCTAGGTAGATAAATGATAAGTCCCCAGCACGAGCAACGGCGTGCCCCAAGCCCAGCACGCGCGCGCGCGCAGCAGCAGCATGAAGGTCCGCACTGCTGGCACTGTCGCTGTCGCTCGCGACGGCACCAATAGGATAAGGTTAGGTAGCGCGGACTGCTTGGATACGAATACGCTGTATGCAGTGCAAATACGCGATACGCGCAAATTAGTGCTTGGTACAGGCCGAGCTGGCGAGCCTGCCTCGCGACGGCGAGTCTTTGTCGTGTGTGCATATGTGTGTATATGTGTGTGTGTGTGTGTGTGTGTGTGTGTGTGTGTGTGGTAGAGATTACTGCGGTGCAGGCTGTGTGGGCTGTGCTGCTTGCGTCTTGGGGCTCGCGGCTTGCGCGCACTGCCTCGCGAGCTGCGTACGTAGGTATTGCACATACATACGTGGTGGTGCTGGCGATGCGTGTGTAAATGTACAGCCACTGTATATCAACCATTTACTTTGCGGAGTGCTGCTCTTCTGCGGATTACTGTATCGGTATTTATAGCTGTAGCTGTACCTGTAGGTACCTGTGCCTGTGACTGTGACTGGCTGCTGCAGCACTGCCACTGCCACTGCCTCTATGCTGATGTCACCAATCACTGCCTCGAGGCTGTGGGGTGGGGGCTGTCCCTGTCACTGTCCTTGTCCTTGTCCTTGTCCTTACAGTTCTTTCGTGCTGCCTGCCGTGCTCGCACCGCTTGCACTGCCTCCTGCTGTCACCCACACTGCTTCGTCATGCATGCATCGTCATGCTCATCTTCGTCGTGAGCGGCTTTCTATCTAAAAATTAAAGTACCTGTACGTGATAGGTATCGAATAGCCTTAGGTTGTGTTGTGTCTATCTAGTAGGCTGTATAGGTACTTCTGTATAGGTACTTCGTACCCAGGTGGGGTGCGCTTGTGAGTGAGGGTACCTGTCTTGTTGTCGTATTGAAAGGGGGCTTGTAAGAATAGTTTGTGCTGTGTTGTGAGGGGGTGTGCTGGAGCTGGGGTTGTGTGTTGTTGTTGTTGTAGTACCAGAATTGGTACTTATAGGGGAGATGGGGTTTCTTGCTCTGTTCTCTTGCGGTGATTATTGCATAACCTCAATGGACGGTTCTTGCTTGCTAGTTTGTTCTTTTCAGTTTGCCTGCTTTTTTCATATTTGACGACCACCTGGTATCGAAGCCTTTAATGGGGATCGGCTTGACAATATTTGAATAGACGTAGGCAGTAAGCTTAATCTCATGCGCTTCCACTACCCACCACTACGCCTGTCAATTATTCTACTCCTTCACTCTCCCCGAACGACTCAGCCCGGCCTGTACACCGCCCAAGGCAGCCGCGCACTCTGCTCCCTCTGACTCAGAACGTGCCTATCAAAGCTACTCGCGGCCTCATCTTCAGGAGTGACTTATGACGCGTTGACGTGGAAGCGCTTCGTGCAGCAGCCCTCTGCATCGGAAGTTACGTTTGTTTGCGCGCCTGTCTCATGCCGCGTTTGTCCTGCGCCATTAAATCCGGCGCTCGTTGATTCAGCCGCGGTTGAGGGGTCGATCGGCGCGCTGACCGCTGCGACGATGTGTGTCTTGGAGAGGCGAGAGTCATTGCTGCTGCTCCTGTGCTTCTTCCCGTCGGTCGCGCGCGGTCGTGACAGATGGGAGCGGTTCGGTACAGGTTTGTCAGAAAGGTCGGCGTCTGTCAATTTTTGTCTCCGATGTTGGCTTGTCCATATTGGAACAAACCTGGACCGCCACGCCCCCGAGCTATAACGTTTCGTCGCAGACCACTTCAACCATGCTGAGTACGTCAACTTGTAGACTATACCTACAGAGCACTGGAGGCGGACGAATGAGGATCAAGGCGGTGAGTCAGATGCAGTGCGCATGACGCTGGTTGCGCGAGCTGAAAGGCGAACAATCTTACTATAAGCTGTAGGTCTCACCATAAGCATACTACCTACTACTCGGAGCTACCGGTATCCGGGCATACCGCCCTCTCTCCCATGCGTTGGCACGTTGGCGTGCACGCAGCACCCTGCGTCGAGAATCCATGGCTTTGCTGGGTACGGAGGATTCGCCGGGATTCAGCAGGGGGGAGGGGCGGGCTCTGGCATGTGGGGGAGGGATGGAGAGGAGGTAGGTAGGTGATGATAGAAGTCTAGTTAGTAGGTTGTGTATATGTTACTTGCAGTGAGGCGAGGCGGCGCGCGTGGTTCAGAAGCACAAAGGGACAGAAGACAGACTGGAGGTGTCGTCGTCGGCTGGTTCGCTCGCTCGCTCGCTCCTCTGAGCGGCCCAATGACGGCAGCGGGCTCGCCAACGTCTTTCCTCTCACTCTGATTGACGGCCGGCAGTGCTGCACTGCATCGAGCCCCTCTCCACGCACCCAATTGACGATTCTGCCCGTCTGCGCATCCGTCAAAGCGACCAGACGCCCCACGAATCCATCTCCGACGCCGTAGAGGGCACACACCCCGCCTCTTTCGCACGCCTTCAGTGGAGCTACGTCCCCTCCTCCGAGCCCAACGACGGCCACCCCTTTGTCTCAACATGCCTTCGCCAGAGGTCCCCCCGCAGCAGCCAAGGCGGCCGCAGACGCTGCGCCGCCACCACTCCAGCCAGTCGTCGCAGGTCTCGCAGTCGCCGTCGGATAGCTCGCATGCCGGCCAGCAGCACCGCGCCGCCCAACACAAGGCGCAGAGACACATTGTCGGCCACGGCCGCCTGGGCCAGCGCAACCCGTCGAGCAAGAATCTGAACAAGCTGGGGGCCGCTGCCAAGCTGGCGCAGGCCGATGGGCAGGCGGGCACGAGAAACCACCACCGGACGCTGTCGGGTAGCTCGACGGCCACGGCGGGCGAGGCTCCCGTCGTGCGGCCAAACCTGAAGCGCAACCAGTCGGCCGCCGTGGTACCGCGCAACCAGTCGCACGTGGCGCTGAGGAAGAATCATTCGAGCAGCCACCTGCCGCGCCAGGCCTCGTCCAAGAACATCAACAAAGCGACGCGCGCCGAGCTCGAACATCTGCGCAAGCAGGCCAAGATGCGCCGTCGTTCCTCGCCCGAGACGGAGCAGCCCGTTGTCCGCTTCGATCTCGGAGAGGAGGACGAGGGCGAGGAGGAGGAGAACTGGACAGAGGAGAGCGCCTCGCAGTCGCCCGCCACGACGCGCTCCAACACGCGCCAAAACTCGGTCGTCATGGAGGCCCCCAAGCCCAAGCACCGTGCTCAAGCCGCCCTCCGCAACGACACGTCGGATTCCGCCACCGAAACTGAAACCCCAGCGCCCAAGCCCAAGCCCAAGCCCGCGCAGGCACAGGCACAGGCACCCGCACCCGCACCCGCCCCGCCGCAGCAGCCACGCGCTCCCGAGAGACTAACATATAGCAGCAATCATATCAATGGCGCCAATTCCTTCAACCAGCAGCCCCAGCTCCCCGACGCTGACATGATCACCTCCCGCATCTTGCAGCGCAGCGCCTCGCACCGCCTGCCGCCCCAGGTTTCCGACATCTCGGCCACCGTCGTCTCCGACTCTCACGACGCTCGCTCCCTCAGTCACTCCACCGGCTCCACCATGATTGACACCCCCGGCAACAAAGAGGCCGTCTCCCGATTCATCAACGGAGAGGGCTCTTCCGGCACCCCGCGTGATAGCAGTTTTCTTCCGCACCGTCCCTCATCATCGGCCGGCGGCGGCGATATCACGCCCGGCAAGCGCAACAAGAGCGTGCCCAACATGGCCGGCCAACGAGACGAAGCGACACCAAGTGGCCACACGCGCTCGCGCTCCGGTACCACTACTCCCTCGGATCTGGCACCAAGTCGCACGCAACAGAAACTATGGTTGCAGCGCGCATCATCCAACATTGAGCCGCAGCAGAAGAACGAATTCCTGCAGCGCCAGGGCCACGGCGGCAGCCAGGTCTTCACGACGGCCGTGACGTACACGGCGTCGGGTGACATGGTCGTCGACCGCGAGCTGCTCCGCCGCTTCGACGAGGCCACGACTGAATACCGCGTGGTGCGCCGCTTCCGCAATCCGATTGCCGACGCCATTGCCCGCCTCTCGGCATACCCCTCGGGCCTGCGCAGGCGGTACCTTGCGTCGGCGGACCCGAACGACAAGCGGCCACACACGATGGCCGGCGCCTCGACGCTTAGACGCAGCAGCCTGGCTGCGGACGTTAAGAGCATGCGCGCCACGTCTAGCAGCGGGCCGGCGCCGCCCGCTGCGGGTGCTGCTGCAGCAGTGGAAAACGGCTCCGCGAACCGCCGTAGCAAAGTCTCCTTTGACTTACCGATGCGCAGCCGTGACGACAGCGACGTGGGCGCTCGGCGCGAGAGCGGCGACAGCTCCCTCTCGAGCGGGAGTGAGGCGGGGGGTAATCAGTCCCGTGGACCCAAGGACGAGGTAGAGGAACTGTGTCGCAGGATATGGGAGCGGAATGAGATGGCTGAGGGGGACTGAGGCGCGCGCTCAGGTGCCTCTGCTTCCTCTATCTCTTTGCTCGCCGCTCTTTGGATTCCCTGCGTTCTGTCCCGCCTGCCTTTCTGCCTTGCCTCTCGTCTCGTCGTTGCCTGCGCGTTGTGGTTTGGCGTGGTGGCAGTGGTGGCATGAGGCGGTGCGCCATACAAGCTTGCTTATTTATCAGTGAGTTGGCGGGACAGTCGAGGGGCCTTGGACTCGGGGGTGCTTGACTGTTTGCTTGCTTGCTTGCCCGCGATGATGGCGCGCTCTACCTACTACTGACTACGTACCTACCCTACCTTCTTTTTTCTTTCTGGTGGAGAAGATAATTCGAGGCACTCGTCTGCCTACATACCTACCTATGGACCTATCCGCCTACCCACCTTCACGACGACGCGGCACAGCAGCTTTCTCACCCAATGGATTGACGCGGACAGACCTATCCACTCATGCCTATTCTAGGACTCGACGTCATCTAGCGCGCTATTCTTGAGTCTACCGCGCCTGCCACTCGCCATGACACTTGGCATCGACCTCGACCTTAGCGGCAGGCAGAGTCACGACAACCGCCACCAACAGTACTGCTCTTCTTCCGTCCCGCCGATCTCGCGCTCGTCTTCGCCGCTCTCTGCTCTCGTCCGCCCTTCTGTCCTATCGGATTGGTCATACCGCCTGCTTCCGCTCGTGGCATTGGAGAGCGCGCTTTTTCTTAGCTACGCTGCGTACGGCTTTGTAATGCTCTGCTCTGCTCAGTTGGCCATCGCATGGGTTTTGGATGAGGGGCGGGGGTCGGACGGTTGGCTGGTGCTGGTGCTGGTGCCTGGGGGGGTTGGGGGGTGCTCTGGGGCGCTGTGGGGGTGGGGGTTGCGTGGATGGGTCGTGCGTGGGGTGAGTGAGAGCTTTTTTGCTTTTCTTTCTGGTGATGCAGGGATCGCGCGCATTTCTTCGGCTCTGAGGGGATGATGATGGGCTGGTTTGGTGCGGTTCGGGTTTCTTACTGGCGTGTTGAGTGAGGATGGGGGGGTGGGGGTAATGAGTAGGACGCCTCTTACTCCCCGTCCTCGTTCTTTGCTTCTTTCGTTTCTCTTGCGCTTTTGTTTCTGCATTTGCCTTGCTGCATTCTGCGTAATTCTTTCTTTCTTTCTACTTCCTGCTTCACGCGCTTCGGTTCACTGCTTACTTCACTTTCTCATGGCGTGGTTGGCAGGCGTCTTTTCGGACTGGTTCAGTTCATCTTGGTGCAGGCGGAGCGGAGCGGGGCATAGAGTATACATACATATACACATACATGCCGTGCGGTACGGCATAAGGCGTGCGTATGGGATTGGCGGATGCGTGGGCGATGGTGATGGAGAGGGCCGTCTGGCTGCTCTGGAGGCGTTCCACGAAGAGAGAGAAGAAGACATTGGCTGCGGAACGGTAGTATAAACTCGGAGAGAAGCGCGATAGACAAGCAAGCAAAGACATGACTTCGCAAAAGATACCTACTCCTACCTAGTGTCGCAAGCAGCGCGGTCACGTGCCGTGGGTTCTCCAGGTCTTGGCGGCGGCATGGATCCGCACGTCACCTTCCAACTTCTGCCAGCGACCGGTGAAGCCTCCACTCCTTCTCACCACTACTACCAGATACTATACCCATCCACACGACGACAACTCCCACGACCGACGCAACTGCGGCTCGCGCTACCCAATTCTCTGGCCCCGTTTCTCCTCACACTGCACGCCATGTCTACCGCCCAGAAACGCAAGACGTCGCTCTCGGGCGGCGCTCTCGAAGAAGAGTCCGCGAAACGCCGCTTCGTTGAGACTGAATCCGCCCCGCCACCAGAAGACGTCGCGCCAGACGCCGCCGCAGAAGACGCCGCTTCCGCAACAGACGCAAACACTACTACTACCGCCAACGACACCTCTTCCACCACCACCACCACCACCACCACCACCACCACCGCACCCGCAGCCTCCTCCAGCAGCAGCAGCGCCGCGAACCGGCTCTCCCGCTTCAAAGCCCTGCAAGCACGACAAGCAGCATCACGGACGCAAAACCTGAAAGACTCGTCGGCAGAAGCCGCACGCGCATCAATCGACCCGAGCGCGCTGACAGCAGCACAGCGCAAGCACGCGATCGCGACGCACAAGCTGCTAAAAGCGGAAGCAGCAGACGCAGGCGAGGACTTTGAGCGCAAGCGCGCCTGGGACTGGACGGTCGAGGAAAGCGAACGCTGGGACAAGCGCGTGGCCAAGAAGGAAAAACACCGCCAAGACGTCGCCTTCGCCGACTACCGGCAGGACGCGCGCAAGGTGTACAAGCGGCAGCTGCGCGAGCTGGCGCCCGACACGGCGGGGTACGAGCGCGCGAAGGCGGAGGCGGTGCGCCGCGCGGCTGCGAGTGGGGGCTTGGATATCGTCGAGGGCGCCGACGGCGAGCTCATTGCTGTCGACCGCGATGGCAGCTTTTACTCGACGGCTGATAGCACCGACTTTGCGAGCCATCGCCCGGATAAGGAGGGCGTGGATAAGCTGGTCGGTGAGATACGGAAGGCTGAGGAGGCGAGGCTGAAGGCCAGACGTGCGAGAGGCATTGACGATGAGGCGGGTGATATCACGTATATCAACCAGAAGAACAAGCAGTTTAATGAGAAGCTGGCCAGGTTCTATAATAAGTATACGGGGGATATTAGGGAGAGCTTTGAGCGGGGGACGGCGTTGTAGGGGGTGGGTGGGAGGGCAGGAAAATGCAAGACGAACAGACGCGAGCAGATATGGGCTGAAGAAAAAGCACAACAGAACACGGCATTAATCAGAGCACCTTCCTTTCCTCCTTCCTTTCCTTCTTCTTTCCTCCGTCTGTATTTGTACTACCAGCCTCTCCCACACAGCAGCATGGCGGATACCGAAGAAGTAAACTGTACAGTATCTCCTGATCGAGAAATCCATCGCATCTGTTCGCACGTTCATACGGATGTAATCCGTACGAGACGGAGACGGAGGGAGGGAGACAGAGAAGAAACCTACCTATCTACCTCACTCACTTGCTTATTTGGTTGCTTGATAGGTAGTGACTGACTGACTGACTTGCACCTCTGCACGCGCACGCACAACCACCACCGACAATAACAGCCAACAACCAACCAATAACACGATAAGCCCCGTATGTACGTACGCACCACCACCACCATTGCCACTACCACGCCCACTACCACACCAAGCAAGCAAGCGAGCACTCTACTCCTACCCAGGCAACGACCGCTTCAGCACAACAACACAACAAGTAAAGAGGCATATCTATTATCTGCGCACGCACGCACGCAAGCACGCGTACCTACGCTATCACCCACCTACTCCACCACCGCAACCGCGATACCACATCATACCAAGGTACTAACATACTAACTAACCCCTCCTCACTCACAACTTAGCCCGTATCCCTCACTCATCCCATCCATGCCATCACCCCATCCCATCCCGTCCCCATCACTCCTCAGTCTAGCCTTAGCCTATCCCCACCCCCCGCACTTCCTCCAGGCACCACTCCCCTACCTACCGATAAAAACTGTCCACGTCCTCAGCCCTCCCCATCCCAGCAGCAGCAGCAGCAGCGCCACTAAACCTCCTTGCGGGCCCCTGTCCCTGCTGCGCCATCACGCCAGGATTATACGCCTGGTAGCCCGCACCTGCACCCGCGGCAGGGCCCGCGCCCGCGCCACCGCCACCGCCACCAGGCGGCAGCGTCGCGCTGCTCTGGTTAAACGCCATGTAGGGCCCCGCGCCCAGGGCGCCGGGGGCCGGGCTGCCCACGCCAGCCGCATACGGGTCCGCGGGGCCAGGGGGGCCGGACGCGGCCGGGTAGCCTGGGCCATCGTAGGAGGTCTGGCGATGAGGGCCGGCGCCGGCGGCAGCGGCAGCGGCAACAGCGGCGTACGCCGCGGCGGGCTGTGCGGATGCTGGGGCGCCGGCTGCTTGGGCGGGGTAGGCTTCGTAGGGCTGTTGTTGTTGCTGCTGCTGTTGTTGGGGCAGCGAGGGCCGGTGCGTCGCCTCGACCGGGCTTTCGTAGCTCGTTGTCGCGAGCTCCTGCGGGTACGTCGCGATGGACTGGGGGCGCGCGGCCGCGGCCGACGTCGATGGGATGCGCTGCTGGGTGTAGGGGTCTGCGGCGCCGGGCTTGGGGCTGCCGACCTGGTTCGTCGGCATCATGTAGAAGGGCTGTGGCCCGCTTTGTGGCGGGTACCCATAGGCTGGCTCGCCGGGCGCGGGCGAGTAGAAGCGTTGAGGGTCTTGCGGTGGCGGCGGCGCCGTTTGCGCTGGGTACGCGCCGGTGTAGGGCCCGCTGCTGGTGCTGTAGCCGTAGGGTTGGCGGCCGTAGGCCGGTTGTGCTGCTTGTGACATTGATGCTTCGAGGAGAGCTTCGTAGTCGCGCCGGGCTTTGATGAACTTCTCGTTCAGTTGTGTGAAATCGTCTGCGGGCAACTGTAAGCATCTTGAACGGTTCTGCAGAAAGCCTCGACTTAGACTTACCCTTCTTCTGCGAGTACTTCCCTATTAACTCGATGAGCTTTGGCCGTATCGCCACAGTGGAATGGTATAGAGAAGTAATCTCCTCGTTGTCTCTCGCGTCGGCCTGGGAGCTCGTGCTGAGCAAGGCCAACAGCTTCTCCACATTGCGAATTTCCGAAAACACCTCCGCCTCCATCTGTGCTTCCCTCTCCAGCTCTTCCTTGGTCGGGTCCTGCAGCTTCTCCACGTAGTTCAGGGGGAAGATGCCGGTCTGTCCACGCAAAGATCCCTTCCACCAGTCCTTGTACACCGACTCGAGAACTGCAATGACGTCTCCCTTGCGGAACGCCAGCTCGCCTGGTTCGGAAGGTGTGAAGTCGAAGAGTGCCCGAACGCGAGAAACAGTGGCCGCCGTGGTGCCGGATGCTATAGCTTGTGACTGCTGGGGGTCGCTGCCGTTCTGGGCCGCTGGAGGTTGGTTGGACTTGGCCGCGGAGGGTGCGGGGACCTGACTATCTTTGATCGACAGTGCCAACGCCATCTGCAGTTCGTCCTCCTCCCTCTGGCGGTCAGACTGCGTGATCTGTGTCTTCTGCGGCTTCGAGGGCGGGCGGAGGTTCGGGTTCTGCGTCTTAAGCCTCATGTACGCTTGCTCCATGATGCCTAGATCCGGGTCCTTGGAGAACATCTCCGTCCATTCTCCCATGCGCTCGAGGATCTTGGCCTTGACTTGTTGGTGGGTGTTTCTGTCGTTTGCCAGGCGCAACAGGGCGTCGGTGAAGCTCCTGGAGGCGAGTTCCTTGTGCATCTTCAGGCCGCAGTTCTGGGAAAGAGCGTTCGCAAGCTATTGTTGTCTCTTGTATTAGCATTGGTCCTTGTATCCCGTCTCTTGGGGGCCGGGCATGAGCAGGCGACCAACCTCGAGGGTGTAGAGCTGGACGTTCGCATTGCGGTGCGCCAGGCGCTTGATCAGCGCGGTGACAACATCCTTGGCCCTATGCGACGGAGCAGCCTGTCAGCGTGAATGTCCATGGCATTTTCTCCCGCGGAAATAGCCCAGGTCAACGCACCCGCTGTCCGTAGCGGCGACCTTGTCGCAAACATCCTACACGGCCTCAGCATTCGTCCGGTAGCAAACGTGCGTGTGCCGTAGCAACGTACGAGTATGTACTCCCAGTTCTCGCTCGTAAGATTCTCGTCGGTGGCTCTGACTGCGCGCGCTTGGTGGTTAGCATGTATGTATGTGGCCTGGCCGAGGGCCCCCCGCCGAGGGATCCGGGGTACGTACCGACGACCTCGTCAAAGGCGTTTTGCTGCGCGCGGAACATGGCGGCGCGAGAGTGAGACAGGCGGGGGTATCAGAGAAAGAAGAGGGTATCAAGAGGGTGCGGCAAACGAAGGTGTGAAGGATGTTGAAGCCTAATGGAGCTCCGGGGTGCTTGGCGAGTAAGTGGTGCGTCACGGACGGTGGCGGAGGCTCCTTGGTGCTTGGCCACGCGCTCTCCTCTCAACCACTAACCACCGTCGTCTTCGTACCACCATGTTGAGCTTACGAATGATTGTGTTATGCCTGCCTACATATGCATTCTCCAGGCCAATACAGTACCCCCTAAGCTACATATCAGCTACCCGGAGGCTCCAACGACGTCACAGCCGGGCGGACGTCGGGCATCGACATAGGTACCCTCTACCGGGCATGGTCCCTTTTTGAGCCCATCGGATTTCATTGTCACAAATAACCAGATGCCGTCACTGCTGGTTCAATCGCTGATCTGTTCGACCGTGCAGTTCGTACTGAGCTTGCGGTTCTTCAGACGAAGCTAGCATCTATTATATCCGTACTCACCTGACAGGCACAATGCGGCTTATACTCCAAACATTCCTACGACGTAAACCTAACTTAATTGACCTATTCCTATGTATGTGGGAATCCAATGCTAGTCTCGCTTGAACACTGGTCAAATTCACCCAGTACTCCAACCGACGACCTACTCTTTCTCCCCCTCAGCTGACTCGGAGCCATTCGAAGCGGTCAAGAGCACAACCGAGAGACCGCGAGCATGAGACTGTAGATTCGGAAGAAAGAAAACCCTCAAGAATCGGCAATATGGGGACCTACAAAAAGAGAAAAGAGCGGTGATGCACAGAGGCGGCGAGTGCTCACAATCTCCGTGAATTAATCACACTTAATATCTGTCCGCGGACAAAGCAATTACATCAAGGTACTGATATCACCCGACCAGGCTACATACCACGACATTTCCCGGTGCCGTATCGCAGAAGTGGGGGACAGTGCAGCAGCATATGGTATTCAGAAGCTTCATTCAGTCCCGCTCAAGACAACACCGAAGAATGCGGCAAATTGCAGCTCACACCATCGCTTGCTTAACAGCGCACGAGCAACTGCCACAGAAGTCTTCCAAATCACCGGTCATGAAGTGGACAGAAGAGAGGGCTGCCAGGGTCATGGTGGTGGTCACACCGGCACAGACGTCGGCCCGCTGCAGTACGCCTCTTCCGGGTCCCGCTTGCGCAGGTGCTTCAAACCTACCCTGGCACCTGGACCTGGCACGCAGTAACGTCGCACCCACTTGTGTGACCCAGGCCATCAACACCCCAGACGATAGCAGCACGCAGTACCCCGCCTCGACGCGCCCCTGAACATCGCGCGCTGCTGTGCTCTGTATCCCATGTCATTGTCCCAGGCACCGTTGCGCGGTGGAGCTTAGCCTGCGCCGTGGAGGGTGTGGCACGGGGGATGCTAGAGCGCCGACGGCGTGAGGCCTTTCCACCATGATTTTTTGCGCGCATGTTTTTCTTAGTGAGGGGTTACGGGGGTACCTGGTGCGTTGGGCCGATAGGTACATCCAGGTAGGTTGGTTCTGATAAGTATATATAGCCGTCGTCGGCCGCTTTTTTCCCTGCAAGCGGTGTTGCTGCTTCTTTGTGTCTTTGCCTCAAGATGCTGAGTCCTTCGCTCTTCATGGTTTGCGCCTGGGCGGCTCTCGTTCATTCACAGGCTGCTTTTGACCCTTTGCAATACGTAGATCCGCTCATTGGCTCAAGCAACGGAGGTAATTGCCTGCAACCTACTGAGAGAATGAAGAATTGACCAAGTCTAGGAAACGTCTTCCCCGGCGCTACGATTCCCTACGGTTCGTTTCCTTCTCCAACACCTCCAAAACCCACTAATTCTCTTCAATATAACCATCTTCTCCATGAGCAACATGTTCACAACCCACACTTCCAGGCATGGCCAAAGCCGTAGCCGACACCAACAGCACCAGCAACCAAGGCGGCTTCACCACGGACGGCGCGCCCATCACCGGCTTCTCCAGCATGCACGACTCGGGCACAGGCGGCAAGCCATCTCTCGGCAACTTCCCACTCTTCGCATACACGCACTGCGCCAACGACGACGTCAACAACTGCGTCTTCCCCAAGCGCTCACGCGCGACGCCTTACGTGAACGGCAGCGTCGTAGCCAGCCCCGGCTACTTCAGCATTACGCTCAGCAGCGGCATCAAAGTGGACATGACAGCCGCGGCGCACACATCGCTATTCCGGTTCCAGTTCGCACGCAGCAACGCCACAGCCACGGCCAGCAGTCCGCTAATCCTGCTCGACCTGTCAGACCTCTCCGACAGCCGGCAGGACAACGGCACCGTGTCCGTAGACGCCGCGAGCGGGCGCATTCAGGGCGGCGCGCGCTTCGAGCCCAGCTTCGGCGCGGGCACGTACGTCGCGTATTTCTGCGCCGACTTCGCGGGGGCGGGCGTGCGGGACGCGGGCGTGTTTGTCGACAGCCGCGCCAGCGCCGACGTGCACGACTTGACTATCTCGCGCAGCATCAACGGGTACCCCCTGCCTGGGGGCGCGTTTGTGCGGTTTGCGGACCCGGGCGACGCGCCCGTGCTCGCGCGTGTCGGACTTAGTTTCATGAGCAGTGAGCGCGCGTGCGCGAATGCGGAGACGGAGATCCCTGAGTTTGGGTTTGAGGCGACGAGGGACGAGGCTGTGGCGCTGTGGCGGGAGAAGTTGAGCCCGGTTGTGGTGGCGACGGAGGGCGTGGAGAGGAGCTTGCTGGTTAATTTCTACAGCGGGATTTACCGCACCATGGTAGGTTTGCGTCTGTCTATGGTGTTGTGGTTGCTGACTGGAAATGATAGGTCAATCCCCAGGACTATACCGGTGAGAACCCGCTGTGGGAGAGCGAGGAGCCGTATTTTGACTCGTTTTACTGCATCTGGGACCTCTTTAGGTCGCAGCTCCCGTTCCTGACCATCTTGGATCCGGAACAGGTGGCGCGGATGGTGCGGAGTTTGATTGATACTTATAGACATACGGGATGGCTGCCAGATTGCAGGTGAGTGGGATTCCAAAACGATTGCACAGACAGATCTAACTGACGATTCGCAGAATGAGCCTATGCAAAGGATATACACAAGGTAAGCCATCATCTCCCCCCTACTATCTTCACAATCCCCTCCAAAACCTCCTTCATTCTCACCTAACACCTCCAGGCGGCTCCAACGCAGACATTGTCCTCGCCGACGCGCACCTCAAAAACGTCAGCAGCGGGATCAACTGGGCAGACGGGCTAGCGGCCGTAATCAAAGACGCCGAAGACGAGCCCTTCGACTGGTGCTGCGAAGGGCGGGGCGGCCTCGCAAGCTGGAAAGCGCTGGGCTACATCCCGGCGCAAGACTTCGACCCCTACGGGTTCGGGACGCACACGCGCAGTGTGTCGCGCACGCTCGAGTACAGCTACAACGACTTCGCGGTGGCGACGCTGGCGCAGCGGCTGGGCGCGCCATCCGCCCAAGTCGCCACGTACCTGGGCCGGGCGGGCAACTGGCGCAACCTCTGGAAAGCAGACCAGGTGTCGCCCATGGCCGCGAACACGTCGACGGCGCAATTCGTCGGCTTCTTCCAGCCGCGGTACGCGAACCAGACGTGGGGCTTCCAGGAGCCGCTCGCGTGCAGCAGCCTCGACAGCGACGCGAGCCGCGCCTGCTCGCTCCAGAACACCGGCCAGGAGACCTTCGAGTCCAGCATCTGGGAATACGGCTTCTACGTCCCGCACGACATGGCCGCGCTCATCAGCGTCCTCGGCGGCCCCGAAGCATTCACCACCCGCCTGTCACACTTACACGACGCCAGCGTCGGCAGCATCGCGAACGAGCCGGCGTTCCTGCCCGTCGCGCTGTACCACTATGCAGGACGGCCGGGGCTGTCGAGCCGGCAGGCGCGCAGGTACGTCCCTGGGTCATTCAAGACGACCTGGGACGGCTTGCCCGGCAATGATGATAGTGGTGCGATGGGCGCGTTTGTCGCGTTTGCTATGATGGGCTTATTTCCGGTCCCCGGCCAGGACGTGTATTTGATCACGGCGCCGTTTTTTGCGTCGGTGGAGGTTAGGAGCCCCGTTACGGGGCGGGTGGCTAAGGTTAGGTGTGTCGGTGTTTTGCCTGGGGATGGGGTGGGTGGCAATGGCACCAATAATGGCGGGAACGGCACAGTGAACGGAGACCTCTACATCCAGTCCGCGCTCCTGGACAACGAGCCCTACACGCGCAACTGGCTGGACCACAGCTTCTTCACGGAGGGCCGGGAGCTCGTGCTCACGCTCGGGCGGAACGAGAGCCGGACCTGGGGCACGCGGGCCGAGGACGTGCCGCCTAGTCTGGGTGGTTTGGGTGGTGCTGTGGGTATGGGTGTGGGGGGTGTGTGATGGGGTATGTGGAGGAGAGATGGAGGAGAGGGAGAGGGTAGTAGTCACAGCGCCGAGCTATTTGCTTGTAGTGCGCGAACAACCTACCGACCCTACATAGATGCTATGTACCGCATGCTATGTACCTTGCACGTTAGGGCGAGGGGTAAAGAGTTGCTTTAAATGGATGTTGTGCAAAGCCAGTAACCTCAGCATATAGACAGTAGTATGCCGCGCTTAATGCATGCAGAGACGAGACTGCTCACACGCTTCCTCGCTCTTGCGCCATCTGCAAGACAGCTACCACGTCAAACCCCCAGAAATACATAAGTACACTAGACACACACACAGGCAAGCAAATAGGTACGTAAGTATCAAGAACCATGCTCATAATTTTCAGGTAGGTACGGCTGCTCTTACGCACCGTACCTACGCAGTCATCCTAACTAAGCAAGCAAGTGCTTATAAAGGCACCAAAGCAAACTCCCTCCATCTATCATAATCTACGCGTCAAAAAACCCGCACCTCACTAAACCACCAAACCACTCACTCACTCACTCACGCACACAACCCCCCACCTAATAAACCTCAAGCACATAGCGTCCCTCCTCCTTCAACGCCTCAATCTCGCGTCTCGAATCGACCTTCTTGCCCTCGGCCGCCTCCTCAATCGCCTCCTGCAGCACCTGCTGAACATCCGGCACAGGCCAGGTAGGGCCACAAAGATAAAAGCTGCCGCCCTCCTCGAGATACGCCTTACGGATCTCCTTCAAGCTCTCGCGCATGCGGTCCTGGATATAGATTTTCTGGGGCTGGTCGCGGGAGAACGCGCGGCCGAGGAGCGTGATCACGCCCGCCGCCTGGTAGGCCTCCCATTCCTCGCCGTAAAGGTATTCTTCGCGCTGGTGCCGCGAGCCCATGTACAACAGGATGCTGCCGATTTCCTCGCCGGCGAGCTTCTGGCGGGCGCGCTCTTGCACGAACGCGCGGAAGGGCGCCAGTCCCGTGCCGAGACCCGCCATGATGAGCGGGGCCGTCGATTTGGTTGGCAGCTTCATCACTGACGGCTTCACCGACACCGTCACTGGCGCGCCCACTGGCAGGCTGTTCAGGTAGCGCGTCGCCTGGCCGAAGCGGTCGCGGCCCTTGGGGTCCACCCATCCAACCGTCACGATCAGCAGCGACACGCTGTTCGGCGTCACCTTCTGGCTCGACGCGATCGAGTACTCGCGGCGCTTCATCGGGTTGACAATGCGGATGATGTCGTGGAAGGCAGGGTGCGCCGACGGGAACTCCAGCAGAATGTCCGCGTACGTCACAGTGTCCACCTCGGCGCGGCGCTTGAACTCCTGCGCACCGTCGGGCGTCAGCAACGCCAGCAGCGCCGACTTCTCCTTCTCCTCCGACGCGAACTCAGCCAACTGCTCGTAGAAGCGCTTGGGCGGGCGGCCGAAAATGTCGAGGTTCTGCAGGAGCGCCTGGTAGACGGTGCGGTTCTCGAGGACGTTGGGGTCATCGCGGGTAGGCACCTCGACGACCTCCTCGGGGTTGAGGCCGTACCACTGAATGAACTCCTCGACGTGCTTGGGGTCGTTCTCGTGGTGAATACCAAGAGCCTCACCAATGGCGTACGTGACGCCAGAGTTGCCGAGGTCAAACTCGATGTGGAAGATGTTACGGTCGTAGTTCTGGGGAGTGAGACGGCGGCGCTCCTTGACGTGGACGACGGCGGTCTTGATGCCAAGATCGGGGCGGAGAGCCGTCTGCGTGCCGAAGGCCTCCTTGAAAGCAAGACCCTGGGCAGCAGTGACCCAGTTCTTGAGCAGGGTAGGGGGCTCGGGGTCAACACGCTCGAAGGCGGCAAAGCTGTTGACGCTAATGTTGGTGGGAAGAGAAATGCTTTCAACTTCCGGCTCAACGGTAGCCCAGGCCTCGGGGATCTCGACCTGGCGGAGAGCCTTGGAAACATCGCTGACAATGCTGTCGAGCGAGCCGCCGCTGAGAGTGGCAAGCTTGTGGGCCGCAGCATCAAACTTGTCAGCCTCGGCAACCTTCAGGAAGGCGAGCTGGACAAGGTAGGACTCGAGGGCGGCGTCTTCCTCGACGTTAGCCGAAGCAGTCGGGTCCAGGACGAACAGCTTGACGTTCTTGCCAAAGATGCCCTTGCGAGCACCAACGGGGATGCGCTTCTCAAGATCCTCGTCCTTGGCACCGGGGAGGCGAGCGATGAGCGCGCCAGCGGCCTTCAGGCTGTTGAGGACATCAAACTCGTAGAGCAGCTTCTCGTCACCAACGTAGGCGACGTCTGCGTCGTCAACAGAGTACGCAGCCTCGATGGACTTGCTAGACCTGCGGACGTCGGTGCGAACGACACCGCCCGAGACGAGGTTGTCGTGACCAGTGCGGACCGAGACATTGCTAGCAGAGTCCTTGGAGAACAGCTGGCCAATGACAACGGGAGCGCCGACTGCAACAGAGCCGTCGGCGTTCCAGAATGTGTACTGCTGAGAAGCGGCCGTAAAGTCGACATCAGCCTGCGCCGCCGCAGGGACGAACTTGGAGAACAGGTCGCTGAAGTTGCGGGGGCTCCAGACCTCCTCCCTGGGGTACTTGAGGTCGGCGACGGTGGCAGCGCTCTCGGAGGAGAAGCTCACCGCAGCGAGGACATCGCTGTAAAGAGCAGAGTGGACGGACTCGTCAGTGACGGCGGCCTGGTCCTGGACCTGGCCCAAAACAATGACGTTCTGGGCGGACTTGGGCAGAGCCTCGAGGAAGACCTCCTCGACGAAGGGGCGGTAAACGCGGACGTTGACGACGCCAACCTTGACGTCCTTGGCGGCAAGAGCATCGGCAAGCTGGGCGCTCAGAGAGGCCTCAACAGTGCCGAAGGTGACGAAGACCGTCTCGGCCTCGGCGTGGCCGTGGTACTCGAAAAGCTTGTAGTCGGTGCCAAACTCGTCGTTGAAGGCCTTCAGCAGGCGAATGGTCTTGCCCTCGTTGTCAGAGTGCTTCTTCTCAACATCAGAGGTAGCCTTAAGGATGGCCTCGTAGTTCTTGAAGAGGCCGGTCTTGTTGCAAACGTCCACGACGCGGGTGGTCTCGCGGCCAACGGTGATGCCGTCGTAGGTGTGGATGGTAGGGACAACGCTGGCCAAGAGGGTGGAGAACAGCGCCATGTGCTGAATCTCGTGGGCCGAGGCGCTGGCAACCAGGCCAAGGCCGAGCTCTTCCGCGAGGTTGAAGGAGGTGGAGTAGTCCGTGACAAGGCCCGTGGAGGTGCCCGCAGCGTAGTCGACAGCGGCGACGTGCGCCACGAGGGGGTTGGACACGCCGTACAGCAGCGACAGCTGGTCCAGGGCGGACCTCAGCTGCTGCAGGCTGGAAGAAGAGGCAACAATTGCCTGGGGAATGTGCCTCTTTGCCACATCAAAGTCCTTGGAGAAGATGTAGCCCAAAGCAACATTGCCGGCACCGGTCCTCGTCTCGAGCGAAGAGACGCCAGTCTTGTATCCAAACGCATTGTCCTCGCCCTGCGACTGCCATTCCTTCAGCGCAACATCGAGGTCGAAGGTCTCGGGCGAGTAGGTGAAGATCTTGTCGGAGAGGGCGTAGGCGACGTGCTGGACGAGCGTCTGCGCGGTAATGTAGGTGGGGCCGCCAATGGAGGAGAAAGCCACGTCCTGGCCGAAAGGCAGGCTGGAGGACTTTTGCGCAAACTGCTTGAGGGCCTTCTGCTCGCTGGACTGGGCGGCGGGGCCGGCGGACTCGGGGGCCTGGAGACGCATGGTAACAAAGAAAGAAGCGACTTCTATGAGGTATCAAACGGAAAAAGACAAAAAGCTTTTGTGAAAGACGAGAGTGGGAGCACAGCACGCGCGGCTCCAGTGTCCTCTCAGAATTGACTCGAGGGAGGGGTGAGAAAAAATAAGGGCTTCTTCAGCCGGGCGGAGGGGCGATCTATAGGCGGCGGGAAAAAAGTCTCGCGCCCCGACATCGCTGAGCAATCAATGCGGCAATCCATGGCTGGTCGACGGCGTTTGCTCACTCCAGACTTTGGCAAGGGCGATGGCGTGCTCGCTCCATTGCCGAATCCGTCTTCGCTCGGCGTGTCTCGGCCCGAGTTTTGGCGCTTAGTCACCGCCATCGGCATCTCCACCACTCGCCAGCTGCACCACCAAAAGCACCACCACTCTCGAAGCTGACATGGACGTGACACTTGGTGGATTTGCTTGTCCGGGAACTCCGAACCTACCCACTATACCTCGTACAATACTCACCCTAACCACCAATCATCGCCCACCGCCGCCTTCGCCACGCGACAAACTTGCCCCCCCACTCACCCACCGGTTCCACGGAACCACTTTCCATATATGGCGGGAAGAAGGATATTCAAGACGTCAAGCCACAGTCAACTCACTGATCAGAGCATTTTGGTTTCATTTTCTTCGCCCTCCGAGCTAATCACCCCGCGTCGTCTTGCACAAAAAAAGTAGTATCTAACTGCCAACCGCCACCCAAAACCACCTAGCTCGCCATCGCATGCCGTCGTCACCGTCGTCCAACCGCCGAGGTATCATTCATTTCGTGTCAACTCAATGCCCGTTCCACGCTCGTCGTCTACAAGTCCCAAGTCCGTTTCTTGCTCCCCCACTCCCGCATCACCCGCTTCTCCTCCCCTTCTAGTACCGCTGTTCCCGCTCATAAAATACTATATACGCCATCTCGTTCTGCAGTGACTCGGCCGGCGGTAGCCGCTCCGGCTGGAACTCGCTGACCCGGCTGTCGTTGAACTGCCACCAGCAGCCACGCGCCTTGTCGCGCACCATAGCGATGTAATGCCCACTCGTCAGCGTGTTGCCCTGGTGCCGCATTACCGCGTACGCATTGTACCGGTACGGCGGCACCATCTTATCATCCTTCTTGAGCGACTTCACATCCTGCGCCGCCCCACGCTGCGTAACGAGGTATTCCTCTTCCGCCGGAGTCAGCGACGGCAGCATAAACGGCGTAATGTCGAGGTTTTGCAGCGGGAAGTCTATCGGCGTCCGAACTTTGCGCGCCCGCTCCGTGTGCGACGCGCTGAAGCGCTTGAAGTGAATGACGAGGTAGTGTGGTGCTCGCGTTAGCTTGATTTGCTTCGTCGCTTCGCGCTCTTTCTTGCACCGAGGGCAGCGCCAAACTTCGTCGCCTGAAAGCTTTTCCTCGGCGCAATACGAACGGAGGCAATCGTTCAACGTGCCCGAATGCAAGTGGGGGATCTCGACCGAAATGCTGTAAAAGGTCTCGAAGGTGGTCGAGGTAAAGTGGCATGTGGTGCAGCGCAGGCGAGAGGCATGCTGTCCGCCAAAGAGCTCGCTGATGGGACTCTTTTCCCGCATGGACCAGCGACGCCATTCGATGTGTGCGGCGTAGGGTTTAGGAAGACGTTCGCGACGCGCTTCTTCCTCTTCGGTCAGGGCTTGTGCCGGCGGATGAGCCCACGAGATGTTTAGGTCCTCATGAAGCATGTCAATGAGGAAGTCAAAAAACTCTTTGGCATCCTGTTGACGGTCGAGACCCCATTCTTTGTTGATTCGTGCACAGAGTTCCTGAAACAAAGTTGTTAATATCATAACACCCCAAGCAAACGGGATCTTCTTACTCGTAGTGTCTTCGGCCGACACGGTCCTTTATTCTCTTGCCACATGTTTTGGATGAGTGTTGCGTAGTTCTCTGACATGAGACCGCGCGATCCGCGCCAATTCTGCCTCTGGATGCATTTTGTAAAGCTGTTGTCGCGGAAGTATCTGGTCATCATCAACGTAGCATTCAGACATTGAATAGTGGCATTCATGTAGCATGTAACGCCAAAGTTGATGAGCCCTGTCCTCGGAAGCCGGACGTTTTGAGGAAGTTGGCTCGGGGGGAAGTAAGAAGGAAGTTGAGAGGTCCGAGCGGTGACTGCATGATGTGCAGGGTAATTCCTATCATGGACACCGTTGTAGCTAGGTCGTGAAGCCGCAGGAGGTGGCCGAGAAGGAATTGTAGGAACCGAAGGAAGTGGGTAGTTGGGTAACGGTGCAGGCCTAGATGGTGGTTGACGAGCGGGTGGCATCATCGACTGCGGCTCGATCGCGGACGCCTCTGGGAAGCGCCGCATAAATTCCTCGGTCGTTCGGAAATATGGGACTTCTTCATCGACAATTTCCTCTTCATCTTCCTCCGCGGCTGGGGGCCGTTCTGGCCGTTCACCCCTGGCCTTTTCTAACCACTTTTTCTCCTCCTCTGGCTCCAATGGGTTGTAATCGCGCAGTCTCTTCTTCTGTAAATAGAATTTTGAGCCGTTACTTGCCACGGGGACGCGCCGAATGGGCCTTCCAGCCTTTCCGTTCTGTTGATCTGATACAATTGCGGTAGTGTTTGACGTCTTCAGGGCGCCCGTACCCAAAAGATCGGCCCATGCATCCAGCCCACCCATTAACAAAATCGGAGGCCGTTGCAATGGTTTATCCTCGTTGAACTCATACAATGAGTCGTACAGACATTTCAATGTATCCTCCTGTGCAGTACGAGTATGCTTGTTGAGGAAGTCTGCCGAAGGAGTCGCTTGGTCGTAATACACTACAAGGTCGAATTCGTTGCGGCGCTCGAACATGGCCTGTTCGACATCTGGTGACAGAACCAAAGCTTCCTGCAATTGCTCGGCAGACATTTCGGGTCGTAGGGCGGTCGGTTCGATACACATAATCGAGTTAACAAAAACATGGCCATCGTCGAACTCCTCGCGATTCCGAACATCTATCAGCAGGACATTATACGGTTTCAAGTAGTCGTAGAGCTTCTCTGCACTGATTTGAAACTCTCTGGGCGCGTGAACCGACTTCCTACGGATCACTCGCGGAGGTTGGCTAGCGTGTTGTGATACAGACGGATCGGGGTCGCCATTGGAACCGGTGGTTTGCGGAGACATGCCTGAAGCAGGGAAGGAGTTTTGCCGTACCATGCTTCGTGGTGTGCTGCGCGGAGGGTTTATGCTTGCGGGGGTAGCCATATTCCTCGCTGGACTGTACGTTGGACTTGGTTCTTTCAACATTGAAGGTGGAATTTGAGTATTCAATGGCAACTTCGGCGGGTGTGCTGGGGGAGTAAAAGCCCCTGGCCGCATTTCCCGAGGTCCCAATAACTTTCCAGGTCCCGGGACCATGCCATTGAAATCCTCTGGGCTCGGCATTTGGACAGACCCCTGTCTGGATCGACTCTCGCCCGCCACGCGAAGACGCGCGAAACGCTCGCTCAGAGCATCACCTTGCGATGATAGTCCAGAAGGTGGCCCGGGAACCGGCTTTCGTTGAATATCAGATCTGGGCCGCGGCGAATCCGCCCGGAATGGCGTCGATCTGCCCGAAAGGCTGGAAGAAGCATCAATTGACATACGTGGGGAAGATCCCGAGCCATTGGTACCGTTGTCAAGGAAAAGTTCGTCCTTCATCGAGTACCGCGGGTTGGTAGGGATCGGGACCTTGGCTGGGGCGGCCGCAGACATGCTTGCAAACCTGGCATGTCCATCGCTAGACCCCTTGACTGTAACAGTCGGCTGGACACCGCTTCTCTTGTTGTCGTTTATAATTATTTCTTTGATGCTGGCAAACCTATCCGCTTTCTCCGAAAGATGCTACGAGCTGTTATCGATCCGCATCGGACGGAGGTAACCGAGAGGGCACGCAGGGCAATATTTCATACCTTTGCCATGCTTTTGTGCAAGTTGTATTGACTTGCCCTGTCCCCTTTGAAGATCGGCGCATCTTTGTGGTAAGGTACGCGATTGAAGACAATCTCCGAAGCGACCAGATATTCGATGTATGCGAAATCCGGGCGACGAAGGTCGAGGAGTGTGTCTATTTGCTTGGTGGATTGCTCGGCCATCTGGAGCAGAGGGCCAACCTGCGCTTAGTTGTCAGAGTCGTGTCCTTTGACCGGCTGTAGTGTTCGGAGGTGGCACTCACCGACGGCGGTGCTTGCTGGAGTCGGCTTTCGGCGCGGGCCTTAAGGTCTGAAATGTGTGGCATGGTTCGCGGCGGGTTGCTGGAGGCACCAGCATAGGCTCCATTTGCACTCGTGCCCGAGCCCAAGCCGCTCGATGTTGGCCTATATCCGTTCATGGCGGGCGGCGATTCGGCGCATGTGCGAAGACTTCAAGACAAGAAAGCAATCAAGAGGAGGCGAGCGTTGACATGATAGGTGGTATCGAAGAATCAGTGCGCTCCAGTCAATGCTGCAGCGCCCAGCGTCGCAGGGTCGGGCGGTCGTCGACGGTGATGTCTGGGGCAAGCGGGGCGCTCTCCGGGGTCGGCGGGGTTCGGGGCGAGGCTGAAAGTGGCGACGGTCAAGAGGAAGCGAGAGGAAGGCGTGTTGAAGGGCTGGCGGGGCGGCGGAGTGAGAGGTTACGAAGAATGGTAGGGATCGAGGGCGGTGATCAAGTCGGGCGCGTGTGTCGTGAAGCTGCTCGGAGGCGGGCTGGTGACGACTCGGGCTGGGCGCGCTGGGCAATTACGACTACTCTACGCGGCCCCATGTACCGGTGGGCAGCAACAGAAAGGCGGTGGGCTGTAGGGTCTAAGGAATCGTGTCGCGCATGAGGCGTGTACTCGTACGGCAGAGGGAGGAAAAGGTGTATGTAGTCGTATGCATGTTATGTACGAGTAGCTGCCTGCCGATGACACACGCCCGCCGCCTCTCGGCGTACCTAACCATCCGCCGCCGCATGATATGGAGCTCAGCTACCCAACGCACTTTCCCCTTCCCGCAACTGAGCCACATCCCACTCCACCCGCCTGTTCCTCTGCCATTCACGCCCGTCGTCGTACCCATCTCTCCATTCCCTCTCCCTCGCCCCCGCTCCCACCACCGGCACCATGGCGGGCTGGTTCGCATCCTCCAACTCGGCCTTGGACGAGCAGGTCGAGCGCGCCACCTCCTCCAGCTTGTAAGTCCCCCGCCGCGCATTGCCTGCCTGCCACTAACCCGAGATGCAGAGAGGACATTGCGCTCAACCTCGAGATTTCCGACATCATCAGATCCAAGACGGTCCAGCCCAAGGAAGCCATGCGTTCGCTCAAACGCCGGATAGGCAACAAGAACCCGAACGTCCAACTGGCCGCGCTTAACGTACGCCATACCCCTAGCATCCCGTATCCGGCGCGTCTGCTAACAGCATGCTTCGCAGCTCACCGACACATGCGTGAAGAATGGCGGTGACCATTTCATCACCGAGATCGCGTCCCGCGAGTTCATGGACAACCTGACGTCGCTCCTCAAAACCTACGGGCCCGCTGAGACGAATCAGGAAGTCAGGCTCAAGATACTCGAGCTGATACAAACGTGGGCCATTGCGTCCGAAGGTCGCACCCCACTGACCTACATCGTCGAGACGTACAGGACCCTACAACGGGAAGGCTTCCAGTTTCCCCCACGTCAAGAGGTCCTCAGCAGCATGTTCGACAGCAGTGCTGTAAGCCGTAAGCTCGAGCGCTTCTTCGGGATCCCGACTAACATTGAGCAGCCGCCCGAGTGGACGGACTCTGATGTCTGCCTGCGATGTCGGACACCTTTCACCTTCACCAACCGCAAGCACCACTGTCGGAATTGCGGCGGAGTCTTCTGTGGCGCATGCTCCGGGAAATCTCTTGCTCTGCCTCATCTAGGAATAATGCAACCTGTGAGGGTGGACGACGGTTGCTACGCCAAACTGACGGACAAGAGCCGGGCGATGCCAGTACCCAGAGGCTTTGACGCCGCGAAGCCTGCAAAGACATTATATCAAGGGTCGCTGGAACCGAGGAGCGCGAGGGTGGAAGACAGTTTCGATGCTGATCTCAAGAGGGCGCTGGAGATGAGCTTGGAAGAAGTCAAGGGCCAGCAGTCGGGTTCGGGATACGTTCCGCAGTCGCAAGTACAGACGAGCACGGCTGCCCCACCTGCTACGAATGGAGCGTCGGCAGCTCAGGAAGAGGAGGATGACCCGGAGTTGAAGGCGGCAATAGCTGCTTCGCTAGCAGATATGGAGGAGCAGAAGAAGAAGCACGCGGCCCAACTGAAGCAACAATCGTCATCCGCCGTTGGCGCCCCGGTTGTCGCGCCGCCCAGGAACGACTATGAATTGACCCCGGCCGAGGCGGAAAACATAAGTTTGTTCTCCACTCTCGTCGAGCGGTTACAGCACCAACCGCCTGGCACCATTCTTCGCGAACCGCAGATCCAGGAGCTGTACGAGAGCATAGGGAAGCTCAGGCCGAAGCTTGCTAGAACATACGGCGAGACGATGAGCAAGCATGGTAGGCGACAACTGGTCGGATTATGAGGAATATCTACTGACTGTTATAGACACACTTTTGGATCTGCATGCCAAGCTGTCGACTGTGGTACGCTATTACGATCGCATGCTTGAGGAGCGTCTCTCAAAGACATACGCTGGCCCTGCCGGCTATGGATTTCAACCGCCTGCGTCCAACCTCTACCCCAGCATACCGACGGGTATTCCGGAAGGTCCTTCCGGCGCCGAGAGTTTCTACACCGGCAATCCCGATCCTTATGCGCGCCCTCAATCAAATTTCAACCCATACCCTCCTCAACCGCAGTCTCCTTACATGCACCGGGCGTCTATGCCGCCGGGTGTCTTCCCACAGCAACCACCTCAGGATGCCCAATATCCGCCGCAGGCCCAGCCTCAGGGACCATATCCCAACATGCAAGGCTATGGCGTCCCACCTCAAGCTGCGCAGCAAAGGCCGCCCAGCACCGTTGCTGCCGATGGCTCCCCACAACTCCAACGCCGCGCCACGGGCCAATTCACTCCCTCGCAACCCCCGATGTCAGCAATCCCCGACGACCCGAATGCGGCATACTACTACAACCAGCCTTCAGCCGCTCCCTCAGCACCCCCAGCAGAGACGCATGCCCCACCGCCTCAACAAGCACCCGCGCAGCCGTCCGCGCCACCGCAACCCTCGAGCCCGGAGATGTACGCTCAGACACAGCCGTCTGCCCCTCAGCAGGCAAGCCAACCCCCGCCTCCGCAAGCGCAGGCACAGCTGCCACAGCCGCAGGGGCAATATTGGCCACATCAACTGCCGCCGCAGGCACAGGCGCCGCCCCCGCAGCCACAGCAGCAGCAGCAGCAGCAGCCTTACTGGCAGCAATACCAGGCACCGCCCCCACATCAGCCGATGACATACTCGGCGGACGCGTTCCCGAGCGCACCACAGCACGCGCTGCCGCCCGTGCAGCCGGCGGTGCAGCATAAGGAGGAGGCGCTGATTGAGTTGTGAGATATGAGAAGATCGGCCCGGTAGCCGCGCCATACAGTCAGTCATCCGAGACTCCTATTGGTAATAGTTCCACCAATATGAGTCGCGCCAGGTCATGAACAACAGCTTGAGACGAGTAAAGCACGAGTGTTGATTCCCGAGGTAGACGCGGTGGTGATGGTTCAAGGGCCTTGGGCGTTGGTGTTGTGGCGATGATGCCCGGGGCTGGCTGGCTTTTGGGCAATTATAGTAGAAGGGCATGTCCCTGTTTCTGGCGGGAGCCGACGGCCTTGGTCTCGAGAACAGTAATCTATCTTTTGACTACTTTTTGGATGGCTGATGGTCGTGTTTTGTGATGTTGGATGCGTGATCTCGAATTGTTCTGTTGAAATAGCTCTGTGATGACATGGCTATGGAGTTATGGTTTGCCTTTTTTCCTTGTGTGGTTTAAGGGCACGAAAGTATATCTAAGGTCTTCTTGTTTGTTTCTAGGACTTGGTTGTATAGCTCGATACTAAGTGTTCTATATATAGGGACTGCCTGCAGTATTCTTACCAGTCTCGCTGGGTGGTAAATATCTCTTAATGGTGAAGGGCGTAGTAGATAGATTAATACACGCACAACAGATCTTTTCTATCTACATACACACTATTCCGAGCATCAGCGAAGAAGGAAGAATGAATGTCGAAGCATGTAACTGTAGAGATAAACTCTCAGTAACTGGCCTGTGCGGTGCGGGACCGGCGATCGGGAGTCGGGACTCAGGGTCTGCGAAGCCGCGGCGCCGACTGACTCGAGCAAAAATAATATTGGCGCAGTCGGAGACGTCAGCTTAGATAGGTACTCGTAGCTCTCTCTCACTCGCACTCGCACTCTCACGGCGCGCGCGCTATAAGTACTTCTGCCGACCTGACCTCTATCTCCTAGCGCGTAAGCTACGTGCCCCAACCTCTGACATAACACCTGCTAACGAACCCTCGCAGCTAACCCACCACAACACCACGCACCACACAACCCACCACAGCACAATGGCCACCACCCCCGCGCCCCCACCAGCAGCAGCAGCAGCAGCAACAACAACAACAACAACAACAGAAGCATCAACCGGGCCCTCCCTCCTGCACACGACCCTCACAACCCCTACCCCCACCGGCACACCCGCCACGCACACGCCCTTCCACATCGCCCTCACGCAAACGACGCACCACAACCTGCAGCACCAGCACCACTGGACGGCGCTAACGACACACACGCACTCGCCACTAACAGGGCAGGCGCTTCCCAGGCCCATGCTCTCGGGTCTTCCGCCTCGACGCCTCTACACCCACCCCGACGAGCAGGTGGCGCTGCTGAAGGCGGGGGTGGCCGAGCCCGCGCCGCAGCGGGAGTGGGTGCTGCCGACGCAGTTGAGGGAGGCGTGGACGCTGGGGAGGATGGCGGACGTGTTTGCGGGGGTGTGCGTCGTGCCGGAGCCGATAGGCGCAGGCATAGGCAAGGAGGGGGAAGGGAAAGAGTGGGAATGGAAGGATGCAGAGGAAGAGGAGCACGAGCGCAAGTGGCGCACTGCGAAACGCGTGCTGCTGGCTGTCGTCGAGGACGATAGCACCGTCGTCTACTACCTGGTGCATGACGGGCTGGTGAAGCCGCGGCAGAACTGAGTGTCTGTGTGCGTGGGTGGGTGTGTGTGTGTGTGAATGGGGAGGCTAGGTGCTCTACTGGCTGGGGATACCTACGCCATGACGACGACGACTACCTACATGGAACAAACGCCGCAGCGCAGCGCAGCGCAGCGCTAGCAAAACAAACCAAAGCAAACAAAACACGGCACCGCCAAACAAAGAAAGATCCAGACAACCCGAGAAACAATGGAAGAAAACGCAACGCCAAACGGGCCCAGAGCCGCTCGTGCCTACCTCGAGGGAGGATGGGAATACCGACCCGCCTAGATAGATGGGATGTGGTGGGGTAGACGGCAAATGCAGATGCGCACCTAGTAGCAGCAGCATCAATCAGTCAATCAAGCCGATAGGCAGGCAGGAGGGACAAGCCCTGTATTGCGTTGCATTGTATCGTACGCAAGCAAGCACGGGCCTCCGCAATAGCTATGTAGCTAGCACTTCTACGCATGTATGTATGTACTGTGCAGGACCCGCACCAATTAGGCGCAAGCAGCCTCTCTGCCCAAACCAGAACCAAAAAATCAAAAACCTCCCATGCGCTTAAGAATGGAAAGGAAGCCTCTAAACGCCACGCCATGCAACCAAGCACCGCCTCCCAGCGTCTTACCCACCCACCCCACCAGCACCTAAATACCCAGGACGTACTTCCCCCTCTCATAAACATAAAAGCTCGTCGCAGCCAACGGAATCACCTTGACATAGCCAATCGCCAACCCGACAAAAAAGCCTCTCCAACCCCGCTCTAGCCAGATCCGCGACGCCACCTCCAGCATCCCCAGCCTGTGCCCGTCGCCCACCACCCCGCCGACCTGCATCCGGCGGCGCACGACTTCGAGCGGGTACGAGACGGTCTGGGACACGAAGCCGGCGAGGCCGCCGGCGCTGAGCTCGGCCCAGTATTTTAGGGGAGCGGGCTTGTGCGTGGAGGCATGGGAGGTGGTGTTGTGGGGGTTGGTTGGGGAGGGAATGGTCGTGTATGCCGCGATGCGCGGATGCCGCAGGAGGTCCGAGAGGCTGTCGTGCGTGAGGAACGAGGACCCCGCGTACGGCAGCATGCCCCACAGCGTGGGCGTGAAGCCGCGGAAGAAGTTGGCGAGGCCGGCGCGCGGGGTTATGGTGTGGACGGTCGCAGCGGCCGAAGCCAGGGGCTTGCCGACGGCGGAAGCGGAGGCCGAGGCTGCTGCGGGCGGCGGCGGGCGCTCGTTGTAGATTTTGCGGCAGATGGACGACAGCGTCGAGCGCGCGGCGCCGGACTCTTGCGTCTCGAACGCGAGGCGCACGCGGATCACCTCGAGCGGGTAGGTGCAGAAGACCGAGACGGTGCCGGCGAGGGAGCCGCTGACGAAGCGGCGGACGGGGGTTTCCTGGGCGGGCGAGTGGATGATGCGCGCCCGGATCTGCTCGTAGGCTAGGAACTTGATGCCCGCGTACGGGAAGATGCGCAGCAGTGTTGCCGAGTGCCCCTTGAAGAGGCCGCGCATGCCGTTGTGGCTGTAGATGTCGCGCATGGCGTGCGTCAGCCCGAACCACGACCCGGTGTATTTGGCGAACTGCGGGTTTGAGGCTTGGAAGAGGATCTTGACGCGGTCGAGGGGCCCGACGACGGTTTTGGCCTGGTTGTCCGTGGGCACGATTAGCTGTTTGTTATACAGTGACGGGCTCTTGGCTCACGTACCGCGCATCCTGCTACGCCCCCCGCTACGCCGCTCTTGACTATGTACTCCCAGCTCTGCTTGTCCGTCTTGGAGACGCTGGCGGCAGGCTTGGGCGTGATGGCGTCGTCGTCGGTCGGGCAGATGGCAGGGCCGCGGCCGGTGCGCGGGGCGAGGTCGGCGAGGCGTGTCATCGCGGCGTGATCGTGGTGGTGGTGGTGGGGTTGAAAGACGGGGTTCGACAAGGCATGGCCGCCCGGGATGCTCTCTGGCATCCCACTATGGTTGAAAGGCAACGAGAGCCTATCTGCGCATACGATATCCGAGTTGCGGGGCGGGGTTGTAAGCGTCTACGCGGGACCCTGGGGTTTGCGGGAGGAGCGGGTAGGAGTAATGGCGATTGTCTGGAGCGTCATAGGCTCTCTCTTTGCCTTGGACTTGTTCCGAGGTTCTTTCGGCTGACGAGTGCGGTAGGCCGGTACGTGGGCGGTAAGGCGCTTGTTCGCGGGGGACTGCGGCGGGTGAGCGGCGGAACCCCGGCCTCGAACGATATCAGAGCAAAAAAAATAAAAGCAAAACTCTAGTCACCAAAACAAGAATCGAACCTACGGTTCGTTCCGTTTGTGGTTCCAAAGATTGCGAAATGGCGTGTAGTGGCAGTTGTACGGTCACTTCTGGTAAAAGGCAAGAAATGAGTTCTTTACAACTTACCACGCCAGTTGTTGTTCTCGTGGTTTGGTTTTATATACCCTACCAACTCCATACCCTCTACCCACCGCCCTCCTTCTGCACTCCTTTCTTCACCTCCTTGCGACTCGAAATCAGGTCCCGGTTGTTTCCGCTCTTGGACGCCACCCGCCGCAGTCGAGAATCCGGCACCCCCCAAACATCAAATAAGAGGCCTCTCATTGGCGCGGGTATCGGGTAAAGCGCGGGCGATGACGCTCGGTTTAATGGATTACATAGCCAACCCTCACAATCAAAGCCGGCGCAAACCCCAACTCAGCAACTCATCAACCACGACCTCGCCATCCCGTCATTAATACCATCCCTCCCACCCACACACCCACACCTGGATCCCATGTCCAGCAGCACACGTACTGCGCGCGCGCTCGCAACATCCCTCTCCTCGACCACCACCTCCTCCGCAGCCATGTTCCGCTTCGCCACCCCCGCCGCCCGCAGCACCTGCTCGCAGTGCCTGCGCCTGCGCGCCCCATACTCGTCGTCCGCGCTGCGTCCGGCCCGCCAGCTCCGCTCCCTGCAGACCGCAACGGCGTACCAGCCATCGCAGTTCCAGCCGCCGCCGCCGTCGCCGCCCCGCAACGCCGGGGTGCCAGAGACGTCGGTTGCGGGCGGGCAGGCGCAGCAGCAGCAACAACAACAAGCCGAGCTGCAGAGCTTCCGCTCCGGACCAGCCGAAAAGAAAATGATGAGAGAAGCCGACGTGTCTGCCGCCGAGAACCCCACCGTTAGCGTCTCCGAGGCCGAGGCCCAGAAGCCCCAACCCGCATTCGCAGCTAGTGCAGCATCGCCAGCGCCGTCGCCCCGGCCGCGGCGGCAGCTCCGGCCTAAGAAGGCAGCGATGACGCTGACGCCGTCGGCGGTGTCGGCGCTGCGCGAGCTGCTCGACTCGCCGGACCCGAAGCTCATCCGCGTGGGCACCAAGAGCAAGGGCTGCTCGGGCCTGGCGTACCACCTGGAATACGTGGACAAGGCGGGCAAGTTCGACGACGCGGTCGAGCAGGACGGGGTCAAGGTCCTGATTGACTCGAAGGCTTTGCTGCATATTCTCGGCAGCGAGATGGACTGGGTCGAGGACAAGCTGAGCCGCCGCTTCGTCTTTAAAAACCCTAACATCAGTACGTTTTCCCCATAACAACATTTTCTTTTGGCGAAATTTTTGACTAACGCTATTCTCCCAAAAGCCGAATCCTGCGGCTGCGGCGAGTCCTTCAGCATCAGCTAAACCCCCTCTCCGCGCACCTTACTTAATGCTCATGTAAATTCCTCGGTTTAATTCGGTTCGGTTCGGTTTTATGGCGTAGCATAGGAAGGCGTAGCATGGCAAGGCGTTTCAACAGCAACAGCGACAGCAGCAGCGACAGCAGCGTCAACAACGTCAGCAGCAGCCACAAACGACCAAAATGGCACGTACGCACGCACGCACGCATAGCAGGAACCTGTCTGTCTGTCTGTCTGTCTGTCTGTCTGTAAGCAAGGCACAGAGTGGCGTCATCAACGGAGTCGGAGTACCCTACCCAACGCGTCTAAGCTTCTTTTCTGTCCTGTCCTTTTCGATCAAATATCAGAGTTTCTGAGTTTTCTGCCCTTGCTCCTGCTCCTAGAGAGAGACGAGACGAGAGAGAGTTTACCTTTTTACCTTTTTACGTTTACCTTTTTTGCGTTTACTTTTGCATTTTTCACGACGTCCGGGACCGGCAAAGAATGCCCCCGCTTCCGGCGTTTATTGTTTAGGAAGATTGATGTGGAGATGCGTTCTTGAGTGCAGAGGCACGATGCAAGCGGCTGCTGCAACCGACGCTTGCCTGCTGCTTGAGAGAATCTCCAGAAGCTTGATGGGGTTAGGGCGGGGGGCTTTGCGCCGCGCCGCGCCGTGCCGCGAGTGCTGGGGTGTTTGGGTGGTGTGCTGCGGTACGGCACGGCACGGCGCGGCGCGACACGGCATGGACGGACGGGCGTGCGTGCGTGGCTGAATACATACATACGCACTCACTCACGCTCCGGGCACGCAAGTTCGTCGTACGTCGTCCTGCCTGTCCGCCTGCTAGCTAGCCACCTACGCACCCAGCTAGCTAGATAGTGCAGCCAGCTTATCGACTCCGTGGCCGGGGAGTAAGTTGTTGTTTGGACAATTGGGCAATTGCACAGTTTGACAGTTGGATAGTCGGCTGTATAGATGGGTGGATGAATTGGTGGATATGTGCGTGCGTATATGGCAGACAGATGGATCATGGAGGAAGAGCGAAGGGGGGAGGATGAAGGAAGGTGTGTGTGTGGTGTACAGCTAGTATGTATGCACAGTATAAAGTGATGAGCGGACAAATTATTACCTACCTACGTGCCTACCTGCCCAATTAGGAGTACTCGCGTCTTGCTTGCTTGCTCGTGAGTGAATGGTTAACAGATAAGGTCTACTCGTCGTCTGTATATATAAAATATAATATATATGCACGTATATACATTCCCTCTCAGCAAAAAGTGAACCCACTAACTAATCAATTAATTAACCAATGCAACACGGCACAGTCCAGCGTAATCACCTAATTAGGTAGGTTAGTAAACTACACCACACACATACACACACACACACACACACACACACACACACACACAAAAAGAGAGGCAGAGAGGCAGAGAAACAGAGCTAGAAACAACCCAACACTCAGAAAATGTCCTTATGTATACTTACAAGCCCGCGCCCGTGCCCGTGCCCGTGCCCAATCCAGTCCAGTCCGTCCCATCCCATACAATCATCACTCGTTTGTCCGACGTCCACTGCTTACGTATCCATCCACCCATCCTGCCTTCAAGCCCCCGTAACCCAACATACGCAAGCCAACCAAGCCAACCAAAGCCAGCCCCTGCCTCTACGTCTACCTACCCAACCATGCCAACGTTCCTCCTACTCACCAACAATCCCCTCCTAGTCCTCGGAATCGTATTCCTCGTCCGCATAAGGCACGGGGTAGCGACGACCACGCAAATCGCGCTCGAGGCCGCCTTCGGCTTCGTTGTCGATGTAGCCTGTGCAGTACAAGACGCGTCAGTCAGGTCCTTTCTCAATACGAGGAAAAAAAAAAAGGAAATATAAAGCACAAAAACAAGAACAGAGACAGGGAGACCAACCTTTCCCACCAAACACGCTCAGCGCCACCGGCAAAAACACCAACGCATGCAGTGCCGCCCAAACCACCAAAGCCAACCACACCCTAAAATAATAGACCTCGAAGATGCGGCTACGGGTCCAAGCCAGCACGGCAACACCCAAGAACTTAGTGACCGTAATACCGCTAAACACGCTGGCACCAACATTCGCGAGCGCGGTCCACGCGCGCGCATCCTTAGCACGGAGTTTGGCGCGGGGCGCGCGCTCCAGCAGCGCCTGCGAGGGGTACGTGAAGGCGCGCGCAATATGTGCGCAGAACTCGACGCTGATGCCGACACAGATGACGATGTTGACGAGGGAGACGGCGTTGAGCGAGACGCCGGCGAGCGCCATGGTGCCGACGATGTCGATGACGGTCATGGTCACGGTGGCCGTGACGACGAGGCCGGTGCGCAGCGAGCCCAGCAGCACGGACGTCAGCACGAAGATGATGGCGATGGCTGAGCCCACCAGCGTCGTTGTGAGCTTCACAATGGTGGCGTATTGGTCGAAGAAGATGTAGAACTTGCTGTATGGGAAGACGTCGATGCCCGTGCGAGCGTGGATGTCGTTCGCAATGCGCCGCGCCGACGCGTACGCTGAGATGAAGTCCTCCTGGCTGCGCAGCGGTGTGTGGCTGGTTCGGAAGTGCGACGCCGGTATCGTGAGGCTCGTGTTGTCGATGACCAGCGCGTTGCCGTATGCCGCTTGTCCCGCGAGAGGGCATTCGGCGCTCGTCGGCGCCTCGATCCAGCGTTGCAGGTAGTGGAGGAACTCTTCGCCCTCGGGCATGCCCTTGAGCGTGGGGTTCCAGGCCGGGCTGCGGTCCGCGAAGCAGGCGTGCTCGTTGCCGAAGCCGCCGTCCACGCAGCATTCATCTAGCGATGGGTTGAGCCAGAGGAAGTAGTCGTCAATCCAGCTAGCAGTGGCGTCAGCGATCCAAGACGTCTCTGGCCGCTTCCTCTCCTGTTCAAGAGTGTTGGACAGTGAGAGTTCTTGACAAGTTGAAAAGCGACCACAGAGCTCCTGCTGGTGCTGACGCTCAGTGACGTTGAGCTCACGAGTAACAAAATAAACCGGCGGGCCAACGCCAATGTAGTCGTAGAGATCATCGAAATACGCAATCAAGTAGGAATCGCTAGGGATGGCAATACGCTGGTCAAGTCCCAATTCAATGGTAGGGAGCAATGCCAAACCGGCCGTGAGGAAGCCAAGGAAGACGGTGATGATGGCGGCCTTGGCCTTATTGCCGAGTAAAGCCGGAGCATATGTCTTGCGGATGAACCTCTGGAGTGGGCCCTCTTCTTCAGAGCCGTAGACGACACCGCCATTGACGATGACCGGGTCGGCACGCTTGACACGGACGCAAGGGAAGCAATCCGCGCGGCTGGCCTCGACCCTGCGCTGGTTGAGCGCGAGAACCGCGACAAACATGGTGACCTGCAAAAGCGCGTTGATAAAAACGGCACCGGCAGCGTATGCGGCAAAGTTGCGCACTGCAGGCATGCTAACGGCCGCACCAAGGGCAAAAGCGGCAGTCTCCGTGGTAGCTGAGAGGAGAATACTAGGTCCCATCCGCCCCAAAGCACGCGCAACCCTCTCCGAGACAGAGCCTTCTGCATGGCTAATGTTGACGCGTTCAAACTCGTGAACAATCAGGAAGATGTTGTCCACACCAACGGCAAGGACGAGGAAGGGGATGACCTCAGCAATAATCAAGGTAACCTTGATACCGGCAGCCGAGAACAATCCAACAGATGCAGAAACAGACATCAGCACGATGACAATGCCAACCACGCCAAGCAAAAACTTGGACTGCACAAGTGCGTTTGCCGGGTTGTGTAGAATGGATCTGACGGTCAAGGTCGTGGATCCCAGTGCCAACGAAGCATATAGGAACATGATGAGGTAGCTGACCACGACAATCTTGGCATCGGTATTGGTGGACTTGTTCAGCTCCTGCTCCAAGCTGATCTCGGTATTGAAGGACAGACGCAAGCCACGATCGGTTGCCTCGCCCTGAACCGCCTGAAGGAGGCTCTTCAGGCTGTCTTCCCAGGCCATGGCCCTATCAAGCTTCTTCGTGCCCTCGGCATGATTGCTCACGACCCAGGTGACCACCAGGGCCTTTGCATCGATCACGTCTTTTTCCCAGCCACCCAGCAACAACTTGGGGTTCAGCGGCTGCTGGAACTCAGGTAAGCAGTCTACGGGAGACTCGGCGCAGGCACGCAGGTCGTTCTTCCAGGTTTTCGGGTCCACATTGAAGAAGTCTCCGCCGAAGTAGCCAGTGACAGACTGGACAACGCAAGCATCACCAGTGGGCTTGAAGCAAACATCGTCGAAAGTCATGCCGTGCTTCATCAAGCGCTTGACGCGGCTCTCAACATCGAACCACCATCCAAGAGTCTCGTAGCTAAGGACAGGGCCAGGGCCGGAGGGGTTTGTATCATTAACCAAAAAGGCTTGTTCCGTGCGGTAAAAGGGTCCGAAGTTGTCATCAAAAAAGGCCTTCTCTTCCGCTGCAGCAGAGTTGGGCGCAACCCACAGCCGGACCGGGTCCGTCTCAACCGAGAACCTAATCCAGCCCAAGCTCAGAAGACCTACGACGATGACACTTAGAACAATGGTGATGGCCGGATATTGTGCGCACGTATAGCCCAGCCGACTGAAAATCTTGTCGCACCAGGAGTTCAAGCGATAGCGCCTCGTGGGAATTTCCAGAATACCGCCTGCAAATACAACATCGCCTTCATCCTCATCATCACTTGGCTCCAGGTCCTGAAGCAGCCGCAAGCGCTCCTGCTTGCGCTGGCTGTGCTGCTGATAAGCGACATGACCGGATACGAAAAGGATGATGAGCAGTATGAAAGAAGAGTAAACGATGATGACGGCGAATGATAGACACGGAAGCAAGCCGACATGGCATTGAGAGTTTTCTTTCACCTGTGGGAGCTCCGGACAAACTGAGGGGCAATCCACGCATGCGCAACGGTAGGCCTCGTTGGTATCATTGCAGAACCTAACGGTCTTGTCCATCGGTTCCATGTCGGGAAACGAATCGGAGCTCGGGCGAGGGAAGTTCATCTGGAATGGGCTTCCCAAGAACTTCTTGTCTCCAAGGAACTTGAGAAACCGCGTGTAGTTCTTCGCACCGCCACCGATGAGGTCCATTGCGTTTCCGTTGGTCGCACCAACCTTGACATCCTTGCAGCTGTCGTAGAATCCGGATCCATACTTGTCCGAAACGAGGTGGTCCAGTTCGGTCACGAGCAATTTACCGCCTTTCGGCGTCGTCTCGGTGACGTTAACGAATAGAGATTGGTCTGGCGAGCAAGTAAAAGTGCAGAACATGTTAAAGAAGTTCTCCTTGCACGCCGGGCATGACGAAATGAGGGACTCGGCGCGCTTGAGATTAGACTGCAGCGTATCGAGCTGTATAGTGCGTCAGACCTGCGCCGTGCACGTTCAACGTATGAGCCCTACCTGTTCCCCGGTGCAGCAGACATCAGTGTCGGCCCATGATTCACCGCAAATGCTAACCAACTTCTTTCGCACTTCGGCCTCAGGCGTCTCAGCCAGGCCGTTGTCCGGGCAGGGAAGCTGGGGGCCAAAGAAGCCTTGGCTGCCGCAGTGTCCTCGGATGGCGCACCGTCCCTTCTCATGCTTCTGGTTCAAGCCATCGTCTTTTCCAAGCGCGACCGCAGTCAGGAGCGCGAGCAGCAGCGCGGCAATGAGCTGCCACCCGCCCCGACTGCTTCTCATGCCTATTGGTGGCCTGGTGAGGTGGCGGAGGGAGGCGAGATGAGTCGTCGACGTCGATCAGCGATAGTAGGATCCGGTCAGAAGGTGCGCGACGGCGATATAGGGCGTTTGGGTGGTAACAGACGACGGGTTGTGGATATAAGGAGAGTTGCTGTGGCGGTGTTGTCGGTTGGGAAGCGTGACATGGAAGCTGTCGCAGGTACACGCTCGGGCGCCAAGGACGCATGCGGTCATTAGACAGCGATTGTTCAAGCCTCAGGCGCGCATGGCCCGTGCCGGCCCCCGCAAACTCAACCCCACAAGGAACCGACGCCGACCAGCCATCCGGTTGCCGGCGGGCATCCTTCAAGGGGACATGATGTCACATGTGGCCGCTCCGGTCAAAGGACTCGACATTAGATAGCACGACTTTTTTTTCTCCTTACTACTTCCGCTAGAGTACAGGGGAATATTCTCCTTCTCTCTCCTCCCGGAATACACAATCGCTGATCGCCGCTCGCTTTCCCCTCCCTCCTCTACAGCTCAACCGTGGGGATTACCGACATCTTCGGCGGAAAGAAAATAAAAAAGCCATAGAAAGCTCGAAGCAGACGGCCTGATCCAACCGGAAAAGACCATTCGCCGTACTCGTATCTCGCTACGTCGAAAAAAGCAAGCAAACGCATCCTCTTCATAGCCACGTCAGGAAAAGCTGGATATGGATGAAACAAAGACAGACAACGGACTCAAGGAATCCTCCGGTGAGAACCTGGGCGAGTTCTCCTTGGTGCTTTGCTTCGTCTAAGAATCACCGCCGGCGGGAGCGGGGCTGGCTCCGTCCTTGAAACCACCTCTGCCGCGACCACGGCCCCTCTCACCACCTCTGCCGCCACGGCCTCCGCGGTAACCTCCACGGCCACCGCGTCCTCCTTCGCTGTCGCTGGCGCCACCGCTGCGGTAACCGCTGCCTTGTCCACCGCCGCGGCGACTGCCCCACTCCAGTTGCGTGCGGGGCTTGAACGGCCTGACGAAGGGCTTTCCAGGCTTGCCGCTAGTGACGTCGGGATCCATCTTGTTCAGGATCTCCTGCAGGTCCTCGGAGGGGTCGAAGTGGGCAGTCATGCCAGCGGCCGGAGCGCCCTTGCCCTTGTCGATGCGCTGGATCTTTGCCTTGACTTCCTCGGGGAACAAGGCCCTTGCGTCGTCCTCTGACTGCGCATTAGTGATGAACAAACCATGGATGGGCGGCCTGGCGTTGGAGGATTCGGTCTTCGGGGCAGCGTCAGCAGGCTTCTCCTGGGTGGTCGTGCCATTGGGCTTTGCCTCGCTTGGAGCCGCGTTAGACGTAGAAGGAGTTGGAGCCGCGTTGCTGGGAGTCGAAGCAGGCTTGGGCGTAGCTGGCTTGATTGGAACCTGAGGAGTGACCGGAGCGGGGGTGGCAGGCTTTTGCTGGGTCTGGGCAGGGGTGGGGGCCTGGCCAGCAGGGCGGGCCTGCTGAGCTTGAGCGCCAGCGGGAGGTTGAACAGGAGCCGCTCCTGCAGGGCCGGCGGGAGCGGCCTGGCCCTGTTGAGGCGGGGGTGCCTTTCCGCCACGGTGCGCAAAGTTGAAGCCTTGAGCACGCATCTCCGTACCGATTCTGCCTTGGTCAATGTCTAGAACAAGCCATCCGTAAGCAGCGTCAGCCAGGTTGAAGTTCCACATGTTCTTGAAGGCGCTCTCATCGATCTGGCCGGTCGCCGGACCAACGTGACCACCGAAGGGATTGCCGCCGTTAGCGATGGTCGGCATCTTCTCCACAATGTCCAGAGCCAGCTTCAAAAGCATCTGTTGGCTAGTGTTCTCTGAAACAGCAGGCTCCACCTCGCTCCTGACGGTCTCCCAAACATCGTTGAAGGATGCCCGAGACGCCGCAAGCTTGCCGCGGTAGTGGTCCAACGTGGGGTTGACGCTGAACTCATTGTAGGAGCTGCCATACCGGAAATGCAAACCGGCAGAGATGGAGAAGTCGGCCTTGAGAGTAACCGACAGCTGGTTCAGCAGACCTTCACGCGCTGGCGAAGCGTGGGTGACGAAGATACGAGTCTCGGTAGGATCATAGACACGGTTCGCCGTATCCACTAACTCGCCCATCTGCAAGAGCGTCGTCCACATTGTACCCTGACCACCGGCAATGGTAGTCCTGCCCTCGCCGTTGTCGAATAGCTTGTGCATCACGACCGCACCACCTAGACCAAGCAGGCGAAGCTTGATGCCACCAGCTTCAACCAGACGCGAGTGTGCCTCATCAATGATGTGGAGGTTGTTGATCTTGTACTCGCCGGAACGAAGCTTCTCCAAAACCTGAACATCCTCGCATGCTCCCCAGACGGTGTAAACCGGGACCTCGAGAGAATAGGTGCCGTTGAGGAAGTCAGGAAGCTCCGAGAGCTTCAGGCCTTCGCGTACGTAGCGTTCCCTCAAAGGCGGTTGCGGAGGCGCTTGTGCGATTGAGTTCTTGACGGCGGGAGCGAGGAGGGGAGAGTACTGCGCAACATGGCGGAGGGTTCTGATGAAAAGTCAGAATCAAACAAGAACGCGTGACCGGTCAATGGAGCTCCATACTTCTCGGCGATACGGTCGAGGGAACGGTCATCGTAGAAACCAAAGTCGCCAGTGTGAATGATCGCGTCCGCCCTCGCTTGCTTCGCCAGATCGTTCAACGACCTCAGGTTACCTGCGATAGTCAGTCTCGTCGCGTCACGTCGGGCCGATGACGATTGAGCGCAGCCATACCTCTCACATCAGCAATGCAGAGAATCCTCGAGTTCGCGTTCTGAATGACGCGACCCTGGTTGGGGAGAAGCGGTTGGGCGCCGGGCACCGGACCGGGAGCTGGGCCACCGTTCGCCATGTAGGGAGAGTTGTAAGGACGTTGCTGCGTAGGTGCTTGCTGCTGGTGGCAATTAGCAAGTGAACGAGAGGTGACGGGCGGTATGGAGTGCAAGGCGGTTTGTGGACATACGGTAGCCATAGAAGACGGGCACGGTGTCAGGTGCGGCGAAAGTGAGGTGTCTCGGGGGTGAAGTGGTTCGTCAGACGCGTAGCGGAGCGAGAAGCAGACAGGCCCCGGGTATTTTGGGCGCAAAGTCTGGTATTAAAGGGTAGAGGAGAAGGGCGAGATCCGCGAAGATGGCGGGACTGCGGTAGGTGGGCGGAGGGGGCTGAAGTTCGCTGTAAACTGACAGCTCTACCTTCGCAGAGGAAAGAGGTTCGTCCCAGCGCAGCTAAGCTAGATTCGGACTAGCGCTTGTTGCTGGGCTACTGGGTTGCTGGCTACTCCGCTGCTGTTGAGCTTGCTGTGCGCGTTCGACGTGCGATTGCTCGCCTTTAATGCGATCCCGTTTGTGCGTCTGCTCACTTGAGGTAGGCGGCATGTCGACTCGCAAACGCGCCCCGTCGCCCTCTGCGCCCAGCCCTCAGATATTCGTTGTTCGTATCTCGACGCAACGACGCTTATGATGTCAACACAACAATGCTTCCCCTCCATGATCTTCGTTGCCGGCTAAAACGCGACGCACGTTGCTAGATTAAGATTGCTTATATACACATCACATCAGATAGACTCGATAGCTTCTCTGGTCTTCATAACGTCCGTCAGCGTCAAGCGAGATTCATCACCTCGCGAGACGATGATTCTTGTACGGAGTAGAAACGAAATCCGGTTAAGATTTCGTAGTATGTGTGCTCTAAGATCATTTCACTCATATCCAGAACCCAGGCTCGTAGCTAGACAACGAGCCTTCCATGGGGACTGCTTGTATGTTTCTCTATCTCTCTAGAAACTGAATTTCGCCTGACGGTTACGACCACCCAGAGATCATGGTCCCGTGCACCAAAGTAGCAATGTACCCCATGTTCAGCTCTAGAAATACTGTTTCCGTTCAGCTCCGCAGACTTGTACACCCATCTCACTCCATTGCGTACCGGCAGCTAGACGTAAGCTTCTTGCCTTGTGCCCGAACAATTGGGACATGCATGCGTAGAATGGCAATGTTTGCATACTAGGGCTACATGCCCGGAAATATGACCTGTCAAGAAAGAGCCGTTGGCATCATCTGGCGGCCTCACTGCGTGCAAGGCAAGGACAGGGTGTCTTTGTCGGCGCCGGCAGCTCACGATATTCCAGAGCAGATTCTGGAAATGTGTCTTCGTGCCGACGAATTGGGCATGTTGGAGAATACGTTTTAATGATAGCCTGGGTAGGACCCTGGACAGAGCGGCACAGCCCGCATGCGATCAGAGATGGCCTGGTGGCGCTCCGAGCGAGATTGCCGAAAAGGTATCCACACGCGGCGAGTTGAGATGCATAATGAGGTGCTTGGACAAACGCAGTAATCAGTCCCTGTCGAGATGATGGAGACGCATGCGCAACACCCTGTAGACCTCGGGGAGGACGAGATTGTGCGTGCCGTCGCGGCCAGCCGTGGGCAATCGGCACCCGACGTCCGCTGTAGCTTTCCGTCGTTTAGTGTTGGTCTTCAAGACCCTTCGCGTGGCTGACCTTCGACATCCCTGTCAGCAATTTTTTGGCGCGGCAGAATTCTACCGCCAACACACCCCGCGTATTTTTCTGCCTTCGAGCGCCTTCTCTCTTCTTCACTTTTTACTTTTGATACCCCCTTCCCTACAGCTTGTCTGGTCCTTTCATACGCGCAAAATGGACCAGCAACAGTTTGTCGGGCTCCTTGAGAGCCTCATGCTGCGTAAGTCTACAATCCGCTTGCCCAAAGTCCCTTCCGCCGCCTAACCGTATCGCAGCCGACACCGAGCGTGTCAAGGCCGCGACTGCGTCCTTGAACAAGGACTACTATACCTCTCCCGAATCCCTCGTCGCCCTCCTCCAGATCCTCACCTCTCACCAGTCGCCGCAGCTGCGCCAGCTTGCGGCCGTTGAGTCCAGGAAGCTTGTCAACAAGCACTGGGCATCCCTGCCCGCCGATCAGAAGCCTCAGATGCGCAACGCTCTGTTGGAGGCGACCATGCGGGAAGAGGGCACTCTAGTCCGCCACTCCTCCGCTCGCGTCATTGCGGCCATTGCCAAGCTCGACCTGGAGGAGGGACAGTGGGCGGATCTGCCCGCGACGCTGCAGCAGGCTGCCGTTAGCGGCGAGGCGAGGCACCGCGAGGTCTCTGTTTTCATGATCTTCACCCTCATTGAGACCATGGGCGAGATGTTCTCTGAGAACCTGAACGAGCTTTTTGTCCTGTTTGGCCAGACCATTCAGGACCCGGACAGCATTGAGGTCAGAGTCAACACCATGCTTGCCCTCAGCCGTGTCGCTATGCTTCTGGACCCCGACGAGGATGCTCAGGCCCTGAACGCCTTCCATGCTATTCTGCCGAACATGGTTCAGGTTCTCCAGGCGACTATCGATGCTGGGGACGAAGACCGCGCGATGCAGGCATTCGAGGTTTTCCAGACTCTGCTTGGATGTGAATCCGCCCTTCTGAACAAGCACTTTGGTGACCTCATCAACTTCATGAACGGCTTGGGCGCAAACAAGAACCTGGACGACGACATCAGGTCCCAGGCCATTGCGTTCCTCATGCAGTGCGTGCGCTACCGCAAGCTCAAGATCCAGGGTCTGAGGCTCGGTGAGAAGCTTACTCTCTCTTCCCTTGAGATCGTTACGGAGCTCGGTGACTTGTCCAGCGATGACGAGGAGGTCACTCCTGCCAGGTCTGCTCTCGGCCTGCTCGACATCCTTGCCCAGAGCCTGCCTCCCAGCCAAGTCATTGTTCCCCTTCTTCAGGCCATGGGACCTTACGTCAACAGCCCGGACCCAGACCGCAGGCGGGCTGGTATCCTTTCCCTCGGCATGACCGTTGAGGGTGCCCCCGACTTCATTGCTACTCAGCTGGGTGACATTCTTCCTCTAGTCTTGCACCTTCTCGAGGACCAGGACGTCAAGGTCCGCGCCGCCGCTCTCAACGGTGTCGCTAGGCTCGCTGATGACCTGGCGGAGGAGCTGGGCAAGGAGCACGCCAAGATCATCCCAGCCTTGGTCAAGAACCTCGACCTGGCAACCGAGCAACAGGGCGAGAACGCTCAGCGTGCCTTGGAAGTCCTTCGTGGTAGCTGCAATGCCATTGACTCTCTCATTGAGGGTCTCGAGGAGGAGGAGGCCGCCAAGTACCTTGACGAGCTTGTTCCCCGTTTCGCCAGGCTGTTCAACCACTCCGATTTCAAGACTCAGATCGCTTCCGCGGGCGCCGTTGGTTCTCTTGCTGCGGCTGCTGGTGAGGCCTTCCAACGTTATTTCCAAGACACGATGCAGGCACTTTCTCCCTTCGTTGAGCTCAAGAACAGCCAAGACGAGCTTGACCTGCGCGGTGTGGTCTGCGACTCCATGGGCAAGATTGCCGGTGCCGTTGGTGCTGAGCTATTCCGGCCTTTCCTTCCCAAGCTCATGATGGCTTCCGAGGAGGCTCTCCACCTTGACCACCCGCGTCTGCGGGAGACTTCTTACATCTTGTGGAGCACTATGGCCAAGGTCTACGAGGAGGGCTTCGCTTCCTACCTTGATGGCGTTGTCAAGGGTCTTTACGAGTGTCTGGAACAAGACGAGGCTGACCTTGAGGTTGGACTTGGCCAGGAAGCCAAGGATCTCATTGGCCAGGAAGTCACTGTCGGTGGCAAGAAGGTGCGCGTTGCCGACGCTGATGATGATGACGACAATGTTGTCGGAGAGGACGATGAGGATGATGATGACTGGGACGACTTCGGTGCCGTTACCGCCGTTGCGATGGAGAAGGAGATTGCTGTCGAGGTCGTCGGCGACGTCATCATCTCCACTCGCAACAACTACCTTCCTCATCTCCCCAAGACGATTGAGATTGTCCTCAAGTTAGTTAACCACTCTTACGAGGGCGTCCGTAAGTCTGCCATTGGCACTCTCTGGCGCGCCTACACTTGCCTCTGGGGTATGGCCGAGGGCAGCGGTATGTCCAAGTGGGTTCCCGGTATTCCTCTCCAGGTTCAGCCTACCGAGGATCTTATCAAGCTTGGTCAGCTGGCCATGACTGCTACCCTCGAGGTCCTCGAGGACGAGATGGACCGGTAAGTTCTTTAATTCCTCTGTTGCATGCTGTTTTGAAAGGATGAACATTATTCGTTATTACCCAGCTCACTTTGACGCACAAATGTGCGGTTGAAAAGGACGCGATTCTGTCTCTGATCATAGCTCCATTCTCTCATTCTTCTGCTTCTTAAAGACGAAGAACACAAGCTGACTTGGCTTTAGTGGCACCGTCACGGACGTCCTCCGTGACTTGGGTACTGCTCTCAAATTCACTGGCCCTGCCATCCTTGTCAACCAGAACGGCACCGTCATTCCTCAGCTCACTACCCAGCTCGTTTCTATCCTGACCAAGCACCACCCTTGCCAGCAAGACCTTGGTGAGGAGGCCGACGAGGATATCCTCGAGGAGACTTCTGAGTACGACTGGCTCGTCATTGAGGTTGCTCTTGATGCGGTTACCTGCCTGTCTGCTGCTCTTGGTGACAGCTTCTCCGAGCTTTTCAAGATCTTTGAGAAGCCTGTCATGAAGTATGCTAGCAGCCAGGAGTCGACCGAGCGCAGCGCCGCTGTCGGTTCCGTTGCTGACTGCATTGGCAACATGGCCGGTGGCGTCACTCCGTTCACCGCCAACCTGATGAAGGTCATGCTCCATCGCCTGTCTGACGAGGACCCGGAGACTCGCTCCAACGCCGCCTACGCTGTTGGTCTGCTCTGCTCCGCCTCCAACGATGAGCAGGAGATTCTTAAGAACTTCGGCACCATTTTCGGCAAGTTGGAGCCTATGCTCCACGACCAGCAGCAGGCGCGCATGCTGGACAACGCGGCCGGCTGCATCAGCCGCATGATTATGAGATACCCGAACAACGTTCCCATCGACCAGGTCCTGCCGCGCCTGATCGACCTGCTGCCTCTGCGCGAGGACTTTGAGGAGAACCAGCCCATCTTCCGCATGTTGGTCAAGCTTTGTAAGTATACACAGGCCGTGAAATACTCAAGTGAACAAGCAGCTAACAAGCACGTAGACCAGGCGCAGAACGCGACGGTGCAGCAGCTGACGGCGCAGCTGATGCCCATCTTCGAGAAGGTGCTCAGCCCGCCCGAGGAGCAGCTGGACGAGGAGACGCGCTCTCAGCTTGTCCAGCTGGTCCAGTACCTGCAGAAGCAGTAATGCAGCTGCGATGAATTTCTGACGTAGATGATGAACTTGGTTTTTGATATGTTGATACCACTGCCGCTGCGTCTAACGAACAATGTAATGCTTGGGATGGGAACAAACAAAAAGGAAGGAACATAGCTGTGGGATCTATAGAATAGACTTAGGCGAATCATGGAGTATTTGCTCGGACACGTAGAGGTTACCCTTGCCAACAACAATCTTGTGAGAGTGTGTGGGGTTCATCGACCGCTTTCCCTATTAGATAAGGATAGTGTTGGTCGCGGGATTGAGGGTCCCTGCTTCGCGCCTTCGTCACTTCCCATCAGCCCCAGCCTTTCGCTTTTCCACCTATTTCATCCATATCACTCCACCCGCAGCACCACCATTGACCGCGCACAAGTCATCGCTATCACCTGAATTAGACTATTTTTCTTACTTAGACCAAGACCATCATGCTTCAATCACGCTGGGCCACGGCCGCCGAGCCCGCATCGGAACCACAACAGGCAGAACAACAATCGCCCCCAAAGCCTACCAGCGACGACGCCACAGCACCCGCATCCACTCCCGCGCCTTCAGACCATCCAGCTGCGCAAGCAGCAGCGAAGCCACAAACCACTGCAAGCAGCGACAACGCCACCGATGCCTTCAGCACAGACCCGATGGCCGACGAGTTTGCGCAAACGCGCGAGGACGACGACCTCTTCGACGACGACTTCACGCCTGTGGTTGCCGATCCCGTCGTCGAGGTGACGTCGGTGCCGGCGCCGGAGCCGCAGTCGCGGCCACAACAACAACAACAACAACAACAACAACAACAACATGCCCCGCCGCCGCAGCAGCAGGCGCAGCAGCAGCAGAAGGCTGCGTCGCCTCCGAGGGGGCCGGCGGCTGCGACGGCGCGGGGAGGTGGAGCTGGGCGCGGTGGACGGGGTGGACGTGGTGGTGCTGGCGCAAGGGGAAGGGGCGGCTTGATGGGGTCGCAGTATGCGAGCGCGCCGGCGGCGGAGAAGAAGGAAGAGAGCGGGGAGGCTGGGGTGGCTGAGGGTGAGAAGAAGATCCCCACGGGACCGAAGAAGGAGGGCTCTGTGAGGGGAGATCGCAGCGGGACGGGCGGGATCAAGAAGGTGTGTTTGCCCATTCATCTCAGCACGCACATAACAAGAGCTCAGCAGCACCCATCTCCGCCCAGAACACACACGGCTAACCCTCCTCCTCTATAGGCCAAACTCAGCGAAGCCGAACTCGCCGAGCGCATGTCCGCCATCAAGCTCAAAAACGAGCGTCTCACGAACGCGCACGCCCGCGCCGAAGCCGACCTCGCGCAGTACGAAGCGCGCGAAGCCGAGGCCGCAGCGCAAGCGGCCGCGCGCCGCAAGGTCGAGCGCCAGAACCGGCAGCAGATGATGGGCGAGCGGGAGCGCAACCGGCAGCGCAAGCTCAACGCCGTGCAGGGCCGCGAGTGGGACGCAGCGAAGGAGGAGGACTTTGCGGGCCCGGAGCGCGGCGGGGGGAGGGCGCGGCGAGGCGCGCACGGCGGTATTGTCGGACCCCGCGAGCACCAACAACAACGGAGCGAGAGCGTGGGTGCGCCGTTTGGGGAGGACTGGGCCGAGGATTCGGCGGCGTCGCATGAGGGTGCGGGCTCGCGGCGCGGTGGTGGCCGGGGCGGGAGAGGTGGAAGAGGCGGGCGCGGCGGTGCTGGTGCTGGCGCTGGTGGCCGGAACAGCCATCACAACCAGCACCAAGCGCCCCCCACAGAAACAGACTTCCCGGCGCTGCCCGGCGCTACCGCAACCGCAGCCAAGGCCTCTCCATCGGCATCTTCTGCTCCCGTCTCTGCTCCCGCTCCCACTCCCGCGGCAGAGTCGTTCGCGAGCAAGGCCGGCGGCGACGGCAGCGGCGATGGTTCTGCAGAGAAGAAACAAGAGGCTGGGAATGTGGGCGCTGAGACTAAGGCACCGGCGAAGGAGGAGCCGAAGAAGGACGACGATGAGGAGCGTAGACCCTCGCCGCCGCCGAGGATGGAGAGTTTTGGCTTCTCGGTTGGGGGCGAGATGGGGTCGTGGGCGGATGAGGTGGATGATTCGTAGGTGTAGGAGGGGTTGTTTTTTTATTTGCTGTGTTGTGCTGTTAGGGGAGGGTATGTATGGTTGGTGGTTTGAGGATGAGCGGATTAGGGTGGATTCTTTGGTTGATCCGGGGGTTTGTTGTTGTTTGTTGTTTGTTTATTCTCGTTTATTCGTTGGTTGGATTTGTGTTGTTGTATTCGAATTGCGCGTTTTTGGATCGGCCACGCATATGTACTCGCGCGCGTACATCATTATCATCATACAGGCATGGCGGGAAGAAGAAAGAAGACATACAGAAGGAAAGAAAAGACAAGAACCAAGAAAGACAGAATTGGGTTGGGTTGACTTGCTTTGGCATGGTTTGGCATGGTTTGGCATGGTTTGGCATGGCATAGGTAGCATAGCATAGCATCGTAGCTTGATACGATAGGTACGGCATGATACGGCTTTGCACGGCATGAATGATATGGAATGGAATGGAATGGTATGGACTGCATACAAAAACGAACACACGCATGAATGCACGCACGAGTGAATGGGTGATCGTGTATTGCATACATACATACATACATACATACGTACGTACATACATACGTACGTGTGGCGTCGAGTTATGTCATCGAGAGGTGGGCGTAGAATGAAATGCAATGGAGAGGATTGAGAGATTTTATTCTATTCTGTTCCCCTCATTTTTCACTCGCACATGGACTTAAATGTTCGAGTATAAGGGACGAGTGCTCTTCTGGCGGGAGGTGGACTATACATATACAGTATAGGGGCGGTGTGAGAAGTTTGCTTCTAGAAGCTTTAGGAGCGTCTTTTCCAAGGCTGTGTATACGTGAGAAGGGAAGGGAAGAAAGGAAATGGAAGAGAATAGAAAGGGAAAGAAAGGAAACGGAAGGGCATAAGCGCCAGAGCCAAGTTAAGTTAAGAAGGGAAAAGGGCTAAATTATAGGATTGTAAAAGGGAGAAGCTTAGAGTTAGGTAGGACCTAACTTAAACCTTTTGTCTTGCTGCCTGCACTATAGCGCTATACTAGCTCGCTCGTTCGCTTTCTTGCCTCTATTCATTCATTCTTTCGTTCTTCTCACACGCGCGCGCAAACGACGTAGGTAGTAGCTACGCCGTCTCGGGGCTACGGTTTAGAAGTAGGCACTGTAGCAATAAAACAGTGAAGCAGTATAGCAAAGGTAGAAATGCAGCAGGATACTCCTAGCGTATCATTGTATATTCGTCCGGCATGCCATACTCGGCAGCCAAACAGCCTACAGGCTATAGTGACGGTACCAGGAACCGGGCCAAAGTTGGCGCAGCTGCCTGCCTGCCCTGCCCGTTGACTCGTCGTCTGTGTGCTTAACGCAACGAGCCCGGTGTATGCACCCCCTTGTTCTGCCCCTCTTCTCTACCCGCCCGTCTGTCTGTCTGCGTGTGTGTCTGCATATTTGCGTATGCGTGCGTATACGAATAAGAAAACCCTACCCAGCAGCAACCCCTCTCCTACCACCCACCCACACAACTAAAGCGCCAACAGCGCAAACATGCCGCCCATAACGGGTCTAGCCACGAAAAAGAAGCCTGGATAATCCCCCGACGCCGTATCATACAAGTCCGTGAAAGCGCGGTTCGTTGACGTCTCGGCGACCCACTTGGCCAGGTCGGAGATGAACATGTCGCGCGTGTCGGTCGAAGCAACAGCCGCGACGAAGATCTCCCAGTCGCCTGCGCAGGGGGTTAGGTTAGCGTGGGGGTTTGATTTGGGGAGAGAAGAAGGGGGTGGGGGATGACGCACTCTTGGTGTAGCTATGCCTCGTGTCGAGCGGGACGCCGTACGTGAGCTCGACCGTGGGGTAGAACTCCGACTGCATGTCGTAGACGGACTGCGGGATGAGGTCGAAGCCGAGTTCCCTGTCGGCGTAGAGGTTGTACAGAAGACCTATGGTCCCAACTCGCATTAGCCCAGTCTTCCGTTTTCGCAAGCGCGTGCGCCCCCTCCGCGTCGTGGCGTTTGTTTTGTTTTCTGCTGCTGCCGTTTCCGTTGTCGTTGCCGCTGTGGCGCTTGGTTACTCGCCGTGGCTGCGGTAACGGCGGCGCATTGTGCAACCAAAACACGGGTATCGGGGCCGGTAACGCGCCACGCAATCATTGATTCAGGTTTAAACTCACCGTGCGATTCGTTGTCCCCATAGCTCAGCGTGGTGTGCTTCTTGAATTCGGTCGTCGCATCCGCAATAGCCAGCTCTTGCCATCTCTCGACGTAGTTTACCGCCGTGTCGTGGTACGACGAGGCGTCGTCGTCGTGTCCTGTCAGTCCCGCGATCTTGGACATGGCTTCGATGCCAATAATTCCCTTTAGCGCCAAGTTTGTTTGGTTGGCCAGCGGTCCCGCAAAGTCGTCCGTTGAGATCTGGTTGGCGGGGTACAGGGCTTCGTCGACAAGGAAGCTAGCCCATTGCTTCAGGATCGTGTAGTGCTGGCTTAGGTAGTCGTTGTCGTCGGCGTGTTGTGCGTATGCTAGTGACATGATAAGCATGTTGCCACACTCTTCGAGTGGCATCTGCTCATCGTTTCCGTCTGGATGGCCTGTCGCATTGGGGAAATGGGTGCCGAGGTCGTGGATCGAGTACATGTTAGGGTAGTGGCCGGATTCCTGATTCTCAAAAAGCGGGTCCAGCAGGAGCTTGAGCAGCTGAGGGTTTGTGTAGAGGAAAAAGGGATGCGCCGGGTAAATCACATCCACGGTCTGGGTGTTGCCGTTTGAGGAAATTTCCTTTAAGAAGAGATAAGGCTTGTCCGAGGTGCCAACCAGCTGCGTTGCGCCAAGAGTTTGTCGAACTGCAAGCGAGGTAATGGTGAGATAGTCTTGGCCTGCGGCACCAATTGAATCTTGAGCAATTTTGTCGTCAAGCTCAGATGACAGTGAGCTTGCAGTGTCGTAGTCGCCATGGAAAAACGAAAGCTGTAGATGATCAGATTGTTGTTGTACAGTAGGGTCCATATTAGAACTTACAGCAGCAAGGTCATCGTCAAAGTAGCTTTTCCATAGAGAAGGCAAAGGAGCTAAACCATCGGCACCATCAAACTGAAGTGCTTGGTCCTGGGCAAGGCCAATCGAAAAGAGCGTGCTGCTGCTTGACGAACCAACCGAGCCGAGATCGACAGCGAAGCCGAAAACAGGATACCGGTCATTGATGGCACGGAAATTGCTATCCTTAGAGTTCGCTAGCTTTCCGTCGTTGGCAAAAGCGCCGCGGACGTCTTCGTCGGCGCCAGATTGAAAAGTCAGGCTATCGACATTGTCCGTAGCCCAATACCAGTTGCCGTGTTCAGTCTGATCGGTAGCTTCGGTGAAGATCTGTTGATTTTGCCGATAGACCTTGTGGTATGCAACATCGCCAGTAGTGTCGTACTCCCACTGCACGACATTGGCTCGGTTGCCGGATACCCATTCTGCATTCTTCATTAGCTATATGTTGCAGCGGTCTTCTACGATTTGATGCTGCCTACCGGCCGAGATGTCGGAATACAGTTGGACGTCGTGCGATTCGCCGTCGGATGAAGTAACCTCCACATTCAGGTATGAGAAGATTAAAGATTGTCGTTTGAGGTCATTCGGGGCGAGTGGTGAGAGGAACGTGATGTTCAACTCAACCTTCCCATCGACGTCCATGGTGAAGGTGCTCTTCGTGGACGTATACTCAAAAGAGGTCTGGTCCACTACGGCAGGTCCTTCAGGCAGGTTGCCCATCCATGTGTATGCCGTGCCATCGACGCGGATCAAACCGGTCCAACCAGTAATTTGGTTGCTAAACTTGTGTCAGCCGGTAAGCTGCAATGCATGTCATCACCATTGACATTCACCTCCAGAAAACTGGCCATTCACTGGCCAGGTAGCCCCCATTGCCCCCGTCACTCCCGACATTGAGCCAGGTACTTAGGTACGGCGATCTGACTGCCAAAGGTATGGCAGGAGGACGCGCCGGGGAGAAGGTCGATGCTGCAAAAGCAGCTCCGGTTAGGCAGGCGATCAACAGCGTAAAAGGCAGCATCGCGTCTATCCCTGGCCTGAGAAGGTAAAAGATGGACGAAGAGCTGATCCACGCAGCCGGCCCCGAGATTTTATATGCCGTCCATTCTACCCCGGAGATTGCTCTAGCATGCTGCAGTTATCCACAGACCCAGGGCGTTGGCGTTAGGCATGCCCAGCGCAACCATTACACATGATGTCAGCGGTCTGGGCTGCTGCTGCGCCGGATGGCTAGTCTCAAAACTGGGGGCTGGGCTGCCCACATGGTCACCCTGTCCACCATTCAGGGTCGTTACTAGGGTAAGCTTAAGCCCAAGCCGACGAATGTTGAGGTGCTTCTGCTTGGCAAAATGTATAATGGTTGTAAGGGACGCTGATATGTACCTATAGTCAGTCATTCTGACGATCCACATGGTCTTGAGGGGACGAATGGTAAAATTCCTACACAACACACCAACTTGACAGCGGAGAGTTACAGCGGGGCTGTAGATAGGAGACGTGCATGTTGCGCGCGCGGCTTGGCGTGTACACGGCCCGCTCAAGAAAAAGAAAACCTAAAAAGGCCGGCTTCCCGAAACAAATATGAGGTGGGCCGCATTCAGCAAGAAGGCAGTGCCAGCATCCCGCAACGCGGGACTTCCGAGCGCTTAATGGCACAATGCTCGTTCTTCCGCGTGTCGGAACGGGTGTAACTTGAAAAATGTGGGGTAGCAAAAGAGCGGCTCTTAGCACCAGCCGTGGCGCATGAAACCTGGACTCATGCGAGAGTAAACTGATCAAGTCGGCCGTCTGACACGTCGTCCTGGGCGGTCTTGTGATATTGCCTAGGTCGTCAGGTCGACAAGTAACCCGATCAGCGGACTTTGCGGCCTGCTGACCTGGACGAACGGCACTTGGTCATAGAAATGGTTCTCCACCAAAAGGTACCGTCAGATCTCTAGGAGAAAGTTGAATGTTACTACTGGTCAGCAGAGCACACCCGAATATGTAGCCAAGGCTTCAGCGAAAGGCGGTCCTGGCCAATGTTGTGTCAGGCTGGGAATCGGCAATATGTAAGTGTCAGCTAGTCTTGGCTGAAAGCGGGGGGAAACGCAAACGGGGCGATGCGTGCCAGCGTAGTTGACTCTGAAGCGCATGAGGCAATATTCTTGGCTGTATCAGACGATGCATGCAGACTGCAGCTGAATGTATAACAGGGTATGGATTATGAGATGAGGTTCCTGGATCCCTGGTTAAGATCTTGGTTCAGGGCTCGAGGCTACGTTAGCCCCGCACCAGAGGCACGTGAGAGCCTTCTTCTCTCAGATCCTCCGGAGATGAGCGAGGCACATCACTACACGTCATACACCCAGCCGGGCGACGGGCGTCTTTTCTCCGTCGCGAGCCCGTCTATTGGGCTCGGGTTTGTGGAAGAACGATCATCGCGAAATCCGATGCGGGTCGGAAATAGCAACTACAACCCGGTCGATATAATGTGGATTGCGAGTAGTGGCTATGCCTGTCCTGACCCATGAACCAAGCGGCCCGACAAGGTCGCAGATGAAAGTTGTGCAGGATCTTGTTTGTGATACTTCCTTCTCTGTCACCCTTCCCAGCAGCTCACAACTCCTTTTTCGAGATCCCATACAATGGCCCTTATCGGGGATTCGGGAAGACTGTCGGCCATGTCACCGCCTCGTCTCTCTCTTGGCATCGCATGAAGCTCTTTCTCTCGCCCTCGTCGGGCCTGCCTGCGAGCACGTCCGAAGCAGGATGCGTTGTCGATCACAAATGCTGCGGTGGAGCAGGCCATCCATGAAGCACAGCATTCCAAGGCCTGCAACAGCATCATCCGACCGATCCGATACGCTGCCGTTGCCTTCTCACGGCGGGTGGAAGTCGGAGCTGGTCGATGCCACTCGAATGATTTGCGCGAGCTGTAGGAGTAGGGAGTCGCCCTTGCATATTGCCCGCTTGCATATTGCTTCGCACGAACAAATAATACTCACTCAATCGTGATGATGTCGTTCAAGTGAAACACGGTGTACAGCGCATGTCCACGATCACGGGCGGAATGATAGGCGACGATCCATGAGCGGCTCGACTCGAGCTCCTGTGAGCTCCAAGATGCTGATAGGTAGGCGCTGACAATCGTGGTACAAGAGTGCATTGTTGCCCACGGTGGGAAAGCAGTACAGACTCGAGCAAGCCCGAGACAAACTGAGTAGTTGCTCGTGCAAAGAGGACGACGGGCGTGATGTTTCTCGGAACCAGGAGGTTGCTGTGGAAAAGATGTAAAAAGGGTACGGCACGTGAGGGAAAATAAAGTCGTTCGCCAGGCCGCGCGCCACAGAGGCACGGACAGAGGCTCCTGCCACAACGGGTCTAGTTTTTCCGAACGCCACTGCTAGCCCGTACTTCCACTCTTTGCTCTGATCAACATTTTCTACCAGCGCGCGCCTGTGCAGAAAGACCTGGCACCAACAATATGATCAGGCATATCTTCCGTTCAGCGTCGCTCGCGGTGACACGCCGTCCCTGCATTCCAAGTGGAGTGGTTTGCAGAGGACTTTTTCGGGCTCAGTTGCCCCGCGCCACCACCCAAGGACTCCAACAAGCGTTAAGGTCCTACTCCACCAAAGAAACTCAGGAATCGGAAAAAGTAGAAGATTTTGAAGGGCTGGGAGAGCGCGAACATCCAAAAGGTCAAACTCCGGGGATAACCGAGGCACCAAGCAAAAAAGCACCGGTATCATCAAGCGCCCTCGCTCAGTTGAGGCGACATTTTGGCCTTGACACGGAATCAGCATCTTCCAAGGGCATCAAGGACATCGAGGACCCCATCTTCCTAGCCGTTGATGCAGAGGCCTGGGAACGCAATACCAGCAAGGTCACCGAAATAGGAATTGCGGCTTTGGATACGCGTTTCTTGTCCCGGCCTACAGACCGCATGGAATGGATAAGAAGCATCGACGCCCATCACTTCACAATTAGGGGACGCGCAAAGTATATTAACAAAAGATTTGCCCCAGGTTGCCCTGAAAAATTCATGTTTGGTACCAGTGAAACCAGACCAATAAAAGAAATGCCAGGCATCTTCAAGAAACTCTTTACCGCACCAGATGAGACGAAAAAAACCAAAGGCGCTTTGCGTAATTTTATTCTCGTAGGGCACGACCTCAAAGAGGACATTCGCTATATGAAAAGACTCGATTACGATGTCACTTCCGAAAAGTCCGTTGTCCTCAATATGGACACGCAGACGGTTGCCAAAGAACTTTCACTGCCCCTTGGACTCGAGAAGCTGGTGACCGCGCTCGACATTGTTCCTAAATATCTTCACAATGCTGGCAACGATGCTGTGTACACGATGCAAGCCATGGTTTGCATGGCTTTATACGGCCATGAGCTTTCTTTGCCAGATATCACGAAGGAGACAATGGCAGAACTCAAGAAAAAATACCAGGAACAAAGAGCAAAAATCCTCCATGCAAGATTGGTTAAGGCACAGAACCTGGCATTGAAGAGAGAAAGAGATAAGTTGACAAAGCAAATCAATAAAACAATTGACAGCGAATTCGAAAGCACAGTGGTGGAGTATTCATCACCCCCAGAGCCCACTTACCAAGCATTAGAAAGAGTTATCTCCTCGGGGTTGGCTGCAACATATGATTGTGTTACAGAAATGGAAACGTCATTGGAGCTTCTCCAAAAGACAAGTGCACTTGTCAACGAGCAGGGGACAGCTGGCAATGTGGACATTGAAGCGCCTGCAGCAGAAAGCCTCATAGAGATCCAGAAAACGCTCGTAAACATGCGAAGAGCAGTCGAACTCCGCAAAGAGAAAGAAGAGTGGATAGGAACCAAGACAGCGAAGAAGGAAGCCTCCTTGGAAAAACTGGAACAGCAATGGCAAGCAGCACACAAAAAAGCCCGTAAAGCATCAGATATCGCTCAGCCGCTTAAACGTCAGATGGCGGCCAGGCAACTGCCCCAAGGCGTCACAGAACTTGATGTACGGAATGCCATTCAGCATGCCGCGCAGCGCAGAGCGGAAGCGGACGTGCTGTCCAAGACTTTGCACGACAAAAAAAAAGAATGGAAGTTGGAGCGCGCGGAGCGGGAACGGCTGTATAGAAAGAAGCTGAGGGAAGCAACCAAAGAAGGAGGGGAAGAAGAAGAAAGGGAAGGAAGAGAAGAAGACTGGACAACAGCAGCGCTAAAAGCCAAAGCCGAACCGCCGCGAGACCCCAACGCGCTGCCCCCGGATGTGCTGCGCGCACAGCGGCAAGAGGAGAACCGCATCGCGCTGGAGAAGCGCGCAGAGAAGAAGACGCGCAAGAAGGAGCGCAAGCTCGCGGAGGAGTACCGCCTAGCCGAGGAGCAGCTGCAGCAGCGCATCGCGGCGCGCCCGCCCAGTCAAGACGGCCAGAAGAGGGTCGAGAAGAAGCTGCGCAAGTTCGAGGCTGCGAGGAGTCAGCTCGCGAAGAAGCTGCGCAAGCTTGAGCGCAAGAAGGAGATGATGAAGGAGGAGCGTGCCGCGAGGAAGCCTCCGCCAATTTTGGAGGAGTGGGAGAAGAAGCAGAAGAGTAAGAAGGTCGTGGATGAGGCTTGAGATGGCTGCTTATCTACTTGGTTGGGTTTGTGGGGGTGGGCTGTATATTAGATTACCGTTTCGGGTTGTAATTGGTTGGAATCTCCTTTCTTGCATTCCTTCGCGTGCAGGAGGTGCCTTTTACGTGTCAATCAATTGTACCGGCGCAGCAGCAACAGAAGTCGTCGTCAGTTCCCAGGTTTTTGAAAAACAGGGTGGGTGGCAGTTGTCAGACAAGCCAGGCAACAACCAGGCAGTGGCCGCTCTTTCCCTCCCCAACCCACAGCCAGCCAGCAGAGACCTAAGTATACCCACATCAGCATCTCAAGCAAGGCCCCACCACTCACTCCGCATCACGCCCCAGAGAACCCGTCTATCCTTTAACTATTCTGCAAATCAACCGGGACTGAGCTAAATCCTCAGATATGTCATGTTCAGCAAAGCGAGTTCGCATGGGTCACCATGCACACACGCTCAGAATCCCTTTTTGTGTATACCCAATCCCATTGCCGCTATATACAAAACGAAACTCCGCCCCAACTCCCCACCCCAACAAACGCCTCCACATGCATCCGCACTCACACAAACTCACTCACTAACTCACTCCTTCTTCCTATCCAACCCGGCAATCCCGCCCTCATACTCACTAAGATCATACTCCGCCTCATACTTCTCCAACAGGCGCTTCATCTCAGCGATCTGCGCCTCCGCCTCCTCCGTCACCTCGGCATACACGCCCTCCCAGAGATTCCTAACCGGAGGGCGTTTTTCCTTTTCGGCGCGCGCAAACGCCGCCAAGACGTCCTTGCGGATGCGGGCGCGGGCGTCGGTCTCGCGCTCCTCGTCCCAGAGCCCGCGCGCCTCAAGCCACTTGCGCAGCCGCGTGATGGGGTTGTCGCGCCGCTTCCAGTCCTCGACTTCGACGCGCGCCCGGTACGCGAAGCTGTCGTCCGACGTGCTGTGGTGGCTGACACGGTAGCTCATGGCCTCGAGCAGGATGGGGCGCCCGCCGTTCTCCAGCGCCTTGGCTCGCGCGGCCAGCGTGGCTTCGTGTACTGCGAATACGTCGTTTCCGTCTACTCGCACTGTCTCGATCCCGTAGCCTAGCCCGCGGCTTGCGATCCCGTCCCCCCGGTACTGCTCTAGTGTTGGCGTGCTGATCGCGAACCCGTTGTTACGGCATACGAAGACGACGGGGCACCCGCGCGTCGCGGCTATGTTGAGCGCCGCGTGGAAGTCGCCTTCGCTGGCTGCACCCTCGCCGAAGTAGCAGGCCACGACGCGGCGGGCGGCGGATTCACCGGCTCCGCCTGCTGCGTCGGCGGATGGGCGGTGCAGGTCTTGCTGCTTGAGGGCGTAGGCTGCACCTGCTGCGTGTGGGATTTGGGTTGCTAGTGGTGAGCTGATTGTGTGGATGTGCAGGGCGGCGCTGCCGTAGTGCACCGGCATGTTGCGTCCCAAGCCTGGGTCGTGCCGGTTTGCAAACAGCTGCGCCATGAAGTCGTCGAGGGTGAAGCCACGCTGGGCGAAGACGCCCGCTTCACGGTATTGGGCGAAGATGACGTCGTCAGGGTGGAGAGCTGCGGCACTGCCCACGGCGATGCCTTCTTCGCCCGCGGACACCATGTAGAAGGAGAGGCGGCCCTGGCGCTGGGCTTCGAACATGATGAGGTCCATGATGCTGACTGTCAGCATATTGGTGTACCATTTCAGCACCTCTTCATCCGGGACCGAGGGCGGCCCGCGCTCCTTATCTACGACCTCGCCGTCCTGGTCGAGGATGCGGTAAGTGGGCATGGCGGGACGGGACTCTGGTTGGTCGAAGCTCAACGTCGTGGTGAACTTGCTATTCACGGCGCCGGGGAAGTGGACGCTGCAGAAGCGGGCGGCGTTAGCGGGGTGCGTTTGCAAATGCAGGCAGAGAGGGGCAGCGCAGCCTTACCGGTCTGACCCCAGCTTCTGGGGTACCCCTCCAGAGGTCCATCGTGTACTTGCGTTATACACCGGCACGCGCGGCCGCGGACGTTCAGTGATTATTTGGCTGCGTAGGGGCAGCGAGGATCGTCTGCTGGCGAGGACTCGACAGCGGGGAAACATGGTGAAGGGATCATGTTGTCGGCCGAGGATGAGAAGGAATGCGGAGTACAAATGCGGAGAGCGGCAAGCGGCGGCTTTGCGGCGACGGCACGAGTCAGTCCACCGCTGGGGTCCAGCCCTATTGACTCGCGCACAGTCGCCGCAAGCACGCGCTAGCGGAACAACTTCGCGCGAGCAGATCGTCGTCCCCGTCACTCACACCTCGATCTATTCCGCCTGCAAACACTCCCCAACCTCCCGTCTTCCTGCCCGTCTGCCCAATATGAACAGTTCGAGACTCGTCCTCCGCCGTCAATTGCTGCGTGATGTCGCTGCCGGCGCGAAGCGTGAGCCGTACCGGTGCTTTTCTTGCGCTGCCCGCTATGCGCAGCAGCAGGCGCCACGCCAGCCCGGCTCCCAGCAGGAGAAGACGACGCACTTTGGCTTCGAGACGGTGGCCGAGTCGTTGAAAGAGTCGAAGGGTACGTGACGCTCCGCAATGGCCTTCCAGTAACACTCATTGACAATGGGCAGTTGCCGGCGTCTTTTCCTCCGTCGCCGCATCCTACGACACCATGAACGACCTGATGTCGCTCGGCATCCACCGTTTGTGGAAAGACCACTTTGTGCGCAACCTCAATCCAGGAAGCAACCCTCTGCACGCGGCACGCGGCCCGTCCGGCGCCGCACAGCAGCAAGGCTGGAACATCCTCGACATTGCAGGCGGCACGGGCGACATTGCCTTCCGGATGCTGGACCACGCGTCGACGATCAACAACGACCCGCACACGCGGGTAACTATCTCAGACATCAACCCGGCCATGCTAGCGGAGGGCAAGAAGCGGGCGCTGGCGACGCCGTACGCGCGCAGCGGGCGGCTCGACTTTGTCGAGGCCAACGCCGAGCACCTTGACATGATCCCGGACAACTCCATCGACCTCTACACGGTCGCGTTCGGCATCCGCAACTTCACCGACAAGGACCGCGCCCTGCGCGAGGCGTACCGCGTCCTGCGCCCCGGTGGCGTGTTTGCTTGCCTCGAGTTCAGCAAGGTCAACAACCCCCTCTTCGATCAGGTCTACAAGCGCTGGAGCTTCAGCGCTATCCCGCTTATTGGCCAGCTGGTTGCCGGTGATCGCGACAGCTACCAGTACCTTGTTGAGAGCATTGAGCGCTTCCCCAGCCAGACGGAGTTCAGGGACATGATCAAGGCGGCGGGCTTCATGGTGCCGGGCCAGGGCTGGGAGGACCTGACGAACGGCATTGCGGCTATTCACAAGGGCGTCAAGCCGGTGAAATAGATGCGTGGTATTGAGGGCGGCTGTGTAAGATTATGCATTGGGTTGGCTGGGGCGAATGGATGATATATATAGATACTGACTGTATGGGCAAAAAACGGGTTGGGAAAGACATCTCATATCAATGCATATTTACTAGCATAGGATTAGAGGTATTTCGGTTTAAAATGCTAAGATCCTGTCTTGCTGAATAGTTGCTACCGCTCAATGCCATGTCCGACAAATGTTGACATCGAGGACTGCAGAACTCTGTGCCATCTCACCTCTCAAGGTGCCTATTTAAACAAGTCAGTCTGCCCTCTTAATCATCCTTTAATCCACTCCTTTTTCACACTGCAATTATTTTATCCTTAGTCAACTTCGTCACGCCAGTATAATTATGTTCAAGCAACTCATCCCGCTCTTGCATGGAACACAGCCAGGCAATACTTAATGGAGCATCAAAGAAAATGCCACAGGCTTTGTCTTCAAACGAAGGTAGCTGGATGGAGCGAATGCATGACGAGGGTACGCGTTGAGGATTCAGACAAAGCACATGCGGTCAAGGCGCGATGAGGTGTCCAAGCCCATCTCGGCCGCAGCCGACGGACGATCAACAGGCACCCGGGAAGCCGGCACCGTGCGTGGCAGGGCTGGCGCATCAACGACGTCATCTCATCAAGGGTGGGAAGCAACACCCGGAAACCGAACCAACGAACACCTTGGCAGCCAGCCCGCTTCGCACGCTCCCAGGCCGGATCGCGTAAAGTGTCCGACGCCCTGAAGCTTGTTCGCATGATGTAAACACGTCTCAAGGGTCACCCGAAACACTCAAGAGCGGGACCCCCTCCGTCCCTTTCGACCTGTTTGTTTGCCTGTCTTGCCGTCGCGTTCACACATCACGCTGTCACCATCCGGAGTACACCCACCTCTCCCATCCCCCCTCTTCGCATTACCCCCACGCACACGCAAAACATGGTGTCAGGACGCCATCGTGCAGCCAACGGACGTGCTGCATCCTCTGACGAAGAAAACGACGATTACAAAATCAATGACGATGTGGAGACGGGCCCACGCGTGCCGCCGAAATGGCGGTTCCGCGACGCGATTGCTGCAACCATGGACATGCAGGATGTGAACCGGCTGAAGGTGCAGCTGAAAGAGGGAATTGACAGGAACGAGCTGGAGGGGTATCGTATGAGCGAGGATGCGATCAAGAAACTCAAGAACAAGAAGGTCCAGGCGTTTTATCGCGAGCAGAACGAGAAGCTTAATGATTGGCTTGAGGTATGGCGTCCGGCTATGTGCTCCCACGCCCCCACCTGAGTGCTACCCGGAACACGTGCTGATATGAGGTTGTGTTTGTTTGTAGGTTGATGCGCTGGTCATGGCTATGGCGGACGATGTCCTCGACTCGATGAACCCGCGTGATATGGACCACGATGGTGTTGCGGAGAGCGGAGGCGCGCTGCAAGCGACGTCGGAATCGATCGAGCCATTGCTGCCGGAAGATGAGCGTGCGGCTAGGCGCAAGGCGCGGCGGAACGCGAAGTGGGCGATCAATGTGAGTCTCATAACACGGTTGTTGGCTGTGGATCTGTGTACAGATACTGGGCAAAGGCTAGACCTTGGTGGGCAGAGCTGACTTTGTGTGTGCCAGATCAACGTGGTCGCGAATATCTTGCTGCTGTTAGCCAAGTGCATTGCGGCGTTCTTCTCGTCGTCACTCTCACTTATTGCGTCCCTGGTGGATTCAGCCCTCGACCTGCTCTGCACTATCATCGTGTGGACAACGAACAAGCTTGTCAAGTGGCGGCTGCATCGTCTCAAAGCCAAGTTTCCCGTCGGCCGCAAGCGGCTCGAGCCAATTGGGATTTTGGTATTCTCTATTGTATGCGCGCTCTCCTCTTCTTTACCTATCATCCGTTCGCTACTCGTTGATAGCCAATGACTGTTGCTGATATAAACGTTGTACATAGATCATGATTGTCTCGTTCATCCAGATCCTGCAAGAGTCGATTGAGAAGCTCGCCGCCAGCGGAGACAAGGTCCCGGTGCAGCTGCCAGCGATCGCGATTGGAGCCATGGCGGCGACAGTGGGCGTGAAGGGGCTGATCTGGTTTGGGTGCATCCCGATCAAGACGACGCAAGTGCAGGCGCTCGCTCAAGGTGAGTCCCATCCCTCCCACATGGACCACAGAAAGCACCCACGCGACCTCTTCCCTCCATCCAGACACGCTACTAACGCCCTCCCTCCCCACAGACTGCAAAACCGACGTAGTCTTCAACACGCTCTCGCTCCTCTTCCCCGTAATCGGGTACAAAGCGAACCTATGGTGGTTCGACCCCGTAGGCGCAGCGATCCTCTCACTATTCATCATCTACGACTGGGCGGACACATGCCTGCAGAACGTGACGCGGCTGACCGGGTCGGCGGCCTCGGAGCGCGTGCACCGCAAGCTGCTGTACCTGGCGTGGCGGTTCAGCCCCGTGGTCGTGGGCTACAAGAGCGTGACGGCGTACCATGCGGGCGACGGCATCTGGGTCGAGATGGACGTGCTGTTGGATGAGAAGACGCCGTTGAGGCGTGCGCATGATGTCGCTGAGACGCTGCAGTATTGTTGTGAGGGCCTGGGGGAGGTGGATAGGGCGTTTGTTACCATGGATTGTGAGTGCTGGGCTTTTCTTCTTACTCGCCTTTTCCCGTTATCTTTCTTTCTTTCGTCCTCTCTTTTTGTTTCCGTTTACCTGTGTTACTGCCCGTAAGTCCGAACTGCGACTAACACCGTGAACCAGATGCCTCCCAAGGCCCAACCGGCCACGCAAGCGAGCTGGGTTAAGCCGGATTAAGCTTATTATGCTATAAAGCTGCTTGAGCGACGGCGCGGAGATGAACGGGCATGATTGGATGAGAGACGAAGGAATGAACGAGCGAACGAACGAAAGGAAGAATGAATGAATGATGGAAAGAAGCAGAGCAGAGACACTCGTCTATCGTCTGGCATCTGTCGCCTCCGTCTGGTTTTAAAGAGAAGAAGAAGAAGTAGAGTAGTGGAAGAAGAGCGGCTGCCTGTATACATATAAACGTAGAGCGCGCTAATAATGTCTGATCTCGTCTCTGGATGTATGTTTGTTGTGTTATTTTGTGTTATTGGCGCATGTATATACTGAGTGTGTACGCGAAATTCTTTGCATGATTCTAGGCCGAGTGAGTGCTAGTTAGCGGTGTGAATCTGCGGGATGGCAGAATGGCGGCGTATAAAAGACCCCTACCTACCTACCTAGTCAGCTATGAGAAAGCTAGACGCAGCTGCAAGGTAGCGTCCTTCGACTCGTTATGGAATGCTGTTCATACAAACGGGAATAGTGGAAAACCTGGATGTGGTGGTCGTCCACACACACACAGCGGAGCAGGTGTCTGGGTTTGCGTTTCTGGTTCCATTGAAGATGGGTCTGGGGTTGCGCGCTGCTGCTTACTGTCGTTGGTGGGCGGTGGTGGTTACTGTTACCTGTTTCTGGGGGCGCTGAGTATGGGTGCTGCGTGCTGCTGTTGGTTACAGACTTGTAATTTACGTTTTTTTTTTCCCCACCATGCTGTGGCCTTTGTGGATTGTTAGGTTTGTGAGGTGTTGGATGCTGCTATTTGCGTTACTACTCCTCCCTATCTTTATCCCTTTCATCGCCGGTGCTGGTGTCGGCAGCGGCGCCATTGTCGGTTCCCTACCTGTGGGATGGGTTGTCGTGTGGTTGGATGCTAGGGGATGCTTTACTGTTTTATACGCGCTTTGTGTTGAGGTGATACGTCGTTGCACTAGAAATGAGTTCATCTTTAGGTATCCTTAGGACTTAGCTTGTGGGAGGGTTGAATATGCTGTTAGGCTGACGTCAATGTGCGCGTTGTTGTCTCTTTGTGGTAGTTAAAGGAGGTAAGGGAGCTGGTGTTAAAGTTATGGCGTGAAAGTGTGGGCTGCAATTGAGGGTAGTGCGTTGATGAAGGCTACGATGAGGGAGGGTGGCGATTGTGAATATAAGGGAAGTTTGTTATCCGCTTTTAAGAGAAGAGTGAATTGTAAACACTGAAAAATAGTAGCTTAGTTTGGCACCTAGGGAAGAAAAGGAAAAGATAGCGTTGACTTAGGTTGGCGGTAGACGGGTTGTTTTAGTAAAATGTTAGTGTTTTCACCAATTACAATATATAAATTCATACTTATCGGTCCTATAGCGTAGACCTCCTAGCCTATATAAAATCTCTTCTGCTGATCTACATATAAAGCTACTATCCTTAATCTCGTATTTCACTCCTGGTATTCCGCCAGTTATGCCATATACCTTAAGAACTACTCAGTGTTCGACTCCCGCTTCAGCTTTAGTAAACTTCTCCATATCGTTGAACAGAAAGATTACTTAAAAGGGTGTTTAGCTTATTCCTCTAGAAACATTTTTAAACTACTCCTATATAAATACCAGCCTAGAGCACCACAAATCGACGAAAACTCAAGGTGCACACACACACTACCAGCGACACAAAAGAGGTATTCCTCTCCGTCACTTTCGGCAATATCTACGTGGACCGGGCCACCATATCCCAGCCCTTCACACCCACAGCACAGCACAGCACAGCACCAGCAACAAACCCCATCTCCTCTCTACCACACCCACAGCCCACAGCAGCGCCGACAACCACCATCACGTACCACCAACACGCCTCACCAGCACCCCACGCTCCTAACCCGCACCATCACCGCTCGTCTCAGAACAGCGCGGCGACCATCGTTGATCTGGAATTTTTCTGGCCCTGTTAACCCGAGCCGCCTTTCTGGAACCCCGTGAAACCGGTCAGATAGGCCAAGCCGTCAAACGCGGTTCCGACATGTGCGATAATCTGGGCTGGAAGCTCGTAGTGATGGATGATATGGATATGAAAGGAAAGGAAAGGAAAGGAAAGGGAGAAGAAGTGTCGTACTAGCTAGCTATTTAACATTTGCCATTTACTATTTGCCAGCTGGACGAATGGGTATTATAGACGAGCATAAGGTGTGTGATAGCTACATACACCGCACCCCTCGCCGCCGCCGACGACGACGACAAAGCCACCTACTCGCTCACTCCGAGACAGCCACAGTAGCGCCGAACGAACGAGCGAGCGAACGAACAAGCGCGCGCAGTCCTCGCGCGTGGTTGTGTTAATAGTGTCGTGGTCGAAAAGCGTGCTAGCTATTCCTATTGCCAGCCTCATTGCTCATTACTAACCCTCTTTCCTTTTCCTTTTCCTTTCCACTTCTTCCCTTTTCCCGTCCTCCACTCCTCTCCATCCTTCCTCTCTTTTCCTCTTTCTACTGCTAGTTGCATCTACACTCCAGTCCTGAGTCCTCGCGCTTCTTCGCCTTCTCCATAACCACAACCACAACCCCAGCCCTAGCCCCAGCAACACCCCGCTATCTGAACTAAACAGCTCACGGGGCGGAAGACAGCTGGGGGCGGTTGCAGCGGGTGGTGGTGGTGGTGGTAGTGGTGGCAGAGGCAGAGCGCGCAGCTCACTGCTTGTTGCTTGTGCTTGTGCTTGTTGCAGCGGGGTGCGGTCGTTGAGTGTATGGGTCGCATGGCGTGGAAGCGCTTGCTTTTGATGCTGCTGGATGAAAAGTGGCGAGACGAGACATGAGGTGAGGCGAGTGTGAGGGCCGTCCCTCTCCTTCCTCTCATCCGTCCTCTCCTTCTTTTTCATCGCTCGTGCCGGGTTTCATGTATGCGCGCATGTTTTGCGGCCAGCCGAGCGGGGATACAGTACGGCGAAGGACGTCAGGTGGTGGCCTGCAAAGGCCGCCAGCCAGCGTGCCGTCTCCCGCGGCCCTCAGACCTCACCCCGCCTAAGCCTCTTCGTCGGCACACCCGTGACGGCCGCCCTCTCCCTGCCCCTCGCACCAATAGCGCCCCCGGGATGATTCCCGCGAAACACCTCTCCCACCGCCTCACCAAGCACGCGCTCGGCCGCCGCAATCGCCAGCATATCGCCCAGCGCCATCGCGACCGCCGTGCTCGTCGTCGGCGCCGCAACGCCGAAACTCGTTTCCTCGGCCTCATGCACAGGCGCCGGGAGCAAGATGCCCAACTCGGGGCTCCTGCCCTCAAGCAGCGGGCAGCACTCGGGCTTGACATGGCCGGAGAGGGCAATCACAGGCACCGCAGGCGGGAGATGCGGCAGCAGGGCCAGCAGCTCCGCCGTGCGCCCCGAAAAGCTTATGATGACGACGACGTCGCGCGGCTGCACGTCGCCGAGGTCGCCGTGCACTGCTTCCGCCGCGTGCAGGAACGACGCTGCCAGCCCCAGGCTCTTGAGCGTCGCGACGGTTTTGCGCCCCACGAGCCCGCTCTTGCCCACCCCGCTGACAACCACCTTGCCGCCTGCTGCGAGCGCGGTTTCGACGGCGTCAATGGCGCCCAGGAGCCCTGTTTTCGCGACGGGCGACGTCTCGTAGAGTCGCGTTATGTAGGACAGCGCTGTTGCTTCTGTCGCGAGGACGTGCAGGGCCGTCGAGAGCGCGGGGGAGTGGTCCGCGTCAGCGGCGGAGAGTGGGGGCGTGAGGGCCGTGGAGCGCTTGCGCTTGAGGGATGCGGTTGCGGCGGCGGCGGCGGGGAGCTCGATGGTCGGGGCGGACGCGGACATGGTCATTGTCGAGGTCGTGGTCGTGGTGACGCTGCTGGCGCCGGGGCTGTTGGGGCGCGGGCTCGAGGCGGCGGAGGAGTCGGAGGCGTCGAGCTCGGCTTTGATGGCGTCGTCGAGCGGCGGGGTGGTGGTAGTTGCGGGCGCGGGCGTGCCGAACCTCGCGTCCATGGTGGATGTGTGTAAGTAGGAGGTGGTGGTTTTCCGTTGAGTAACTAAGTAGATAGGTACTGCGAGTATATAGGTAGACTAGCTTCCGCGACGTGTGTGTGGGGAAGGCCTTTGAAGGAAAAACGAAGTGAGATGGCGGCAATTGTCCACGTAGGCAGTCAGTCAATGCCGGGAGAAAGACAAAGTAGTAGTAGGCGGAGAAGAAGAAGAAGAAGAGGAAGAGGCCGAATCGACGGCATATTTACAGCGGCCGATTGCACACGTCTCGACGCGCCGCATCCATCGGAATTGCGCCAGCGCCGCCTTGCCAGATCAGGAATGGCGCGCGCGCATCGAAGACGTCAATCAGTCAGCCCGCGAGGGTCCTGCCACTCAGCGAGGCAGGACCGTCTTTCCAATCCAGCTCTTTCTGCGCAGCTGACTCTCGCCATGATGCTGCTGCTGACGAATCCACTTCCATGCGTCGCCGTTGTCGGCCGGCCCGGAACCCCGCTTCACCAGTGTTGAGTGCATGCATTGCGTGCGACGGCGTGGTGCCGAGGCTGTGCAGACTGTACTCGAGTAAAGTACTACTACTATGCGTGCCACTGAGATAAGCGCACTCAAGCTCTTGCTAGCGCTGCACGTGTGGCTGTGAGCTGAGCTGAGTGCTGTGAGCCTGTGGTGCTTCTCAGGGTCTTGGGCGGGCTAAAACGATCGACTCCGATCCGAACATCGGTGGCTTTGCGCTAGCCTCGTGGGAAGCTACATTGCAGAGTACGAGTACATCTTCACTCTTCACGCTGCAGACGAGACTAGAGTAGGTAGGTTGTGTCGTGTCGGAGTGGCGGATGGTTCTGGACGTCAGTACGGCGCCGGTTTCTCCATTCGTCGTGTAACTATTTGATAGCTACTCTACCCACGCCATGTACGACAGCATCTAACAACTCTCTAAATCTATAGGCACCTCTAGACCCTTCCTCCACCTAGAGTAGAGTACTCGTCCATCACGCCCTCACGCTCACCTCCTCCGCACCCAGCACCTTGTTGGCCTTCTCCTCCTCCACCGCCGGCCCAGTCGCCTGTTCCCCCCCACTACTCGGCCCCCCTATCTCACTCCTCCTCGCCCTACTCTCCTCCGTCTCGACCAGCCCCACCTCGCCACCCTCCTCCTCCCGCAGCCCAAAACTCCTGACCTCGGTATTGCGCCACCCAGTGCCAGCAAGCCCATCAAACCCCTCCCAATCCCGCGTCAAATAGTGCAAAAAGCTGCCATGCGTCACAACCGCGACATGGCCCTCTCCCTGCATCTCCTTGACCAGCTCGGCGAGCCAGCGCCTCGCCTCCGCCGCTCTCGCGCCAATCGCCCCCGCCTCATCCGCCCACTTCCCGGTCTTGCTGTCCCACCCCTCGCCCACTAAGCCCAGATCGACCGGCTGCCCCGCGAACTCGCGCTCTAGTTCCGCGCGCGGCGAGCCCGTGTCGCACGGCATGGCGGACGTCTCCTGCAGTTCGGGGAGCGCGACGACGCGCAGGTTTTTGGCCGCGATGGTGGGCGCGAACGTCAGTAGCGCCGTGTAGATTGTGCGTTTGATGGGGGAGGCGACGACGGCGGCGAGGGTGCTCAGCGGCACCGGGAAGGCGCGCTGCAAAGCGAGACATTGCTCGCGGCCGAGGGGGGTGAGGAGCGGGTCGTGCTGCTGGGGTTAGTGCGTGTGCTTGTTGTTGTAGCGGTGCTGGGAGAGGGGGAGGGGTACCATGGAGTAGTTGTCTGGGGTGAGGTTGTGGAAGCCTTGGGCGTGGCGGACGAGGTGGATTGTTGGCGCCATTGTTGCGGTTGCGGTTGTGATGGTCGTGGTGGTAATTGTTTAAAGAATCTAGAGGAGGAAGAACGAAAAGACGAAGCAGAAGCAGACAAGCCAAATAATGTGGGCGTAACCAACAGTAGGTAAAACCCAAATCCTCTAACCAAAAAGCGCAGCTCTTTCTAACCACAGAAACGTGCAAGCGTAAGCCGGTCCTCTGCAGATTTAGGCAGATAGTAAATAAAACTCGAGCAATGGAAGCAAGCGACCCGCGCCCTGGCGCGCGACCCTCCGCCTCTTAAATATCCCGCTCCCCCAACCAGCCCGCAGCCAAGCGAGCGAAAAAAGGTGACGATGGCGAGACCCGGTAGGCCAATCGCAGGCAGCCAAAGGCGCGGCGGCGAAGGTGGCGGTGACGGATTTTCGACCCGCAGGGCTAAGTACTGTAGTACTTAACGTACTAGGACCTTTGCTCGCACATTATCCTTCTCGGCCTCAATTGCCGACCGACCGTCGTGGCCTGGCTTTTATACCTCTACGTGGAACCAAAGGCGGAGGACACTTCTCTCACTGTGCCAGGGACCACTACCTATGTATGACTCAGGCACGGTGCCGCGCCTGAGGCTGCGAGCGGGAATACCTACCGGTCCTCTTCCGTCCCGCCCGCCGCCTGGCTAATTGTACCTATTTACCCCGCCATTCGATCCAGCACATAGAGGGCAGATAGGTAGACAGGCCACCCGCCTTACCCACCACCTACCTACTCGTCATTGTCGTCGGCGGCGCCGTCGAACACGCCGCCTGACTCATCCGTCCACCAAGCTTACCTCCTACCTTACGCACGCCGCCATGCGTCGCTGACGGACGCCGAACTGCCTGGAAGCCTGACAGTTGTTGTCGAATCTGGCCCCGGCTGCCGGTCGTGGTTCATGAGCGGGGTTGACTGTCCGGCGAGCGCGCTAAGCAGAGCCTCTCCATACCTTAGTAGCCCTGGAATGGAAGTAGTCGAAGCGCATATAAAATAGCTTCCATGTCTAAAGCTCTTGCTTAGCTAGCATCCATCGCTGAGCGTCTACTGTCAATCACGATCTGCGTGTTTACTGCCAAATCCGTCTACTACAATAAGGGGACAGGCACCCGATGAAACCCCAAAGCCTCTAACAAGTGCACTCGCTAAACGGGTAGGCTCGCTCATGAAGCGCGCTCTAATCCGTTCGGGTCAGCAGATCTGACATTTAGAAATGGGCAGAGGTATCGCGATCCATCTACTGAGTATGGTCAAGAGATCTGACGGCGTTTGGGCTGGTCAGCAACTTCAAACCGCTTAAAAGGGATTTGCCGGTATATCCGATCGGATTTTGCGTGTTCGTTTGCATGCTTTATCGCTATAAAGGGAGTGACGTCGTGAACAGTCCGCGCTAAAAGGGGGTCGGGAAGGCAGTAGGCGCGCGCCAATCAAATGGAATGGAAAGCAATATGGGAAATTCCATAGACACCCCGCGGATACGGAATCGCGGGCACCGCGGAAGCCGACAGCGCGCGCGCATCGCGCAAACGAGATGGGAAAGTGCTTAAGCGAGCTTGATGGTGCGATGGTGATGGCCGGCGCTGCGGATTTGAGAAGCTGACAACAGCTGCAGACCCTGTTGGTGGTGGTGGGAAGAACACCTCGCGGGACCGCCGGATGATGGAGCTGCGGCTTACGGCATTTCGGCCGACGCCAAAGCAACGATGGTGATGGTTGAAGCACGAGAACCTTGTCTTAGTCGGACGACGTGGGAGGCCCTGGCAAGCTCGATAAGGCCGATAAGCACGCGTTGGACATGCGTGATACGATGTGGGAGGCCTGGCACGGCACGTCCGTCGCGTATCGTCGCTGAGCCGCGGCCCGCGAGCGAGCGGGTGAACAGCGGATGAGTGGGGAAGAGCGCGCTGGAAGCGCCGCATCTCGCTGGCTGGACACAGCCCCAGGGCGTTTGAGTTTGTGTGTGTGTGTGTGTGTGCTGGCACCTCCTGCATGGCCTCGTGCCAGCCCTGCAATGGCTCCATATTCACGGCACAGACGGGGCCAAAGTCACTTACCGTTTCCACTTGACGTGGGGATGAAGCTTAATAAAGACTGATAGGTAGGCGGTGTTTGTGAAAAACATCTAGCCATCGACATGGCGGGGCGCAGGCAGCAGCCAACAATGGGTCCAACGGGTGGACACTTACTTGGCGACGATGGATTCCCTTGGCATGCTCAAACAGTCTGAGTACGGCGACGTGAAGCTGGGCGGTCTGCATTGGACCGAGTGCTGCTGCGCTCGTCCCTCCCCGCACATCACGGCGATGCTGCCTTGGTGCCGCTTTCGAAACCGGTCACCAGTCGCCGGTGAGTTTGGTGTTCGTTCATGCGCTACTCCTCCGACGCATGTAGCAGGGAGTCCGACGGACGTTTTGGGTTGATAAGCGCCCGAAAATGTGGATGCCGGCGGCAGATGTATGCAGCAGGCGCCGTTGTTTATGAGGCCAGGGCGAGAAGACGACGATTTAGAAAGCTATGCGCGCGGAGATTTGACCGTGCGCTTGTTGTTCCGAAGACGACATTGGATGCCTATACGGAAATGAGGTTTTGCGGAGGCGGTGCAGACTAAGTATTGTGGTAGACAGCACGCCAAGAAACGGCCACCAGTGCCGAGCTGGTCGCAAAAGCTGGGACTGGTGAATTGGAGGGGGCAGAGGAGGTTGATGTTTGACGTGCTCCTGTGATGGGTTGAGGCAGTCCCTGGTAACCGAGCGACGGATGGCGCCCTTAGCACGAGCACTTGAAACGGATGAGGCAATTAGCCCATGACATGCCTGACACCGTGGAGAGACGCAAAAGGCAGGGTCCCGACAAACGTCTGGGCGGACGTGGCAGAGGTGTTGTCAGCGGATAACGGCAATGTCTAGGGAGGAGTAGGCGTTGCGAATACGAGGGGTGAGAGTACGGTTATCGCCCAAAAGGGAGCTCGGGTGCTAAAAGCTACCTAAGCCGCTCATGTCCGAGAAAAGCCATCGAGCGGCGCCACGAGAAAAGGCGCTGTCCCTGCGTCCCTGCTGCTTACACAAGTAGGTACTGATTACGACTGACGTCGGCTTTCCGGATGGATGATGAGAAGAAGGCTGGAGTGATCTGCGTCATGGTGCAGGCAGTCGGCAGTGCGATGGCGGGAAGCAGGGATCTTCAGCTTGGACAGGCAGCTGGTAGAAGTGGAGAGGGCGTCGCTCACAGCCTCGCAACACTGCTGCGGGTCGAAGGATTTGAGACAAACGCAGCCAGTCACTGTGCTGGCCACCGACAGTTTTTGCGGTGCGCTTGGCCCGCCTAGCTGGCTCAATTAATCTCGCGGCGGGCGGGCACCAAGAGCCCGCAGCGCTAAGAATATCCCGTCGATCTCCCTTGGACCATGTCATCGCCCCCATTTCGTGCCGCAGGGGGGGGCGTATCCGGACGTGCCGTGATGCGCCTCTTCCTGTCGCGCTAGCAATGTACATATTTCAGCCTTGCCGCCTGCTCGTGTGCTCCCTTTGCTACCCCAACCCCCTCCGGCACCGCGCCCACCCACCATGAGGTTCGCTACGTCCCTGGCCAGCCTGGCTACCGCGTCCTCGCTATTCTCCAGCGTGTCGGGTGAGCTTGCCAGCATGCTTCCGTTGTCGCGGCTACCATTTGAGCTAACCAGGTCTCCGTAGCCGGTATTGTTATCCCGCGCGACCTGACCAAGGAAGAAGCTGCCGCAATCGCAGTCGCTGCCCCCCTCGACGTTCTCAAGCGCGCCACTGCCCAGGCCCCCGACTTCTACGTGCCCAAGGATGTCGGCTGCCCCTCGGACAAGCCTACCATCAGACGCGCAAACGGCCTGTCGGACCACGAAAAGTCATGGCTGGAGACGCGCCGCAACAACACCGTCGATCCCATGCGCAAGCTCCTGACGCGCATGAACATTGAAGGCTTCGATGTCGACTCTTTCTTCAAGGCCCACAGCAACAATGCTTCGGCCCTGCCCAACATCGGTATTGCCATTTCCGGTGGAGGCTACCGCGCCCTGATGAACGGCGCCGGCGCCATCGCCGCCTTCGACGAGCGTACCACCAATTCCACAGGCGCTGGTCACCTGGGTGGTCTCTTGCAGTCCGCGACCTATCTCGCTGGTCTTTCCGGAGGTGGATGGCTGGTTGGCTCTCTGTTCACCAACAACTTTACCTCTGTGCAAAACATCCTCGGCACCGACCCCGACGTGTCTGGATCGCTTTGGCAGTTTGGAAACTCGATCTTCAAGGGCCCTGAAGAGGGCGGCTTCCAGATTCTGAACACGGCCCAGTACTACGACCACATCTACGACCGTGTCCAGGACAAGAACAACGCCGGCTTCGAGACCACCATTACGGATTACTGGGGCCGTGCTCTTTCCTATCAATTGGTGAACGCTTCCGAGGGAGGCCCAGGTATGTCGTTGCGATTCGTTTGGTCGAATTCTTCCACTGACTATTTGCAGCCTACACCTTCTCTTCTATCCAGGATGACCCAGATTTCAAAAGCGGCAACACTCCCATGCCTCTCCTCGTAGCGGACGGACGTGCTCCGGGTGAAACCGTCATTTCTAGTAACGCCACCAACTACGAGTTCAATCCCTGGGAGATGGGTTCTTTTGACCCCACTGTTTTCGGTTTTGCGCCGATGCGCTACGTTGGCTCTGACTTCGATGGCGGCGTCATTTCGTCGAACGGTTCCTGCGTCCGCGGATTTGACAACGTTGGCTACGTGATGGGGACGTCGTCCACGCTTTTCAACCAGTTCCTTCTGCGGCTCCACGACTATTCGATACCCGACGTTCTGTCGAGCGTTCTTACCAACGTTCTTGAAGACATTGGCGAAGACAATGACGATATTGCTTCTTGGAGGCCGAATCCTTTCTATCACTACAACAACGACACCAACCCGAACGCCATGACCGAGCGTCTTACCCTTGTGGATGGCGGAGAGGATTACCAAAACATTCCGTTTTCGCCTCTGATCCAGCCCGCTCGTGACGTCGATGTTATCTTTGCTATAGATTCTTCGGCCGATACGTCAGAGCCGGGCGCCAACTGGCCGAATGGAACCGCTCTTGTTGCCACTTACGAGCGTTCGCTCAACGCCAGCCAGGCCAACGGCACGATTTTCCCTTCAATCCCGGACCAGAACACGTTTGTGAACTTGGGGCTCAACAACCGGCCCACTTTCTTCGGCTGCGACATTTCCAACTATTCCAGTTCTACCCCGCTGGTCGTCTATCTTCCTAACACACCCTACGTTTATCATTCTAATGTCTCGACTTTCACCGACTCGTACAACAACAGCGAGCGCAATGCCATCATCGAGAACGGCTACGACATCGCCACCCGCGGCAACGGCACCGTCGACCAGCAGTGGCCCGTCTGTGTCGGCTGCGCCATCCTGTCGCGCAGCTTGAACAAGACGAACACGGCAGTTCCGGAAGTGTGCAATTCGTGCTTCGAGCGCTACTGCTGGAACGGCACTCGTGACTCGAGCGAACCGAAGGCGTACGACCCGGAGGTATTGCTGACGGAGATACGGATCAAGAATGCGGCAGGCGAGCGGTTGGCGCCCAGCCTCGTGGTCTTGGGAATGGCGATGGGTGCTTATTTCGCGATGATGGTGTAAGAGGGGGGAAAGTGCTGAGGTAAGGGAAAATTAGCGGGTATTTCATTGGCGTTGGTGGAGTCGGGGCTCGGGGGTGTTGGGTAGTCAGCCATCGTCGTGTTGGCTTGTCATGCCGTGATGACCTGTACACTAGCAGTAGTTTTAGGCCTCTACGAATTAGTATTGCGCAGAAATGCAAACGACTGACTCGGACTTCATCTTGGGGGGAGTGAGTGGAATATTCTAAAGAAAGGCGATCTGCACGACTTTGCGTAGCTCAACGGCGGCGTCAGGCACCGCGCCGCAAATGACTCGGAGGCCGGGAATTTTTCTATCCAGCTGAGCCCCGCGCCTTGGGCACCTGCCCGCTCTCGACGTCTGTCTCTCTTGTGTGTGCTGTTCTCGGGGCGCGACTTGCTGCTCCCACCCATTTACTCTGCCCTCTGCGTACCTGCCCAATACCCTTTGCACAGTCCCGCGAGCGAAATCACCACAACCTCAGTCCACCGCCACCACCCCACCCCACCACGAGCGACACCAGGACTACCACTCCCACCGCTACCACTACCACCGCCGCCGCCGCCAAAATGGCCGCCCCCGCTGTCGCCCCTGTCCTCTCGACCCCGGACACGCACATCTTCGAGGACCCGACCGAGCCCGTCGCGCCCGCGCCCCGCGTGGCACCCGCACAGCTTGCCGAGACTTATGAGATTGAGCGCACGGTGCGTGAGATCCGCGCTGGGCGCTGGCGTCGCGTTGCGCTGCAATTTCCGGACCATATGCTAGTGGATGCGCCGCGGGTGTACGAGGCGCTGAGGCGGGGACTGAGCGCGGCGAGGAGGGGAGGCGCCGACGGTGTGGAGCATGTGGCGAGGGGGCTAGAAGAAGTGGGCTTGGATGCTACAAAGGAGAAGGACGAGGAAGACGCGGAGCCGGAGGAGCAGCTGTATATCTTGGGCGATACGTCGTACGGTGCGTGCTGCGTCGATGAGATCGCGGCGGAGCATGTGGATGCGGACGTGGTGGTGCATTATGGGCGGTCGTGTCTGTCGCCCACGGCAAGACTGCCCGTCATTTACGTCTTCACGACGAGGCCGCTGGAGCTGGAGCCCGTGGTCGAGGTGTTCAAGCAGACGTATCCGGACAAGGACCAGAAGATCGTACTCATGGCCGACATACCGTACTCGGGTCACTTACCTGCGCTCCACGGCCGGCTACAACAGGAGCGGTATACTGGTCTCTATCTTACGTCCATCCTGCACAACCCATCTTCGCCGCTGCCGAACCGGACAGTACCAGACGAGGTCCAGGAAAACACGGCGGCGCTCCGTGACTATGAACTCTTCCACGTCTCAGACCCACCCACCTCACTGCTCCTTACCCTCTCCTCCCGTGTTGGAAACATCAACATCTACCCCACGGATACGGCAAAGCCGACGCAGACGCTGCTTGCCTCTTCCGCGCGGACGCTAAGCCGTCGCTATGCCCTCCTCACGAGACTCACGACGGTTCCCGTCTTTGGTATCCTGATCAACACGCTCTCCGTTGCGAACTACATGCACGTACTATCACACGTCAAGGAGCAGATCGAGGCCGCTGGCAAGAAGAGCTACACGTTTGTCGTGGGCAAGGTGAACGCGGCCAAGGTAGCCAACTTTTCAGAGGTGGAGGGATGGGTGGTGATCGGGTGCTGGGAGAGCAGTTTGATCGAGAGCAAGGACTTTTGGAAGCCGATTATCACGCCGTTTGAGCTGTCGCTGGCGCTGAAGAGCGACGAGGAGCGGGTGTGGACCGGGGAGTGGACGGGAGACTTCGAGGCCGTGCTTAAGGAGAGGGTGCAAAAGCCGGCAGACGAGGGTGGAGTGGAGCAGCAGCAGCAGGGCGAGGAGGAGGCAAACGAGTCGGAAGAGGAGTCGGCACCGCCAGAATTTGACCTCCGCACCGGGCGCTACGTCTCCCACGCGCGGCCCCTTCGGGCGGCTCCCAGGGCGGCGCAGGTGGAGGGTAGGGCAGCAGCCAAGTCGCTCGTCAAGCGGGCGAATGGCGACATAGCGCAGATCGGCGGCGTGGTGTCGCCGGGGGCAGAGTTTCTGCGCAGCCAGCGGACGTGGCAGGGCCTCGGTAGCGACTTTGATGAGGAGGGAGGCGAGGGGCGGGAAAGGGGTGCAGTGATGGAGGAGGGCAGGAGCGGGATGGCGAAGGGGTATGTAGTCGGAGCGGGTGGGGCGGAGGGTCGGTGAGAATGAGAATAAAAAATAGATAGGGATGGTAAGGTAGAATAGATGAAGCGGCAGAAAACGCGTGATTAACCATGAGTTGTGTGAAGCGGCGAGCGGGAGAGCTAGGTAGGCCTCCGCGACGATCATCATGAGTCCCGACCCTCAACCCAATCCTTCTGCGCCAGCACACGAGCATACCGCATAATCGCCGCGACGCACCACACAACACCCGTTCGCTCGACTGCATGCCTGACTAATTCGTCCGTTCTTTCTCCACCCGAAGCCCCAGCCGCCGCCATGCTAATCCGCGACTGCAGCACCTCCACCATGGCGACTCTCGAAGTCCAGCCCGCCAACCCATCATCGCTTTTCAGCCCTCCCGACAGCCCTGCCACCCTTCTGGGCAGCGCCGTCATGGCCCTCGCCGCCGCAAACGACTCGCCCGCACTGCCTCACCCGCCTGCGCTGAGCCTCTTCGAGCGGATCGTCACATCTCACCCCACGATATTGGAAAGCCTCCTCGCTCAACTGCCCACCGCCTCGCTGCTCGACCTCTACCACTCGTCGCGACACCTACGAGACTTTTTGGCAAACTACCCGCTGGCATGGAAGACGCTGAGTTTCCGGGCGCCACAGCCCGCCGTCGCCGTCAACAATCCCGATGCCGACGCCGTCGACGGCCAGCGCGCTCCCAAACAGTACGCCCTTGACGCCCTGCTGATCCAGGTCGTCGTTCCCTTTGGCACTCGCTTGACTAATCTCGACCTCTGCAACACGACCGTGTCGGGAGTGCGGCTGGTGAGCCGCGTCCTGGAGCCCCGCGTGTCGACGATCCAGCACCTGAGCGTCCGCGGCTGCAAAAACGTCTCGATAAAATACCACCTCGTGCCTTTTCTCGAACCCTACGTCCAGCCCAGCAGCCCATGGGCCCGGAGGAGCGATCTCGCGCTCAAAAGCCTATACACATACCGCTGCCGCCACCATCGGAGGCGACCGTATCTGCCGTCGAGCCTTATGCGCAGGGATTCTGATTCGGAGCCGACACACCAACTGATCGAGATCTGCCACCAGCTGGATATTTGGACGGACACAACGTGGTGCACGACGCCGGGAGGCCGGTGCTTCAGGAGGAAGGACTACTATTCTGGCCGCGCCGCGCCGGGCACAAACGAGGTCTGGGTGCCGTTTGACAGGCTATGGCGCTCCGGGAACCGCATCGGACCAATCGATTCAAACAATCCGCCTTCCGAGTCGGACGGGAGGCTATGGGAAGATTCGGAGACTGGACACGATGGAGAACCGCTCGGCACCAGCACCGGTTGGCCTTCCAAGGGCGAGGGCAAGGATATCCCGGCACACCTTCGCAGGAGCCATAAGGCCTTTGTGGACGATGTCAAGTGCGACCAATGCGGAGACGCGATTTTGGAGCGCTGCGAACAGTGCAGCATCCGGATGCATTGCATGGGGTGCCGCAAGACGCTCTGTGCCAGTTGCGCGTTCAACAGGCCGATACCGCGGAAAAGACAGAAGACGCGAGGATTTACGACACTGGCTTTTGGGAGCAACGGTGTCTTCGGCACGACTGGCCAAACTTCGATTGCGCCGAGTTGGGAAGCAAATCCCAAAGAAGAGCAGAAGAAGGAGCGATTTTGGTGGGCGCCGGGCGCCACGAGATCACCAAACCTCATGTCTGAAATCGCCTCGGATGACGAAGACTCTGATTCTGACGAACCCAACGGAACCCTTGCCGCCCCTCTGCCCATTCATGCCAACGCTGTAAACGCCCTCGCTCTCAACAACGGAATTCACGGTTTCACCAATCTACCACCAAGGCTCAACATGCATTGGTGTTGTGTGGAGCCGGTTTTCTCTGGAGGTGGTGGCATTGTGGTTCTGGGACCCAGCGTAGGCGGCAAGGGCGCGGATAGGATACGCGCAACTCCTCTGCCCAAAGGCTGCAACTTTGAAGATCCAGATTTCACGTCCGTTTTCCGCTCGCCAGATGTCGTGCGGGATTTGAAGAACGCGAGCTTATATGACCACATTTTGGGAGAAGACGTGGACGTTCTCCCCTACCTCCACCAGGAAAGCCTCGACCTGCAGGCCAACACGTGCCCGCGGAGCTTATGCCAAGAATGCTATAGGACGTTCCGGTGGAAAGTGTCCTGTCGAGCTTGCAAGAAGCCATTGTGCAAAGAGCACGACTTCCGCGCTCTCAAGGTGCGCAAGTGCGGCTTCCGGGATCTCCACGTGGAAAGGGACTACGTGCGCAGCCAGCCCGCTGCGCCAGCCCCATCGCAAGTGGATGCTCTACACATCCCTGCCTTTGTGCCTCCCGAGCTGCGCAATCTTGAGCCGCCGGCCATGGCGCAACAAGGCAGCACGGATAGCCACGCCTCATCCGAGCAAGCCACGCTCCAAGTGGGCGACGAAAACCCCATGATGGCCTCGACATCATCCCTTATCAACCCGCACCTCCCCGCCCATCCCTCTCCGCTCGCCCACTCCTCCCACCCCTCCCTTCACCCCCGCCCCCGCGCCCTCAGTTTCTCCGACTCCCGCCCTTCGCGTTCCTCATCGCCCTGGCCTAAGCCGGGAGCTTCGTCCGCTACATCTGCCATCCAGGCCGCGGCCGCCGCCGCCCAGCGCGTCCGCACGCCCCTGCCCTTACCATGCAACCCACGGCACCCTGTACAGTGGGAGGGCTGTGGAGCCTATTTCTGTCAGCAGCTGCGACCCGTCGGTGACTGCCGGACGCGGTGCTTTGCGGCGCTACGGGAGTGCTTGGAGTGCAAGGTGCTAGTGTGTGAGGTAAGTCTGAGCCCTGACACTTTTTCCCCCTAGGATCTGCATTACTGACACCAACGGCGTATCAACAGAGCTGCCTGAACGCGAATCCACCCTGCCCCTGCAACTACTGCAGCACAAACTACTACTGCCCCGTCTGCACGCACAAGCCCCGCATCAAGGCGTTGTGTCGGCGCGACGCGGAGCGCGCGGCCGCGCGGGCCAAGGAGCTCGCGGAGCAGGAACGTGTGAGGCGTGAAGCGGAGGCGCTGCTGCGCGCGGATGAGATGGCGTTGCGGCTGGGCGAGTTTGTGCGTGGGTGGGAGGAGAAGGGCGGTGATGAAGGTGACGGAGTGGGAGATGCGAGGTGGGGGGATGCTGCTGGGGCGGCCGGCCCAGCGGCCGCTGATGCTGGTGCTGGTGCGCCGCCCCCCGCGGATGACGACGAGAAGGCGGACAATGTCGAGCATGTCGAGTTCGCGGAGCCGGCGCCTGAGCTGGAGCCTCGGCCGGAATCGCCAGAGGAAGAAGACGCGGCGGCGGCAGCAGCGGCAGCGGCGGTGCAAACGTCTGCTGCTGCTGCTGCTGCTGCTGCTGCTGCTGCTATGGAGGAGGAAGAGGAGGAGGAAGACGAGGTGCCAGCGGCAGAAGCGGCGTCAGCAGCAGCACCGCCAGCAACAGCAGCACCACCAGCAGTAGGGCCTCTCTCCTCCGAGCCCCCCACCACTACCACGACTTCGTCGACTAATGCCCCCACGGCCACCGCTCCCGCCACCAATCCCTCAACGACAACACCATCAACAACAACAGCAGCAACGACAACAGCAACAGCAACGTCGACACCCACCCCCGACGCCGCAGCCGCTTACGACGACTTCAAAGCCACGCTCTTGGCGCGCGTGCGCGCGCGCAGAGAGGCCCTGCGCGTTTCTTCGTCTTCTTTTCCGTCGTCTGCTGCCGCTGCTTCTAGCGCTGCTGGTGCTGCTCCCGGCGCTGGTGGCCATAGCAGCGGCAGTGACAGCGGGGCTGCTGCTCCGGCGTCTGCTTCTGCGTCTACGGCTGCATCTGCATCTGCGTGTGCGCCGGCCCCGGCGGGAAAGAGCTCCTGCACGGCTGCGGCTGCCGAGGCCCCTGCCGAGCTTCTTCCCGTGGATGCCGATGCTGATGCCGACGCCAGGGCCGCGGAATGCGTCCAGGAGGATGAGATTGAGAGGGCTGTGGAGGCGGAGCTGAGGCGTGAGATGGGTCTTGTGGATGCCCATGTGGAGGAGGAGCGCGTTAGGGACGCGGACCAGACGCACGGAGCAGGGAGTCCGCCTTCGGCGGCGGCTTCTGAGGAGGGCGAGGGCGATGGTGAGGGTGAGAGGGATGGTGACGGCGATGGCGAGAACGAGAACGAGAACGAGAGCCAGAGGGGCGTTGGCGCCGCTTGAGTGAGTGGTGTGGAGTTGAGTTAAGTGTGCTGCTTAAGCTGGGTTGGGTTGGGTTGCAGCGTTGCAGTACTGCATTGCAATGCAGGACGAAGCAGAGCGAAGGAAAGCGGGGAGAGCAGAACGGCATATCGTTACACATATATCGGACGGAGTGCGTGGGTTGATGGGTGAATGGACGGCGTGGGCAGAAACTAGGTGTTATGGCGTTGGCATTGGCGTTGGTGGGCCCGTGGCAGGGGAATCGATACTACCTATCTATCTACACCCCTTGGCTGGGTTCTTACAACCGTGTTTGTGTTGTTTGTTTGTTTTGGTTGCTTTTTTTGGCTTTGCTTTTGCATAATTTTTGGTTTTTGTATTGCTGCTGCTTATACTACTACTACTACTACTACTACTACTACTACTACTACTACTACTACTACTACTACTACTACTACTACTACTACTACTACTACTACTACTACTA